TGGCAATAGAGGAGGCAGTCTCCTTGGCAGACTCAGTAACCGTGGGGCGCTTGGGCATAGGCTTGCGCGGACGCGCCTTGGGTCCGTCTGTATTGTTGCGCTTAGCTAATCCCAAAGGCATCAGTAGCGCGCCAACAGAATCCGACAAGACGCAACTTACAAAAGGAGCAAGCGCGCTTAGAAACGTCACAAGGAGGGCAGCGCCTGCCAGGTGTGCCTCTGCAAACCTGATTCTTGCTGGCGCAGTTGGTGCAGCGAGGCGCCGAAGGAACAGACATACGTCCAACCTTGCGCTAATGCGGACGAACATTCAGTAGAGTAGCACACCCACACGACATAGAGAAACGCACCTGCATGGAAGCATCAGTACCAGACGCGTCGGTGGCGCGCGCCTCGGTACCCGGCGCTTCAGTGGCGCGAACAACGCGCTTGGGAGGCGCCACTGGAACAGTCTCGATCGCCTTTGCTTTCCATCCCTTCACCAGCACCTCAATCTCCTTGTAACCCTTGCGCCCCTGCTTCAGGAGCTCCGCGCTCTTATTGTCCATATCCAGCTCCACGCTCAATGCACCCGCGCGCTCGGAACAGCCGTTCATGGTTGCCTAGGAATGTTAGATCACAAAAGGCAAGCCATGTAAGCACACTCACCAGTACAGAGAGCCACTCGCGCATCCACATCTCTTGATCCTCGAGGAGCTCCGGCTTGAGGTCTGGCGTCACCATGACGCACGCCTCCAATGCGACCAGGGAAGCCGCCCAAGCGCTGACAAGGCGGTCGGTATCGGACTCCGCGCTAGCGTCAGCCATAGGCGCGTCCTCAGGGTGAATTGGCGCCACAGGCTCAGGTTCTGGAGAGGGAGTGGAGTTCAGCATAGTGGCAGTGAAAGGAGGCATGATGGTAATGATAAGAAGGAAGACAAGAGATCGCGAGAACACTTCCATCTCTTATCAACAACCCCATCGATTAGATCAGCGATGCTCGCGATCATCAAAGGAGCGGCCCTACTCTCGCGATCACATGACCCCTGTCTATCACCATTTCTCCAAGTCCAAAATCCCGCGCTATAGCTCTGAGTGGGGACACTCAGAATGTAAGTTCCCAGGAGATGTAGAGACTCGCGCCTCTCGATGCCGGATATGCGGCCTTCTTACCCATTTAATTCCCTATCTGTATCAGCTCACATCCTAAGGACCAGTCATTCGCGCTCTCGCGCGTGCGCCCTACGTACGCGCCTCACTCGCACATCGCACACGCACGCGCGCCCTTCGCGTGCACGCTCCATAGGCCTTCGCGCTCCTACCGTCCGTCCCTCTGTCCTTTGTCCTTGCTGATTCACTGGTGCGTTATTTTTATCTCTCTCATTGAATTAACGAACCTTCGGTCCGACCTCTGCGCTTACATACAGAGAGTCTATTTAAACTTAGAATATATTTAGAAGTTGATATGGTTACTCGGTTCGGGAGCGCGCTCGGAAGCGCGCCGCATAGCATAATCTCCCTTCTTAAATAGAGGGAGGATTCCTTCGGTTCTGGTACTTACTTTCCCCTTATCTTGATATACTGCAAAGTGTAGAGTTCTCCCTCCAATACTAGAAATCTGATTATACTCCTCCACTGTTGACACCTGTGCCCTTGCTACTCTCTTAAGGACTCCTCTCCTTCATCGTTCAAGCGCGCGCCCGCTTATGCGCGTACCCTCCGCATCTCTCGCTCACGCGCGCATCTCGCGCGCCTTCGCATCGCCTACGCGCGCCTTCGCGCGCGTTACTTTCCCGCGTCTACCAGCGCCCGTCTAGTTGACATAGTTTCCCTCCACCTTATTCGCGAGGAACTTCTCTCAGTAGCTGTCCTTTGGGTCGAGTTGTATTCTCGTATCCAGGTCTTGCTGTAGAGCCCCCTTTCTTTTAGTGTTTTCACCCACAGTCAAGATTCCTCACCTTCAGCGCGCGTGAGCGGAAACAAGTGAGAGTAAGAGTGAGTTTGCTTAAGTGGTGATATGATGAATAACAAGAGATGTGAGTGCGAGGTGCCAAGGAATAGATTGCAACTATATTCTGCTAGGTAGTAGATGGGTAAGTGGGAGGTAGAGTCCAAAGTTCGAAAGTTTGTAATAGTATGTAATGCTGGCGCTTATATACGGCGCCTAAGCGCTGTCACGCGGAGCCGAAGCGCTACCGAGTAAGGTATGTAAAGATATATGTATGTAAGTAAGGGTCCATGATATAAATAAAGGTGGAATGATATGTAAATAAGGGAAATGGAAATACACGCACTAGAGAGCTTGGTGGACAGTGGATGGATGCTTCTGGATGGCTGGCGCTATAGGGCGATCAAGCGCGGGAAAGCGCGCGCGCGTATACATCGTAAAGCGCGGGAATGGTGCGCGCATGGCGCGCATTGCGCGGGAAAGCTGCGCCTCATATAGGGATAGCTGCAGATAGCACACAGAGTGATGCTACAAGTTCGTGCTATGTACTCCCTAGTGAATACTGCCATATCATGCCATGAGAGGCATGAGTCTCTACATCTCCCAGGGACTTTAAATTCTGAGTGTCCCCACTCAGCGCGTGTGTGGTGAGGATTTTGTGCAATAGTATGCAAGTGCGACGCGTGTACGATGCTTGGGTTGTTTGGGCGATGAATGCGCGAGTGCAGGGATATATCACATGGTATGTATGAAGCGCGGGAAGTTGCGCGTGAATGAGTGCGCACTAGGCGCGAAGGCGCGGGAATGTGCGCGCATTAGGCGCCGAGGTGCGGGAATGAAGCATAGCATGGTGAATTGCGAGGGTGACTCTGATGTGAACAATACGCCATGGGCATGAGGCGATGGTGCGAGAGTGATATGGATGTGGCGCGCGAAGCGTGGGAAGGTGCGCGCGCACAAGGCGCGAGAACGTGCATGAGTGTCGCCTGTGTTGTATTCTGTGGGGACACACACAGACAATGTTTGTAGTAATAACTAATAATCGTATCTACTAACAGGCGCTTGAAATCGCGCAAAAACTTCTTTTTGACATGCGTGGAAAGTACTGGGAATCATTGAAGAAGATTGCTTTACTCGAGGCTACCGTTTCGAAAGGTTGGAAGACAAAGCTTACAAAGAAAGATCTTGCCCTTGCCGCCAAGGAAGACAGCATCAGAAATTTTGGATGCAAGTTCTCTATCACCCACTGCTTATGGGTCGAAACATCTATTTTCCCCTTGCGTGAGCCACCTCCCAGAATCGACCTCTCAAGCAAGGAGCGATGGCTCTCACCGCTATCCATCCAGGATGGCATTAAAGCTGAACTTTTCCAATTCATACCGCCAGCTGACCATAATATGATGGCTCATAAAAACTTTGGCTCCCATGTAAGCCCTCCCATCTTTGATTGCGCTCGATGATAAACTTAGTCTGTCCAGTTTGTGAAAGGTGTCAATAATGTTCGTGCCAAAATGCTCTCAGATGTCAAGTCATGTGCGGCAGCCATTTTTGGCTTAGATGCCAAGTTTTTTATACGCGGTTATGCATGGGACACAGAGCCTTCTTGCAAATCTCTGCTCCTTAACCCCCAAGGCCAGTACACGAAGTTTGCGCCGATTCTTTTCCCTCGTCCGGACCATCTCCTCAGAGATCAGTTTTTGAAAACAGCAAAACTCATTTATGTAGGTTCTTGCCTCCCCTCTCTAAATAGAACTAACTAAATAGCATTTATAGATTCTGAAAGCGTCACTCTTTGGCCAGTCGTCGCTTGCTGCCAATGCAGTTCCCACTCAGAAAACAAAGGCGAAAATATGGGAGCTACGTGCTGTAACACCGGGTCTCATTGCTGCAGCAGCCATTGTCGTACGTATTGTCTCTTATGCTGCACAATATTGACACTTAATACGAGTTTCAGGCTATATTTGTCCTTTCCAGTGACAAAGAGTTGGTTGAAGTTGGCAACAAATCTCGCATACCATACAAAGACTACCATAACTACTACCGACAATCGCTGTTGACTGGAGGTGCCTGGGCAGACAGAGTCTTCACCTTTTTCAACAACTCCTTGTTTTCCACTTCTTCTGCCGCAACTCTCCTTGATTCAGACTCGACGTTACTAGGTGACTTGACGAGTGGTCCGCGTGACAGCTGGGAAGAAATGTTTGAGCATGCAATGGAGACTGGGGCGGAACTACCAGAACTGAATATGATTCAGACGTCATCGGTTGGTCCTGTCATCAAAGCATCTTCTTCTGCACCCGGACCCCAGTCAATCTCTGCTGCCATGCAAGGTCTAGCTTTGGCCGAGCACCTACCACCTGCAGCAGTCAACGAGGACGTTGAAGCAGAGCCTGTAGCTCCTGTTGCTGCTCAGAAGCCGAAGCCGAAGCCGAAGCCAAGGCGGAAGGGCAAGGCTGCAGCTGCTGACAGTAACATTTCAGAAGATCAAGCTCCTGCCAATGTTGAACCTGAGGTTTCATCATTAGTAGTCAGTGGCAGTGGTGTGCGAAGGGGCCAATCAAAGACCACTAAGTAATATAATAGATTTTCTTCGTCTCATGTCACTCGTCGATGTACTTAGATTGTTCTTGATGTCATTGGATTAGTAATACAATCAACAACAACAAACATTTGATGTGAAAGACTTGGAAGTCTTTCGTTCAACTTGTCATATCATTTCAACTATAAACAAAATTAAGTCTTGTCATCGTCGACTGTCTCATGTCCTGCCAACCTCCACTCCCGTCATCTCCTTGAACTTGTTGTGCCGCCGATGCCTGCAGCCTCCAACCACTCCCGTCGTCTCCTTGAACTTATCATGCCGCCGATGCCTGCAGCCTCCAACCACTCCCGTTGTCTCCTTGAACTTGTCGTGCTGCCGATGCCTCCAACCACTCCCGTCGTCTCCTTGAACTTGTCATGCTGCTGTCACGCCTGCCTCCAACCACTCCTGTCATCTCCTTGAACTTGTCATGTTGCCATCACGCCTGCCTCCAACCACTCCCGTCTCCTTGAACTTGCCATGCTGCCGTTGATGCCTGCCTCCAACCACTCCCTTCTCCTTGAACTTGTCGTGCTGCCGTTGACGCCTGCCTCCAACCACTCCCGTCTCCTTGAACTTGTCATGCTGCCGTTGAAGCCTGCCTCCAACCACTCCCGTCTCCTTGAACTTGCCGTGCTGCTGTTGATGCCTGCCTCCAACCACTCCCGTCTCCTTGAACTTGCCGTGCTGCTGTTGATGCCTGCCTCCAACCACTCCCGTCTCCTTGAACTTGTCGTGCTGCCGTTGACGCCTGCCTCCAACCACTCCCGTCTCCTTGAACTTGTCGTGCTGCCGTTGACGCCTGCCTCCAACCACTCCCGTCTCCTTGAACTTGCCGTGCTGCCGTTGATGCCTGCCTCCAACCACTCCCGTCTCCTTGGACTTGTCGTGCTGCCGTCGTGCCTGCCTCCAACCACTCCTGTCTCCTTGAACACGCCGCTAGGAATGGGATTTGGTCATCAACTGCCTCTCCGAGTCTCATCCATCCGTTTGTCCAAGGTTAGTAAGACTGATATCATATTTGTATTGTCTCCAACTCAAAAATTGTCCCCACCAGAATTATTATTTCAAAACGAAACAGGAGTGATTGAGGAACACTTGGAACGCAATTGGGAGCAATTTTACAATATTATTATTAATAGTGCTATTATTATATTGAATAAAAGACTGTGTAATTTCAAGACCTTGGAAGGATACTTGTCGCTTCCAATGATATTCCAATTAGGGTATATAGAGCATTGGTCAAAATCTTGCCCTTGCATTGGAATGGTCTTGGGACCCACTTGCAAGACCCTCTATATTGCTTCTAAGCGGCTTCCAAAATTTTCGGGTTCCCTTCCAAGCGAGTTGTAATGCCGCCAGTAAATTGAGGCCTTCCAATCCATTTTAAGGCATGCCAACCAAAATTAGAAATTTCCGACAGAGTCGGCACCAGAGCACAATCTGTCAAAGAAAGAGCATCCAACTATCGGGCGTAGAATAACAAAGCAACCTTCTACTCAACTGCCCCATCCAGAGCATCTTGAAGGGGATATATCTAAGGTATAGACTTCGGCACTGAGCTTTGCACGCTCTCTGGCAGCAGGTTTGACGCTTTTGAATTTACTTTTCGAATGCCGGACTCCAACATTGTCAGTTCCGAAGTGCCCATCCAGTAGCACCTGCTACTAGTTCCCGGCCAGCCTCCAATTATGCGCACAGGCCCGAGCCCTCTACTGTGCCCTTTTCTCTTCACATTGCAGCTCTTCGCCATCATATCCCAACGAACCAGCGAAACTCAATAGCGCCGGTGCAAACTATAGTATTAGTATTCTTTTGCACTCTGACCCTGTTTTGTATTCGATCTCCTGTGCCTTTCGGATATTCTACGCGGGAGCTACACAGAAACTGGCACAACCTCATGCTAGCTTCAATCACGCGTCCCTTAATCAGAGAAATACATCAATGTCGTTGCGTATGTACATGGGACGAAACGAGCTAACTTATATCTAAGCTGCTTGATGCATAAACACAGATGACAACGTTCAGAGTAACAGAGTTTCTAGATGATTTCATGACTGACGTGAAGTGGAACGACGACCAAAGTAAAATCCGCAACAAGTGACTTCGTGGGGAACATCTCCCCTCCCACCAGTTGACTGGTGTGTCTCTGTTGATCGTGCTCGTGACCCTTGTGCCCCTGCCAGCGCTTGAGATGGTTGTGCACCTGCTGGTTGACCTGATTGCGTTGCACTGTTGGCCTGGTCGCTGTTCGTACGTTGCATAGCTGCAGCCGCTTCCTCATCAGTTTCAGGGACAATTCCATATCTCTGCAATGTATGTTAATGGAACGAAATTGGAGGGAGGACGAGTCACTCACATCTTCATCACGAGCAGAAGCTACATCGACGGTGCGGCTGGAGTTTCTTACTGGAAGTAAGCTGAAATTCCAATGTCGGGATGCGCGAGGTGATGGTTGAGGCGTATCTGTAGGTTGGGTACTGAACCGGAGGGAACCAATCAAAGTGCGCCAATGAAGGAAAGATGAACTCGCAGGCGGAGCTATGCGATGAGGTGCGCGATCTGAATCATTGGCGAAGAAATCATTGCCCTGTATCAAATTCGGATGAGCAAGAGCTGAAGAACGAAAAATTATACTAACGTATTTCGCCGAGCCTTTGGTAATGGCCTATTGTTTGAAGTGCAGATGGATCTTGAGAATTTAGCGAAACATACAAGAAAAGGTTCCTTACATTAATTGGTTGCCGCACGACTCTTGGTTGGGTTGGACGTCCCTGATAAAAAGTGAGATGCAGTGTGAAAGAGAAGTAGAGAAGACTTGCCTTGAGCTTTGTATTCCCATCATCTGCGCCCTAGATGGTCAGAACCATTAGAAAGCTTGGAAATTAAACAACAAAGCGCATATGTACGCACCACATCTTTGAGCGCTGCCTCCAAGCTCCACACATATATTTTTTGGTCCAGTCCAGCACTGGCAATGTATTTTCCATCGTGGGACATGACAACAGCCCTGAGTTCGTCATCATGCAGGAGTGGATCTCCGACTGCCTGCAGCTGATTGGTCTTGAGCTTGAGATCCCAGATGCGAATGGAATAGTCACTCGATCCGCTAACAATATAGTTTTCATTGGGAGTAAGACAGAGGGATCTGACAGCTTTGGTGTGACCCCGAAAAACGACGAGTTCCTGTCCATCAATCGCCCGCCATTTTCGGATGGTTTCATCGTATGAGGCAGAGAAGATGTGTGCGCCGTCCTTGGACCAACACAATGACGTCACATCGTTGTCATGTCCCTTGATCTCGACAAGCAGCTTTCCGTCCTTTGACCATATGCAGATCGGACCGTTCCCACCGCTCATGAACTTGTCGCCTTGCAGTGGAGAGTATTTGACGGCTCTGACCCATCCGTGACTGGTCTCTATGGGTGATGCTATTTGTCGACCGGTATCCGGGTTCCAGCGTCGTATGGTGCCGTCTTCTGATCCACTTGCTATCTCCAGGGAATTGCGAGACCAATCGAGGCACCTCACTGCTCCATTATGCCTCTCCCACAGGTCACCAACCATGCTGCCCTCCTTTATATTCCACAGTCGCAGTCTGCCGTCTACACTTCCACAAACAGCCATCGTTTCGTCCGGGGATACTACTATCGAACCTATCGCTCCCCCATCACTATTCAAAGGTTTTCCTACTGGCTCTCCATCAATTTTCCACTGACGAATCGAACAATCCCGAGACGTGCTCATTATATTGCCACTGGTACCTAAGTAGGCAAGGCTCCATATGCATTCGGTGTGACCCTCGATGACGCACTCCGGCATCAAGCTTCCTGCTGGACGTTCCGGCTTTGGTTTCTTCCACGACGTGGTCCGAGTATTGTGGTTGACGAAGTAGGACCGACCCAGTGGTGAGATGTGCCATTCGCATCCGGGGACCGCGAGATATCCAGGATAGTCTATGTTCGATGGTGAGTTCGTCGCTGCTTGTCGCAATTTCAAAATTTCACAGCTCACCTAGTCGCACTCCTGGTAAAGGTCGATTCCACGAGCCAATCAAGAGCGTGTCATCTTGGTATAGTGTTTCACCATCCGAGGACATCTTGAACTGATGCCACATAGGAGGAAGCGCTTCATTCCCGCCTGATTCTAATTGAATAAGCTGGTAGGTATCACCAGGTGGCTGCTCACCTTCCCAAAATGCATCCTGGCGGTGCTGTGCACCATATGGTGGTAGATATTTCGCGCTCGTCCGATATATCGATGAGTGCAATGGCGCTTCTCCCTGTCTCGTTGATGTGCTCGACTCGGCCTCCTCGTGTGCCATGACCTTGATCAATATAGGATACTGCGCTGTAAAAACGGACTGTACAGAGAAACACTGCGCAAAGTGAGTAATCGAGGAGAGGGAGAGGGGGAGATACGGGTTGAAGGTGATGAAGAGAGCTGCTATTTGGGTCAGTTTTGTATGCTGTAGTTGCAGGCGCCTTGCTGACACTGCATGTCAATGGCTGTGTTACCATCGGTACCGTGGTCCGGTGCAAATCTTGAGGCAGTTCGATGCACATTGGTCTGTTACATATATATGTCTTGTCAGCGAGTGGAATAATGTGATATTCGTTCATGAGCGGGTACACACACATATCGAATCTGTATGCTCTGCCTAGCGCGTAGCATCACTCTCAAGCAAAGTACCAGTAGTGACAAATGACGGTATGACTGATGCGAACAGGCGAAGAGTCGCTTGATGTTGGCTGCGCAATATTGCTATGATCAACGTCCCCGGGCGTTGATAGTGTCCAAACCAGTCTTCTCGTCTTAATAACCAGAGAGTTGAACGTTCGACGTCAAAACCAAAGTCATGTTCAGATGAACTTCGCCGGCTTTCCCACAAATTGCAGTCAACAACCATGACCTTCATTCACTGGCCAGAAGAACCATGATGCGGGCTGCACGGCGTCAACCTGAACGCTCTCACCTGTCTGCGTGACCTGCTGCACGACTTCACCCACACCCGAACCGTTACCGCGCTTTTGTGCACTAGTAACAACCTCCAGCACGCTCGCGAGGCCCGCCTTCCACGCAACAAGACGTTTTTCCAGTGCCATTCATTTCTCTCGCTCAAACGTGCGCGCTGACGAACGGTAAACGTGTAGAGATGGGGTAGTCTGTGAGAGCTTTCCCGAAAGAAGACCTGTACGGATCACTATTCGAAGATGATTTGAGATAATTATAAACGACAGGATGTCAAGAGGATGTACCATCGATTGCCCACTTCTCTACTCAACCTGCAGGATCGACGCGACCTCTGAATAGGGCAGGTCGTCCCCGACGTGTGAAAAACCCAGTGACGCAAATGACAGGAGATGGATCTTCCGCTCGAGCTGAGTTCTGCAGGCCCGTGAATAGTTCAAGTATGTGGTATCAATAATAATGAACCGACTTACCATATTTTTCGAGAGCAGCGGGATGGCTTTCGAGCCATGAATGTAATTCTGGTAGCTCACTATTCAAAAACACCTGCAGAAGCGAGAAAAGCTCGTGATCCTTTGCTGAGACAACAGCGTCCGACTTGAACAATGGGTCAAAGTCGAACAAGCTGGGCAAGCGCAATGCTAAGGCTATGGCATCGATCGCCGGGGAAGGCGAAGAGGATGGTAATGAAGAAACATAGGAAAGCGTGTAATGATAAGCAGTTTCCCTGTATGCGTCAAATGTCAACCACAACCTTCATTAGTCAAATGGAATAACACGTACGGCTGGTCAGATTGTATGAATGCATCGACAATGGACTTGAGGAATTGACTGCGCTCTTCCCCAGAGATATCCCATTCTTGCAACCACTGCTCGACATCACTTCTGCATAAACACAAAGTCTCGAGCTCTCCATTGTTGGCGGGGACTTTTAGTAACGCGGTGTAAATAGGTAGGCGGAGGGCTGAATTGCGAGGAGTAGCATTGAACAAATTTGATACGCTATTTAAGAATTGAGCACACGGCCCGCATAAGTGTGCTCAAAATGTAGTACTTACATGTATCAGAACTAGAACGCATGTCGTAGAGCCCATCAGGGACGACGCCGCGAAGTGAAGGTCCTTGAAGGCAAACTGAATATGCCTACCACAATACATGTGATGCCCCCGTCAAAAATCAGTAAACACGGGAAACTGAGATGTGGGGCCCATATTATGGGCGGCCAGGTGGTCGATCGTGACGCGGCGCATTCGAAATAAATTCCACATGCTTTTGATCTTGGTTGACAATGGTTGTTGATGAATGTCCGTTGTATGTGCATCTAGATCTAGGTCTCACCATATATTTGTCCTCCATGTGCATAAATCTTGAGGATGAGTTATGCCTTGGAGTTGGAGTTGGACCACTGAACCGGAAAATGAAATTCAAAAATCTGATTATCGAGACTAGGGCGCCGCGCCATAACGCAAACGTGGCTCACAGAGTGATTTCAGGATGTTATTACCTCGCAAGCTCATACTTTTCACACAAACATAATGCTATAGCCACCGCCTTCTAGATTCCTAAACCAGTCCCAGATCAATTTGAGAACCTAGCTTTCCACGTTGAGAATCTTTGAACCCTATGCCTGCACGGGCCAGGGATTCTGCAATAGTACTCGGCACCCAATCACCCACCGTCATCAACAACCTGACCCTCACAACAGCCATGACCGACTCCGGCAAAGTCTACCACCGCTCGTGCACCGGACCAGCTCTCCAAACTGTCGAACAACACGCTCAAGACCAAGACATCACACTCTTCGCAAGCTGTTTTTGCCCATTCGTACAACGCGTATGGACTGCGCTTGAATATCTCGAGATTCCTTACAAAGTGAGAGAATCTTTCCGCGAGTCGTACTTGAATGAAGGGCAGACTGATCGAGGGTGATGATAATCTAGTATTGTGAGTCAGCGTGCCGATCATTGATGCAACAACTATGGTGATGACAATGACTGTTTGCCTTGTTTGATGGATGGCAGACGAAGTCGATCCCTATCAAAAATCACAAGAACTACTAAACGTCTCGCCGAAAGGCCTAGTCCCAGCGCTCATGCTCAATACTTTCAATCCGCCTCGTGCGCTCAACGAAAGCACCGTCATCCTCGACTTTCTCGAAGAGTGCGTTTCATCCCACACACAGAATCCCAACATTGCTAAAACTGGGTGATGATCACCAAGTATCGCTGCAAAGTCAACGCACAGAAGCCTCTTCCCGCCATCAACAGATCCATGTTTGTGAAACCCAACATAAATTTTCAAGCGCTCACTTACATATATCGTGTTCTTTTGCCAGATGCGAAAGCGCTCGTCCGGCTCCAATCAGATCATATCAGCCGAACGCTCGTGCCCGCGTTTTACAAGTATCTTCAAGCTCAAGATCCAGAGGCGCAAATTTCTGGAGGGAAAGAGTTTCACGCAGCTATTCAATCATTAGTCGAGCTTTTCGAACGAGCGGAAAGAGAGGTGGGGGGGACAGGGCTTTGGGTTGAAGGTGGCGGTTTGGGATGGGCGGACGTCATGGTCGCACCATGTGGGTCTTAGTTTCTACTCATTGATGGTAATGGAAGACACTCAAGGTCGTGACTCTAGGGATATTCAGAGCGACTAATGCGTTGAAACACTACCGCGGGTTTGAAATGCCGCGAGGAACCAAATTTGAAGCTTGGCTAGGGAGGCTTTTTGAGCATCCTGCGTTTAAGAAGACTTGTAGTGACGAAGAGTTGTATCTGGACAGTTATGAGCGGTGAGTGCGTGTTTCTGATGGGGACCGGGTGACTTAAATGTCTTGTAGATATGCATTTAATCGCCCGAACACGAGTCAGGTGGCTAATGCGATTAATAGCGGGAGGGGCTTACCTTGAGCGAGACATGCAGAAATATAATATAAAGTTAAATATAAATGTATTTGTAAAGTGAAGAAAATAGCGCTATGGGGTCTCAGCTGTTTGTTGGTCGGTGGGAGGTACTAAATTCCCAGTAAGCTAGGCAGTGAAGGTGTGATACATTGCATGATCGTTCGGGGCTTGCTGCTTGTCGTAGAGCTGTGATTCATGAGGCTTAAGAGTGAGTAAGTATGAGTAGTCTCAGAGTAGAAGAGAGGCGTGTGAGATGTCCTGCCTTCACGTGCCAATTCTTCTCTTTGATCCAAAATATGACGCGACCGGTGGGGACGTTACACATACATGAGCTTCAAGAAGCGTGCCAGAGAGAACTCAAAGAGTAGGCCGAACTCGAATGTCCCTTTTCCTTGACCCAATGAGTTTCGTTTCCGTCGAAAACATTAGTCAAAGTCCATGTAAGGAAACCAGACCTTGACGCAAACTGGAATATCAGGGAAAACTTTTAGGAAGACTCTTGCATTTTATGACTTGCTCAGCAGCAGCAAGCTCTGCTTTGCATTGAAGGGGATGCTTCATGCCCTTGATGCGGATCCACCATTCGCCGTAAGCAAATGCTAACAGTTGTCCAGACAAGTCCCAACGTTCGACCCTAGTGAAAATCGGACAAGACACACTCGTACAGAGACGGATTTGTAAGTTTCGTGTAGTCAGTGTAGTCATATCGATGGAAATCCGAGTTATACAAACACATGTTGAACAATCTGTGTACGATTTGAGCAGTACGTACTCAATGCTGCGCGAAATCCAACTTCAACGTTTCAACGGGTCGCCTTTCCAGCAAATATCAAGCTCCCCGCCCAGAAGACCATTGCACCACCAAAAGCTGCATTCCAGACAACGGGGCCGACTTCCCCAGTGGTGTTGTCAACACGTGGCGTGGACCCGAGCGAAGAAAAGTAGGTGCACGAAGAGAGATGGATCCAAGTGCGTGGGTGACAGTCACGGCGGCGAATATTGATTATGGGAGGAGTCAGACACAGGTGCGGGGGAAGGAGGACTGAACTGAGTGTGAGCGTACCACACGTCGTCCATCCTTCATGACTGATGCGAAGCAGGACGACGAAGACCAAAGAAAAATCCACAGCAGTTCACTCCTCCATACACAAAGTCTTCCGCTCCGCCAGTTGAGCCTTGTGCTTGCGTTTGGATTGGCTGTGCTTGAGATGGTCGTGCCCCTGCTGGTTGACCTGATTGCGTTGCACTGTTGGCCTGGTTGTTGTTCGTACGTTCCATAGCTGCAGCCGCTTCCGCATCAGTTTCGGGGACAATGCCATATCTCTGCAATGTATTTTAATGGAACGAAATTGGAGGGAGGACAAGTCACTCACATCTTCATCACGAGCGGGCGCTACATCGACGGTGCGACTGGAGTTTCTTACTGGGAGTAAGCTGAAATTCCAATGTCGGGATTCGCGAGGTGATGGTCGAGGCGTATTTGGAGGTTGGGTACTGAACCGGAGTGAACCAATCAAATTGCGCCAATGGAAGAAATATGAGCTCGCAGGCGGAGCTGCGCGACGAGGTGCGCGATTTGAATCATTGCCGAAGAAATCATTGCCCTGTATCAAAGTCGGATTATACACAGATTTTTTTGTCTAGTCCAGCACTGGCAATGTATTTTCCATCGCGGGACATGACAACAGTCCTAAGTGCGTCATCATGCAAGAGTGGATCTCCAACTGCCTGATTGGTCTTGAGATCCCAGATGCGAATGGAGCAGTCATATGATGCGCTAACAATATAGCATTCATCGGGAGTCAGACAAATGGATTGGACAGCTGTGGAATGACCACGAAGAACGACGAGTTCCTGTCCATCAATCGCCCGCCATTTTCGGATGGTGTGATCACCCGACCCAGAGAAGACGTATGCGCCGTCCTTGGACCAACACAATGACGACACCGCCCTGTCATGTCCCTTGATCTCGATAAGTAGCCTGCCGTCCTTTGACCATATGCAAATCGGACCCTTCCCACCGCTCATGAACTTGTCGCCTTGTGGAGAGTATTTGACGACTCTAATCCATCCGTGACTGGCTTCTATGGGTGGTGCTATTTGTCGACCAGTATTCGGGTTCCAGCGTCGTATGGTGCCATCATAGGATCCACTTGCTATCTCCAGGGAATTGCGAGACCAATCCAGGCACCTCACTGTGGCATTATGCCCCTCCCACGGGTCGCCGATCATGCTGCCCTCCTTTATATTCCACAGCCGCAGTCTGCCGTCTACACTTCCACAAACAACCATTGTTTCATCCAGGGACAACTACCATCGAAAGTATCCCTCCCCCATCGCTATACAAAGGGTTTCCCACTGGCTCTCCGTCTCTTTTCCACTGACGAATCGAACTATCGTCAGACGTGCTCATTATATTGCCACTGGTACCCAAGTAGGCAAGGCTCCATATGCATTTGGAGTGACCCTCGATGACGCACTCCGGCATCAAGCTTCCTGCCAGACGTTCTGGCTTTGGTTTCTTCCACGACGTGGTTCGAGTATTGTGGTCGACGAAGTAGGACCGACCCAGTGGTGAGATGTGCCATTCCCATCCGGGAATCGCGAGATCTACAGGACAATCTATGTTCAATGGTGAGTTCATCGCTCCTTCACGCAATTTCATCCCTCACCTAGTCGCACTCCTGGTAAAGGTCGGTTCCACGAGACCATCAGGAGCGTGTCATCTTGATATAGTGTTTCACCATCCGAGGACGTCTTATACTGATGCCACATAGGAGGAAGCGCTTCATTCCCGCCTGCTGCTAATTGAGTAAGCTGGGGTGTATCACAAGGTAGCTGCTCACCTTCCCAAAGTGCGTCCTGGCGGTGCTGTGCACCATATGGTGGTGGATATTTCGCGCTCGTCCGATATATCGATGGGTGCAATGGCGCATCTCCCCGTCTCGTTGACGTGCTTGACTCGGCCTCTTCGTGTGGCATGACCTTGATCGATAAAGGATGTTACGTTGTACAGACAGACTAGACAGAGAATCACTGCGCCAACTCAGCAATCGAGGGAAGGGAGAGATACGGGCTGAAGGTGATGAAGAGAGCTGCTATTTAGGTTAGTTTTGCATGCTGTAGTTGCAGGTGCCTTGCTGCCACCGCATTCAATGGCTATGCTACCATCAGATCAAGTACTTCGGTGCAAATCTTGAGGCAGTTCGATGCACGTTGGTCTGTGATATACGTCTTGTCAGTGAGTGGAATAACATGATATTCGTTTGAGTGGGTACATACACACATCGAATATGTATGCTCTGCCTAGCGCTTAGTACCACTCTCAAGCAAAGTACCAGTAGTGACAAATGATTGCATGACTGACGAGAACAGGGATGGAGTCGCTTGATGTTGGCTGCGCAATATTGATGTGATCAACGTCCCCGGGCGTGTATAGTGTCCAAACCAAAGTTTGCTTGTCTGAGTAGGCAGAGTTTTGAACGTTCGGCATGGAAGTCGAAGTCATGTTCAGATCAACGACAATGAGCTCTACCAGCTTTCCCACAAATTGCAGTTAACAACCATGCATTGATTCGCTGACCAGAGGAACTCTGATGTAGGCTACGTGGCGTCAGCCTGAACGCTCTCACCTGTCTGCGTGACCTGCTGCACGACTTCACCCACACCCGAACCGTTACCGCGCTTTTGTGCACTAATAACAACCTCCAGCACGCTCGCTAGGCCTGCCTTCCACGCAACAAGACGTTTTTCCAGTGCCTCCCATTGCTCTCGCTCAAACGTGCGTGCTGACGAACGGTAAACGTGTAGAGATTGGGTGGTCTGCGAGAGCTTTCCCGAAAGAAGACCGGTACGGATCACTATTGAAAGATTATCTGAGATAATTATAAATGACAGGATGTCAAGAGGACGTACCATCGATCGCCCACTTCTCTACTTCACTTAACTCGATCTGCAGGATCGACGCGACCTCTGAATATGGCAAGTCATGCCCGACGTGTGCAAAACCCAGTGACGCAAATGACAGAAGACGGATCTTACGCTCAAGCTGTGCTCGGTCGAGTTCTGCAAGCCCGTGAATAGTTCAAATATGTGGTATCAATAATAATGAACGACCTACCATATTTTTCGAGAGCAGTGGGATGGCTTTCGAGCCATGAATGTAATTCTGGCAGGCCATTATTCAGAAACACCTGCAGAAGCGAGAAAAGCTCGTGATCCTTCGCTGATACAACAGCGTCCAACTTGAACAATGGGTCAAAGTCGAATAAGCTGGGCAAGCGCAATGCTAAGGCTATGGCATCGACCGCCGCGGATTGACTTTCAGGCGAAGAGGATGATAATGAAGAAACATAGGAAAGCGTGTGATGATAAGCAGTTTCCCTGTATGAGTAAAATGTCAATTACAACCTTCATCAGTCAGATGGAATGATACGTACGGCTGGCCAGATTGAATGAATGCATCGACAATGGACTTGAGGAATTGACTACGCTCTTCCCCAGAGATATCCCATTCTTGTAACCACTTCTCGACATCTTTTCTGGATAGACGCAAAGTCTCGAGCTCTCCATTGTTGGCGGCTACTTTTAGTAACGCAGTGTAAATAGGTAGGCGGAGGGCTGAATTACGAGGAGTAGCATTGAACAAATTTGATATGCTGTTGAAGAACCGATCACACATCCTGCACAAATGTCCTGAAAACGTAGTACTTACACGCGATATCTCACTGATGGATGCTCGGAAGGTGATGAAGTAAGAACACCCAGGAGCGAGGAGACGTAATGTTTAATTTCCGGTGAGTTGGTCGGCCATAGTGTCAGAAGGTGAGAGAAGAGAAGGTTGAAGTAACCCTCGATTTCTGCGTTTCAAAATCAGATCTGATTCACTGCAGAAAATGCGGAGGATCCCCGGACACACCTTGTTCTGATCCATCGCCCAAGCTTTTCGTCCCATCAAGCACAAAGGTCAACGCGTTCCGTTTTCTTTCCTGATCCTCTTCAATAGGTTTAGCTCCTTCATCTGGCTTAATAATATCTCGGAAAGATTGCAACGCAGCAGCACGTTCATCCTCTGGGCTACTTCGAGTGGCATAATCCACTAGCTCTTGTATCTGACCGAATATCAGGGTTAAGTCTTAAGGAGGAGAGTACAACTATACCTGTTCTTCGAAAGTCCCTTCCGCGAACACTGACACTGAATCTGCGGTAGGCATTTTGTTGGATGAACTACATATACTTGTGGTGCAATTAGATCCTAGCTGAGTTTCAAAAATATAATCATGTACAAACAAACTGCCAACTTGTAGTGTCTGTTGGCATTACTGCATGATTGCGCCGCGCCAGTTTTTCCAACTCTAGAATTTTCCAGCGAACTTGGCCAGGGGTAAAACAACTTGGTACAATCATTAGTAGTATTGGAACCTCAGAGGGTAATTTCTGTGACTTCATCCTACTAATTAGTAAGCTGGTTTTTGTTTGGATTTATTGAATTCAGAAGGTACCGTCGTAAACAGTGACAAACAGGCACCAGCCAATGCGTTATGGGTCACCGCATTACTAGGTCGTATGTATCATGTCATTTACAAGTCTGAAATCTCAAAGGCAATCTAAGGCATCAAGATCGTATGTGACTTCCACCGATAATTCCAAAGAGTCCCACTCCACAACTATTCCAAAAGCAATACATTCTAATGATCCAACTACATCAACTCCCAGCAATGGAGGCATTGTGTACCACGGCATACCAGAAAATGTGGAGATGCGGGTATCAGAAATATCAGGCAGAGGCTTATGGGCCAGGAATTTAATCAAAGCTGGTTAGCAAATTTATTGCAAGATCTGATTCTTGAGCCACACATCGCTTACACGACATAGGTTCTGTTATTATATCACTAAGGCCGTATTCATTTGCACTAGCTAGCCGGTATCTGGACTCGCATTGCTCCTCTTGTGTTGCCACGTCAAACTCGGGATTGTTGAGGTGTACCAGATGCCGCACAGTTCGGTATTGTAACACAGTTAGTTGCACTTATACCATAAAGCGCTTTTTCACTGGTCTAATTCCTCAGTATTAGACGTGTCAGACAAATGACTGGTCGCTTCATCGACTCGAATGTTCTGCATTGACGAAATGGGCCAAGTCAGCACCATCGAAAAACTTGTCTGTTCCAAGTGATGCTGTCAGGTGCCTGGGTAGAATTTTGTGGCAAAAACAGAAGGAAGGGTTTGATAGTAGTTGGGTGGGTAAGAGTTTGTATTTAATGGCTCACACCGCTGACAGCACGACAGTCAAAGGAAATTGATGCATTACAGTCTCGTGAGTCGTGCATCACATTCAAGTGCAGGTTATAATTGAGGTGGGATTAGATCGACATTCTTTGGAACCTCATGTCGTTGAAAATAATACCCACCTTGCCCACTCTCTGGTTCGATATCTTGGCTTGTCTTCTCCTGGAGATTTATCGGAGTTTGGCATTTTATCTGCGGGCGACTTTGCTGATTTAATTTCAAGAGTAAGCACTGTTCACAGAATGCATCAGGAATCGCATACTTAGTATCTGGCAGTTTGTGACGAATACTTTCGCATTAACTTCACCCTCGTTGACACCAGTGGGGGTGTCGGTCTCGCCGCTTGTTGCGCTTTTCAACCATTCTTGTGATCCCGGTGCAGTCATAGTTTTTCCTCGATCTTCTCGAAATCCCGCGGAGGAGCCGCAGATGCAAGTAATTGCGCTCAGAGACATTTCACCCAATGAGGAGGCGAGTATAGACCACTTACTCGAAGCGCTCTCACTAACCAGCGATCGCTGTCAGATTCTGACATCCTACATCGACACCACCCTGCCTCGTTCTCTAAGACAGGCTGCGTTGAAGGAGACATATGACTTCACATGCCAGTGTGAACTATGCCATGACGACAATATAATAGACCCTCGTGAGTCCATATGGTGTCCAAAGTCATGTGGAGGGATGTGCCCTGCGCCCAGTGACGGTGAGAACGGTCGGCGCTTTACTTGCAATAATGGTTTTTCATACATTGCATCTATAACAGAAAGCGAGCCATGCCAATGCGTGAAATGCCGCGCAGTTGTAGCTACACCTACATTTATCACGGACGCTCTTCATATTGGACAAGAAGCATTGGCGAAGGCAACTTCCATTCAAGATACAGGTTCGTCCCTCATGTTGCGTAGGAAAGACATCCACGTAAATCTTAATTCCTTACAGATCATGATAAGGCCTTACAGCTGACGACCAATATTATTCCGAGACTTGTGTCTGCCGGCCTGACGCCATCTTGTCACCCGTTATTGCCCTTGATCGGACTCCATAAATCACTTCTCTTGTCTTCGCTGTCGGCGGACATGGCACAAGAACTGCTGGACGAGACGATCCGTATCGCAGCTAAGCACTATATGGGGCTATCCGCCATTCTCCGTGATGGCCACCCTGTACGTGCCGTCGCCCTCGCAGAGCTCGGGAAGCTTTTGGCCGTTGATGAACCCTGCCCGGTCACATCACCACCCACGAATATCGCCTCCCTACCGTCCGGCCCCGCGCGACTCAAAGCTGCATACGAAACACTAGTGCGTGCGAGACATGAACTGATGATCGGTTTTGGCAGAAACAACGACGGCGGTGAGCTCGGAAGAAATATTCGCGAAACAGTGGTGTCGTTGGAGAAGGAACTTGGGGTGTGGACACAAGGCATACACAACACTCTTCAAGACTTGCTAAACTCCTCGCGAAAATGAATAACAATTGAGGCTTTGAGTGCGCTCTTGTTGATTTCATATATGATGCCTGTCAATGCACTATCTCGGGTCGATAAGCTCTCTAATAATTAGCTCTTAAAGTCCCTTGGCTGGATCCATAATAGTGGCGTCATGATGAGTGGCAAGACATCACCCAACGTCTGCGAGGAGGACTATTAGCTGTTCGGCACTATGTGAGCTCCGCAATTCCCATTTCGAATGAACTGTAAAAACACAACTGAGGCACTCAATTTCAAATCAGTTTATCTTGCTTGCCATCAAAACATATCACTCGTGAACAATAAACTGGGCAAAATCGACCGCAAATTGAGCGGGGCTAATAATTTTGATATTGCTAGGTGGGCGACCGGCCCTACTCTATGTGGCGCCCTGCCACGGATTCATCATGACGTTAACTTGTTATATGGATCGATAAACGACTCAGTCGTTTCAGAACGTTAATTTGACTACCACTCATAAATCGTTATTGAGTAGGGTTCTTTTTACCGCGTCGTTAGGCGCTGCTATAGCAGACGATAGGAGCCCCCCAACGACACGGTATGACATCAAATGTTTGAATAACTTACCGACCTACTCAATAAGGATTTTATTGTATTGATCCATAATAGTAATTGAATTCGTGGCAAGGGGTCGCATCGAATGTGGCCGGCGTAGCAGTGATCTGTCTGTTGTATGGAAGCGAGTGACACCATTATGACATCAAAAGGTAAAATACTTATCAGATACGCTGGAATTGTTTTATTAGGTTCCCAACGTCCCAAGGAAGAATACTTAAACGGCATCCTTTGGAGCTTGTGTGCTTCTCACTTCAGCATCGTCACAGATCAGACAGCGCAACAGATACAGATATACTCACCATCATGTTCACTCGCTTCTCTTCTGCTCCCCTCTATGTTCTGCTTGCCTTGATGGCCTTTGTTACTACAAGCTATGCTTCCCCAGGTGAGGCTGACTTCGCACAAAATCTAATACTGTTCACTCACATACGATGTGTAGCCACCGTTACGATACATAATGTAAGTGTCTGGTACCACCAATCCCCGTTATGTTATTAACCTCAAACATAATCACCCAGAACCACCCACGTGTAAGCCTTATGTCGAATTCATGGATTGGCATCGCGATATTAATTACTAATATTGCACACAGGACGCGACTACTACTGTCGCAGCGGTTGAGACTACAACTTTGTATGCCTAAGTAAGGCTTCAATGCTTCATATCAGACCTCGTCATATTGACCTCACATGTAGTGCATCCAGGTGCCTCGTGTAAGCCTTGCTTCGCCTCAAATCCAATTGACCTTGCGGTGTTAATTTTGTACACAGGCCGAAAGCTTTACAACTACGCAATGTTACCACGGCGTGAACTGACTTAGAATCTACTTCGTTCCTCGAAGTCAATAGTCGAATTCTTTTTTTTTCGTTCAAAAGTGAATCGTTTGGGGTCATTTGCATCTTTTCTTTCGTATACTATATGTGGTTGACGTGAGAGGTTACTAGTAGATTAAGATTTTATCAATTGAACTTGCGAATGTTTTATCTGGTTGTGGTCCTTCCATAGTATCGACAGTGTTGCATAACGTGCCACTCTCCTTTCATTGTGGAGTGTAAAGGTGTTATTATTTGAGTGATATGGCATAGTACAGGTGATGGTTATTACTGACGGGGCGTTTGTTTGAGAGTGGTGGTGGGAAGTCGAACTAACCGCACGTGATGACTGGTCGCTAAAGTTATGAGGGAACTTGATTCTTGAAGTACTCATACCCAATCGCACACTAATATTGTGCTCGCAAAACCAGTAGGCTCATCAACGGGTCCCTGCCGACAAAGTTCGGACCTTTCCTCTGATAGTGGGCAGGTACACTTGATTGTTCCGAAAGTCTTGACTCATTCGTTTGAATCAGCTCCAAGTCTTGTATGCCTCTGAACAGCTCTGAACAACCTCTTTGAAACACATCGCATCGCACAAGTTTCTCACCTAGACTCGCCATGGTTTACCAGAGGGTCAGTCCTGATTGAAAAAAAGGAAACGTCATCGCTCTGTACGTGCTTTCGGAGGAAGGATGGGGGATGGGTGTTGTTCTTGAGCCTCAAAAGTAGAAAAGTATAGAGCGGTCACGGCGGGAGGCATGGAATCCTCCGCCCAGAACGCTGACACTCACCCCAGCACACTAGTTCGCGAATACTGATCCGACCTCAGGTCTTTGTCGGTCCCCTCGAAAAACACGCCCAGATGGTCCCACCACCTGTGCCATTGCAAATTCATGTCACACCGAGCCACCAGCCTAATTGGAACGGCTACAAGAGAACTGTTCAGCTCACCATCAAATATCTCACCAGGTGATCTTGCACTGACACCAGCCAAAATTCTCGCATAGAGGCGATGGACATGAGCCTGAGAGCCTGAAGGACGTGATCAGAAGAATCATGACGCGTTTTCAAATTTCTACGCGATTTTGACGAGAAGCTGCTAACGACTCACTCAGGCGAACATCTTGGTGTTGAATACCCTGCAATTTGTGATGCTAGACAACGGAGGGATAAAGGCATCGTCTCCAAACGACAGAAGCGGAAGCGATGATGGGACAATAATAGTGAGGTTGAGACAGAAGACCCGGGACAGCAGATGCTCAAATTTCAAACTCAAGAGTGGCTTCAACGAAATTTGCGATCGCGGGAGGCTTTCAGCTTATGTAATTTAAGGCTTGGCCGCCGCCTGACTTAACAACGTACCGGCGTGTCCGATCTACCCTCTGCAAACACAAATTCCGGCGCGAGTCCAAAACTTCAAGACTTCGTTTGCGCGATCAAATTTCGTCCAACTCACACCCACACCCTCTCTGGTCCATCTTTATGCACGAACCTGTGAGACCCATATCCAAGTACTCCTTGGCAAATACCTCTCGTCCGAGTGTCACACTGTACAACGACGACACGGAACGAACCGAGGCCACTTTCAACAACAACACTGCCACTAGCATGCAGTGTAAGATAGGCGCTCGCGAATACAGCATGCAAAATCACCCCCATCGTCTTTTCTCGTCCTTGACTATTCATTTTACCCGTTATCGAGATCAGCCTCTACCTCATTGTCCAACCGTCTGAAAGCGTAGCGTCCTTTCTTGATCAGAGTTATGCTCAGCGAAGTCAGCGAGTCGAGCACATCAGCACAACGGAGAGGAGCACAAGGAGAAATGCTATTCAACCCACTAACACCTATTGTACCTCTTCTGGCGAGCGCAGATGGTCTTCCGTTATATGGTGCACAACACCATCAGGACGCACTTTGGGAAGGTCAGAAGTCACCTTATGATACCCACCAGCTTACTCAATCAGAAGCAGGGGGGAATGAAGCGCTTCCTCCTGTGTGGCAACAATTTAAGGCGTCCAATGGTAACACACTATATCAAGACGACACGCTTGTGATGGTCTCGTGGAATCGACCTTTACCAGGAGTGCGACTAGGTGAGGGATGAAATTGCGACACGGACTGACGAACTCACGGTTGAACATAGATGATCCTGAAGATCTCGTTGATCCCGGATGGGAATGGCACATCTCACCACTCGGTCGGTCGTACTTCGTCAACCACAATACTCAGATCACGTCGTGGAAGAAACCTAAGCCAGAACGTCGTGCAGGAAGCTTGATGCCGGAGTGCGTCATCGAGGGTCATTCCGACTGCATATGGAGCCTCGCCCACTTGGGTACTAGTGGCAATATAATGAGCGCTTCCTGGGATAGTTCAATTCGTCAGTGGAAAAGAGACGGAAAGCCAGTAGGAAAGCCTTCGAATCACGACGGGGAAGGGATAGTCTCGATGGCAGTATCTCCGGATGAAACAATGATCGTTTTTGGAAGTGTAGATGACAGACTGCGACTGTGGAATATAAAAAAGGGTAGCATGATCGGCGACCCATGGGAGGGGCACGACGCTGCAGTGACTTGCCTCGATTGGTCTCGCGATTCCTTGGAGATAGCAAGTGGATCGCAAGACGGCACCATACGACGTTGGAACCCGGATACTGGTCGACAAATAGTACCACTCATACAGACCAGTCACGGATGGGTCGGAGCCGTCAAATACTCTCCACAAGGCGACAAATTCATGAGCGGTGGGGACGATATAATTTGCGTGTGGTCAAGGGACGGCAAGCTGCTTATTGAGATCGAGGGACACGACAACGGAGTGACGTCATTGTGTTGGTCCAAGGATGGCGCACATATCTTTTCTGCCTCACTTGATAACACCATCCGAAAATGGCGGACTGTTGATGGACACGAACTCGTCGTTTTTCGGGGTCATACTCACGGCGTCGAATCCTTGTGTCTTACCCCTGATGAAAGCTATATTGTTAGCGGATCAAGGGACTACTCCATTCGCATCTGGGATCTCAAGAACAATCAGGCAGTCGGAGATCCACTCTTGCATGATGACGAACTCTGGGTTGTCGCCATGTCCCCCGATGGAAAATACATTGCCAGCGCTGGACCAGACAAAAAAATCTATGTATGGAGCCTTGAGGCGGCGCTCAAAGTTGTGGTACATATGTACTTTGGTGTTACGATGTCCTTTTCTAATAGTTTTGGTCGTTTAGGGTGCCGATGATGGGAACCCAAAGCTTCAGGCAAGTCTTCACCACTTCTCTTTCACACTACATCTCATTTTTTACCAGGGACGTCCAACCCGACCGAGAGTTGTGCGCCCACCAATCGTGAGCAACCCCACCTTTTCTCAGATGTCTCATTAGACCTTTGACGCCTGTCTTGCTCCTAATCAGCAGGCCAAAAAATATGGATTTGCAAGATACGTCAGTGTAATTTCTTGTTCTTGACCTTTTTTTGTCTGACACCAAGATATAGGGCAATGATTTCTTCAGCAACGACTCAGACCACGCGCCTCGTCGTACAGTTCCACATGCAAGCCCATCGTCCTTCATTCGTTGGCGTCGTTGGCTCGGTCCCAAGCATTTCGGCACACGACCTGTAACTGCGTCTCAACCACTAGAGCGACAGTCCCGACACTGGAATTTCAACTTCAAGTTGTTTTCTGGAGGACATTCCACGCGCATCATCGATGTACCTCTTGCTCAAGATGAAAATGTGAGTGGCTATCCTTTCCTCCTCTTTCCTCCCATTAAAACACATTGCAGAGAATTGGTATTGTCCCCGAGTCTGATGCGGAAGCGGCCGCAGCTATGCAACGCACGAATGGCAATGAAACCGACAATTTAATGCCATCAGGTCGGCCAGCCGGGGCACAAGCATCTCAAGTGCAACCAATTCAAACACAAGCACAAGGCCCAACTGGTGGAGCGCAAGACTTTGAGTATGTAGGAGTGAGCTGTTGCGGAATTTTCGTTGGTTGTCGTCGTCCTGCTTCACATCGGTCATGAGACAATTTAGAATCTGTGTCACTCGATGATTTTCTCTCTCCCCTTTCATCTGTGTTTACGCTTCATATATCTCACACATAGCTCGTTCCCTCCCATGTACGTGCGCATGGCATTATTATATTTGTCTAGATAACGCTATGCTATCATCGAAACGGAGGGACCGCATGAATGAAGCATGGAGCTGTTCACCAACTTGAACGTCAACAAGTTCAACTGCAGCCATCAATCGATGAGATCCAGAGGGTCTCCATCCTCTCCTCCATTCCTCAATCTCTCACCATGGTCCTCACGGAACAAGAACATCGTACTGCCGCATCCCGAACACTATTATGCCACCGAAAGTCCAAAACACGATGATGGCAAACCGTCATGGATTCAGTCTCGCACTTGGATTTTCATCATGGATACATTCGCATAGAGATACCGTACCACCTCAGCCCGCTCAAAGTTCAAGAGGCAAGACGAATCGTTGGGTTCACTATACCGCACTTGGGTTATGGAGAGATGCTTCGCAGGACCAAATTAAAGTCTTCGATACTAGTTCGAGGTTCATTCTAGTGGCTGATACAACACCACAGAAAAGGTACTACGAAGTGTGGTTTCGTCATAGTCGATGCGCATCGTTGAGGTGATGCGCGTGTAGCTGAGCAGGCAACACCATCCTGACGTCTCTCAGAGATCTCAAGATTCAACTTCTCCTGAAATTTTCAGAAAGGTTACCGAGGCTTATGCTGTGCTCGGTGCGCTTATTTATTTTTCACTCGGCCAACTATAGTATATTGGTTCTGAACATCATCGTAGACGGAAATACGATTAATACGAGCAACTGCATTCTGCTCTTATAATGGGACTGTGACATCAACGGGCGGGGAACTTGCCTCGTCTGAACCCCGGCCGGTTGATCCCACTTTCTGGGACCCACTCAAGTCAGGCTCATCGATGTTTTATCGTCCGCCTGTTGGATACTGGTCGACGATGAACAAGCTCACGCGAGATAGGGAATTGAAGGAAAGGGAGAAGGCAAAGTTCAAGTTGCAAGCTCAGGTAGCTTCGTCCTCTCCCCAGAAAGCCATGCCTTTCTCATGACGGACCGGAAGAAAATGAGGCTGACAGTGAAGTTCGGTTAAGCGAATTCCAACTGAAAGTAATCATCGTAGCATTCTCTGCGGTATTCGCAGTAGTGTTTGTGGATCGGGTCAAGGAGTTACTTGGGTATACCGGGTTGCAAGCATCGCAAGAACGAGAGTGACAGCTAGTGCATCACAGGGATGTATAGAAGACCTCACGTCACAATCTGCTAATACGGTAATACCTGTGCTGATGGATGGTAGATACCCGCGGGAGGGAAGTGGCGTAGATAGTCAGTCAATGTATGTATCAGGAAAGTACTGTTGTAGTATTGGGCTTCCAACTAGTCTTCTATGCGTTTCGACAAACTGATTACAAAATTCATTGATTCATGCATGCGCACTGCCCCACGGCGCACCCGCAAACTGGGCTATCACTAACATGAAAGTTAAAAGTCCAGACACCGCAAACACACGCCCTATAACACTCTCCGCTGCAGCTACGTCCTCGTCCGTTTGCGTTCTTTTCGGTCGTGGTTCTTCTTTAGCCATACTTTCATTGCTACCATCAGACGGGCCCGTTCCTGGTGAAGGATATGCAGACATACGACCGGTTGCTCGTTGGACGTGTGGGCTGGAAAATGGATTTGTGTGCGACCATGTATAGGACGTGCGTGAATGTGCACCGGGGGGAGGTTTATAATAGGTGTATTTGCCTGCTCGAGCATGCTCCCATGGGTGGTCATAAGCTGCGTTTGGGTCATGCGCATGGCTGGACTTGGGGTCACGGTGCTGATGCTGACGTGCATTATTTTGCCATGCATTGCGCGACCCTGATCGATTGGAGGGACGTGCTGTAGTAGCTTGTGGGTGGTGAGAGGATGGTTGCGACGGTGATGCGTGGCGGATACTACGATCGTACTCTCGCCTGCCATCAGGTTATCAGGTCAGTACATCGGCGAGCGCTTTCAGGCGTACCGCTTTCGATCGTCCACGAGCACTGCGTAAGCTTCACTCACTGCGTGAAATTTTCCCCGTGCTGTACTGTCCTGACTAACATCGGGATGATATTTCTTGCTGAGCTAAGAGTTAGCGAGGTTCATCAGTAGGCATCCTTTGCTACCAATGAAGGACGACTCACTTGGTAGAAATGTGTCTATCATGAGTTTTTGAGGGACAGATCCTTTAAAAATTCAAGAAAATGACCCATGCCTTTATTTGAGCCTTCGTCGCTGTGATTGGGACTCCAAGGGTCGCATAGTGATCGCGCAAGTGGGCTGCTCGTCGACACGTGGATGAGAAGCAGCGGACATTGCGGTGTCCTTTAAATCTCAGTGCTGAAGTCATGAAAGGGAGCTTATATGAGGTGGAAGCAAGCCCTGGCGTGCATCTTGCTGCTGTTGTCATGTTCGCTATCGAAGCCTGAAGCAAGAGAACGAGCACCGACATCACGTGACTCACATTCGATTTCAACAACGGGTGAAACACCCGTATCCCGAACACACATCGATCTTGTCGCTAGTTGATAACATATTATTTCACAAAAAAACATTTCGTATATATCGGTTACTCGTTGAGTCCGGACTTAGCTTCACTCAACGTCCGCGTCGTCGGTTACTCGTTGAGTCCGACGGACTCACTCGAGACGCTCAACATCAACTTGAATTTGATTTCGACAAAAATGGACTGCGCGGCTATTGTCTAGCGGTATCAGTATCGGACACTTCTTGCTACTTTGCTTGGTGAGGAGACCTGTCACTGTCATTCGAACTCAGGTGTCGCCAGGTTCCCAAAACTCCCAAAACACGAAACACTGCTGGGACCCCTTTAAAGATCCTCCCATGTGGTTTTCGTATGTGGTATGACAAGCATGCGCTCCGAGTCGGAAGGCTGCGTCAATATTCAAGCTATCAAACGCCCAAAATTACAATTTTAATCCTCCTTGGAACCGCCACGAACTCTGACATCTGAACGTTGGACCATTCATTCCTAGATCGGAGAAGTTCGATGAAGCCTATGCCACATTCGGACTTGAAAGTAATGTCTGTTAGACGCTATTGATCTCTCCTTTTGTCCGCCACCCTCCTACATCAGTCTCGGTCTATACTTGGGGGACATGGGACTCCACAGGCGTTTAGTACCGGGATACCTGAAAACCTTTTCCGTCGGCCCTGTGACACTACCGCTGACATTATACGGATTCCGTGTATACTTAAGCTCCTTTGAACCGTACCTATCCATCTCTCACTATCCCTGACTTATCACCTTCGACATACCTATCACTGACACAAGGAAAATCAAATGGGCCCCTTCTCCATCGCGTCCCGTCTTTCCCTCGATGTCGGTATCTTATTTTGGGATATCCTCCTCACCCTCTCCAATCTCATGAGGAGGAAGCGTTGCATCGGGTATGTCACCCCCGAGGGCCACCCAGGCTATGCGAAGTACTGGCCCGAGTATAGGCCTCCCAAGGAGACAGACTCCCGCTGCTCTTGCCCTGCACTCAATGCGATGGCCAACCATGGTGAGTGATTCTGCCAGTCTCGGCGCTTAAGCCTAGGTGGTAGTATTGGTGTTGACGATATTAAAACCCAGGTATCATCCCACGCAGTGGACGCAACGTCTCGTTTGTTGAGGTTGGCCATCATATTCGGGCGACATACAACTTCAGTCCTAGCTTCTGCTCATTTGTGCCGCGCTTTGCCGCTCGCATGCTTAAGAAAAAGTACAGCGAGGACTTATTTGATTTGGAAGAACTTGACCTACATAATGGTATTGAACACGACGGATCCCTCTTGCGTGAGTGATTTGACATGCCTGTTTGTGTATGTCGGAATAATTTGTCTTTAGGTTTTGATTCTGCTCTCGAACAGACACAATCAACAAAGCACGTACCTTTCATTGAAGAGTTACTTGCAGCAGCTACCGGCAAGGACAAAAAAGACAATACTGTCATCACCACCGAAGATCTCTCCAGGATACTCGGCAAGCGGCGTGTAGTCGCACGCGCAGTAAACAAGGAGTTCTCTCTCAGCCTTTTCCACAAGATCTTTGGGAGCGCAAAGTACATTACTATTGCATCATCCATTTTAAGCGCACTTTTGAACGTTCCGTTAGTGCCGCGACCCTAGTCACTATCTTTGGAGGCCGTGTGGACGACCTCCATAACTTCCTTCATGAAGAACGACTCCCAGAGGGCTGGGAGTCGCACATCCGCCAACCTCACGGAATAACTATGATGCAATTAAACAAGACCATACTAGGAATTGAGCTTCGCGTGCGTGAGCAGGATTGGGCAGAGGCCGCACGGGAGGCTGTAGAATGTCTTGAGGCTTCTGTTCGAAAATCCTCTCAGAAGCTACATACTTGAACGTGACATTGGGAACTCGTCTGACGTTGCCGACCTTATCTGCTCTCATTTATTTGATTGCGACACCCAGTACCCCTAACAATGATTATGATGAGTTTATTACCTTTGAATATACATTAATGTTCTTGGTCGTTTCACTCACAGTTGACAACAGAGATCACCCGTTGCATTGAATCTGATCGAAAAATAGTAAAGGTGCACGTTCCTCATGCACATATTCGAGAGATTGTTCTGACGCTTGAGATTGCGTGAACACCTTGAAGACTCGAACACGTCCTCAGTCACGAACCTGTCAACGACTGGCGAGCTCTGCAGTTGTCCCCTTGAATTTAGAAAGCTGCGCGCAAAGCAAGCTGTCGGGCTTGAGCCAAACATGAACAGATACAAGACTCGGAGTCGGAGAATATCTACTTGCAATTGAATTCGGTGTGCGCGAGCAGGATTGGCAAGCGTTGAACATGGAGCGTGTCCAGGGAAGGGATCATATTAAAAATCATCACTATGTCAGAGAGAAGGCGTAACTCTGACATGTATAACAAGACTAGTACTCGACATCACTCTCGTAGTAGTATACTGGTAGCACTCATACGTAATTCGGGAAAGCGTTTCGGAAGGAATTGTGACTCACCGTGACCGCATCAACTTTTCAGCTTGCGACATCGACACAACTTGTACTTGGAACATTTTCACCAAGGCATTTAGCATCTGTTACACGGACGGTGTTATTACTTCTGGTTTGAAGTTCTTGAAATACTACCCGCATGTTAATTTATTCTTGACCTGTATCCTGATTTTTGGCAGCCACGATCCTGTCAACAACGAGCGAGCTCTTATGCAGGTGCCTCAGGCCTAGGTTCCAGGAATTGAAGTTTCTCAGTGCAGATATAAGAAGAAACGACCACAGATTCCTTCAACGTCCTTCATCGGGGAGAATATTGCTTGCAAGTTATGGCAAAAGCGCCGATGTAATTATTACATCATTTTCACGTGTGTACAATTATGAGCTGATACTTATTAATACTTATTATGTTGATCTTGTGGTACAAGCTGTAATTGCATATAACATAATTCAATCCCGTGCCCATTCCATGCGAGTACGATAAGAACCAGCTGAGGCTCGTGAGCCTTCCTCACGGCTGCCAGTCTTCTCACACATCTGGACTCTGTTCCCCTCAACTGACGGGGGTTTCTGAGAGGTTTGCCATTAGTACAGGTTCAGGAAACATGTGGTTCTCTTATCTGTCGCACCGTCGTGCATGGTGAGCCTTTTATCATCATTGCTCGTTTCCTTAACAGACTCTGACGAGGTCCATAATCATACTAGTCGCGATAAGCAACGAGAGCGAGCAGAACGTATCGCATCCCTCAAACCCATCTACCACGAGCCTCTCACATCCCAGGACAAAGAGATTCTGTCTCGCTCAGTTTCGTCTCTGGTGGCTGCTGTGCAAACGTCATCTCTGTCTCCATCAGACATCCTCGTTGCCTACTCTAAGAAAGCCCTTCAAGCGCATGCTCAGACAAACTGTCTGACCGAGGTTATGATTGCATCTGCAGAGACTTGGGCTAGCACTGCAAACAAATCAGGTCCACTGGCAGGCGTCCCAGTCTCGCTCAAGGACATGGTAAGTGTGAAGGGTTGGGATTCCTCCATGGGATACTCAGCTCTTGTGGGCAAACCAATGGCCGCCGACGGCGCGTTGGTGAGGTTGCTGCGAGATGCAGGTGCCGTTCCATACGTCAAGACGAACGTTCCCATGACCATGCTCTCACTGGAGTCGACAAACGATGTTTTTGGTTCTACCGACAATCCCCACAAGAAGGGCTACACCTCAGGAGGATCATCTTCAGGTGAAGCTGTACTCCTTGCGCTCGGTGCAGCCAGACTCGCGATAGGCACAGATGTCGCGGGGAGCGTTCGAACTCCTGCGCATTTCTCTGGCGTCTATTCAATCAAATCAAGTATGTATAGATTCTTGAAGCAGGGCAGCGCGTCCAGTATGCCTGGCCAGGAGGGCGTTCCTGCAACACATAGCCCTATGACCAGAACGTTGGAAGATCTAGAGACATTCTGGCGTGCTGTGTTCCAAATGAAGCCTTGGAACTACGACTACTCGGTAAATAAAATCAGTGCTGTTAAGTTGCTGCATGGTAATGTGGTAATATAGGTCCTTAGAATTCCTTGGAGAGATGTCAAACTTCCAGAAGATCGCCCCATCAGGTGGGGTGTCCTGTGGGATGACGGTAAGCGGAACATCTCTATGGAGTTTAAGCTCAGCATATTCACATTCGCACAAAGGTGTTGTGACACCCTCGCCTGCCTGCGCGCGAGCATTGAAAACGGTCACTGCGATACTCGAGAAGAACGGCCACGAAGTTGTCACTCTGTAGGTCAAATTTCTTCTTTCCTGAAAACGTTTCCTATCCCACTTCAGGCAGTGCCCGAGCCCATACGAAGGTCTTCAAATTGCGTCACAGCTCCTCCTTGCTGATGGCGGCAAGACGACTTCCAAAAACCACCGTGCATTCGAGTCCAACGATGCTGGAATGATTTCAGCGTTCCGCGGCCTTCGTCTCCCCTACTTCGTCATGAAACTCTATGCTTGGTATTACCGCTACATACGCCACGATCCTATCTATGCTGGTCTGATCGACACTCATTACGAGAAGACCATGCCAGAATTTTATGCTTTAATTGCGCGAAGGGAGGACTATCGTTCTCGCTGGTTCAAAGTGTGGCGAGACGCAGAGGTCGAAGGCCGCCAGGGCGATGAAGGAGTTGACTTCATTCTTACTGTACCAAACAGTCTTCCTGCTGTTCCTCACGGAGGGATGAGGCATGGATGGAAAGCGTGTGGGTACACGTTCCTATTCAACCTGGTATGTTCTATTCTTCTTTAATGGCTCCGATCTGAAATTCACTCTGAATTTTTGAAAAGCTTGATTATAGTGCGGGTGTTATGCCAATCACGCATGTGGATGCGACGACTGATGTTCTCCCGCGTACTTTCCGTCCACGAAACGCCATCGAACGAAACTACTACAAGATGTATGATGCAAGCGCCATGGAAGGTCTCCCCGTTGGCGTGCAGATTGTAGGAAGACGGCTTGAAGAGGAGCGGGTCTTGGAGGGCATGAAACTGATCGAACGCCTATTGAAGGATGCAGGTGCTGGTTATGTCGGTTTGCCGCTGTAGAGAGGTGCTTGGGTGCCAACCTTGACATGTACATCATTCCATTTCATCTGTACAGAAATACATACAGCATTTTCGGAAAGAGGGACGCTAATGACAGGCAAAACATCTGAAATTTCTAGGCATGGATTTATGTAAATCGAACATGCTGAGCAGCTGAGGCTCCCCCTCTATTTCCGAGTTTCCGGTTTAAAAGACATCTTTCTTTTTGGGCAACAATATGATCCAGAGTCAAGAATCCGGGGTCCCAGAGTTATAGTATGACGCCACACGTCAACCATATCCACAACATTTCAAGCGACTGTGACAGCACACTGGATGCTGAACCCTTTCAGGGTCATCGAAAGTCCTTGTAGATATCATATCCAGTTGCCAGGTACTTACTAGAACCTAATATCTGGCTGATTTATAGCCAACTTGAATGATGCGGCGAATCGTGATATGACCCCCCTGACGCTATCATGATATCATAAACTTTTAGAGCGGTGAAATCACCTGCAGAATTGACTCCCCTACCAATGATAAGATTGACCGATGAAGGAGGCCAAAACCCCGAGGACCATTGCGCTTCAGCGACGTTTAGGCGGGCCACCTAAGCTTGTGGAGGCAACACAGGAATCCAGGCTAGCGTCATGTTAGGAAGGCATTGTTATGATCAGATCCGGGATGAAGAAAGAATGCGACTCTGTGATCGCATACCCGCGAGGAGTAGCCTAGCCGCCATGCAGACTGTGGAGACTGCCAAAGTATCATCAGATCAGCAGCTCGATTAACAACATCTGCACTTGACATGTTCGCGAAGAGGGCCACTCACTTTCTTGAACTCTTGATTGTATAGACTCGGAAGCCTTTTTACATCATGATGGACCTCGATGGTGTTGCGCCAGCTGCCAGCTTGAGTCGCAGGCTCGAGGTTTGCGCCATTCACCATTTTGACTATGGTGAACATCAAGGCCTAAGTGTCCAGTCTGGCGGTCTGGCTCAGGCTAGCCTATGAATCAAGCTGCAATGCGTGGGCTGTTGTGGTTAAGATCAAGCCGCCCTTCCGATATGGTCGTCGTAGTGACGTAATATGTAGTAAATCAGTCTGCCTTCCCGGTTTTCAACGATCCGGGCGTCCTTCAAAAGTACTGAGCCTGTTGATGGACTCGCACAATACCTGCGCTGGCCGTTCTAGCTTCTCATTCACCCCCATATCCATCAAACATAAATCCGATGACTATTGGATGTATCGTATCTGTACGTAATACACCAGCGCGAAACCTGATCTACAATATTCGTTCTTTTCTATATCAGCCAAAAAAATACATATGCTGCACAAAGTGCAATCAAAACTTTCGCTTGAGGGCTCGTATTCGACCATGTGGCAGTTAAGCTGTTCGATACGTTGTAAGTAGATGCGGATGATGAAGATCCGCCTTTACCCGAAAGAGTTCGGCCTTGTCCAGAGAACGCACCAGAAGTGGCGGGTTTGGCGTGTTGCGCGACAGCCGATTTGAGGCCACTAGAATATGTGTCAGGACGCATTCACAAGGATAAAAATTGGTGAACGAACGCCGGGTTAGCGCCACGGATCCTGTGCACTTCTTCCGCGCCTACCAGGAAAATGAAGGTCGGCCTGCGAAATATGAGCACAGAAGAAACATTGCAAGAGGATGAAGACTCACATAGCAGTGACGGAGTACAGGGTGGCGAGCTCGTTCGAGCCCTCGGACAGGTCAACCTTGACGAAGTTCACATGGGCGTTGTCCTTCGCAAGGGTCTCAAAGATCGGCTTGATCGCCTGGCAAGGAGGGCACCAACTCGCAGTGAAATCTATGACCTGAAAACAAAACATGTCACTTGAGCTCGATCAACTGAGGACACAAATACTTACAGTGAGCTTGTTGGCATCAGTAGTTAACTCCTTGAGCTGTGCCGTGGTGGAAATTTCAGCAACCATTATGAGACTAGATGAAGTATGGGATGTGAGAGAGATCGAAGAATGTTGTGGGCGATGGGTTTATACGTGTGGGCTATGCTGGACGGTATAAGTAAGCTGCTACGTGACGTGCTTGGAAAGCACGATATAAGCCGGTCATGTGAGGACTACATGACACGTGACCGGTGACCACTCGCGTATCATTGCATTTACACTGTACAGCTTCTTTCACTACTACCATCGACTCCAGCGGTATTCAACCCGCCTTTGTACAAATCGTCACTTAGCTCATAATACAACATGTCTGGACGTGGAAAGGGTGGCAAGGTCCGGAAAACATTAGTTGGCGTCGCCTTATACTAGCTGACTCACAGTGCAATCATAGGGACTCGGAAAAGGCGGTGCCAAACGTCACCGGAAGATTCTGCGCGACAACATCCAGGGTATTACCAAGCCAGTGAGTGATATAGCGTTCTATAATCATTCGCATGCTTATATTTTCCAGGCTATTCGCCGTCTTGCCCGCCGTGGTGGCGTGAAGCGTATTTCAGGTCTCATCTACGAGGAAACCCGCGGTGTCCTCAAAATTTTCTTGGAGAACGTTATCCGGGACTCTGTCACTTACACAGAACATGCTAAGCGGTAGGCCCTATTATAAGCTTACTTCGGTGCTTGTTGACTCATCGGAACTATAGCAAAACAGTTACTGCTCTTGATGTCGTCTATGCGCTGAAGCGGTCAGGGCGCACGTTGTACGGTTTTGGTGCATGATCAACCACTCGCCACGCATGTATACCAATAGTGACTTGAATACCTCTTTCGATCTGGAGCCTTTAATTTTGAGGCAAGCTCGCTTGGTTGTTGTATACTTAACGATAGGGTCATCTTGTATCCAGCGGATGACGCTGTGCTGTAGAATATACTGCAACTATCTGATTTTAATTCATCTCAGGCGGCCCTTTCACGTGGCAGCCCCATGCGTAACCAGCACTTAAAAGAGTACCGCTGGATACATATGATTAATTCATTGATCGTCCGCTATCACAATGAACCGTCACCACGTCATCACATGTCCATTACTACGGATCATTGAGATCCCTACATTAATCTAATGGAAGTAAAACCAAGGCGCCCGAGCGATGAGTTGTGTTTTCTGCATGACGGCACAATGACATCAATGGTTTGCGTCCTAGGAAAGTTTAAAGATAGTTTCAAGTCTATTTCGAACGTCCCTCGAGATCATCCGCAAACGTAATCTGCCAATCACGACGACATACGCAACTAACTATACAGGAACTCGTCATATGACGATGCCATTCGAGAGGTATGTAGATCCAGCAGAGCGCTTGCGATCATAACGCATCGAAAGCGTCACTATGATGAGCAGACAGCTATATTTAGTCAATCAATCAGTTCGTACCCTTGCTCGTCGACACGCAATGTGACATCAAAGCATTAAGAGATGAGGAAAAACACAACAATGCTACGAAAACACAGCAAAGCACACGATCGAAATATCATGGATTCTCCACTAACTCCACCTCCACCTCCGCCTCCTCATCTACATCATGTGCCTCATCTGTAATATCACTCTCGCTCTCCGGGGGTATCGGTTCTGACGGTGGGGGCTCGCTTAAATTAAGGCTAACCTCGGGCTCCGTGGGAGAGTCGTCAACAGGCACAGACTCAGGAGATGATGGTGCCGGAGGTTCCACGACGATGACCACTACGTCTGCCTCAGGAGAAGGCTCGACGGGTGTCTCGAGTAATTTCTCAGATTCTGCAACTGGCTCCGGTGAATCAGATTTTTCGGCAGCTACAGTCTCCTCCACGATATCAGGCACTGTAATACTGGCCTCGACATCTAGCGGAGCTGCGGAAGCTACTGGGCTTGAAGGCTCAGCTAGGGCGGCGGTCTCTTCAGACTCTTCTTGAGGAGCTACAGGCTCGACAACTGGCTGTTCCTGAACGATCTCAATTGTTGGTTCAACATTCGGAGTCGTCTCTATCTCGTGTTCCGGCACATGTTGCACAGCAGGGGGAGCTGAGCTAGAGTCTTTGAGCAACGTTAAGGACAGATCTTCCAAAGGTGGAGAGTTGGATCCGGTGACGGTTGCCACTTCGTCGACGAGCACTTCTTCAACGGGAACCTCTTCGACGGGGACCTCTTCGATGCCAAACCCAAATTTGTCGGGAGAGAACTCACTCGGCTGACTGGACCATGAGGCTTGCGAATAGTCCTCAGGTTCAGCAGATAGCGCAGTATGCAATAAACCACCGCTTTCAGTGACACCCTGGTCGCCGCCTTTTGCAAGCTCCTCTCCAGCATTGTACGCCTCACTGAACACCATAGTATCTGTGCGATTGCGCCCCAGCCGGCGTGGACTATCGGTGCCACGCGGGCTATCACTGGACAGTCCCGGAGGACTCTTCTCACGAACATTCGGAGGTTGTACCTGTTCTGCTGTAGGTGCATTTTGATCCTCCCGCTCACGCGGTGGATTGACGGCCGCTGCAAGAAGACGTGGAGGTTCGACGTCCTCATCGCGTCCCCTTCTGCCTGACAGGACAGTACCAGGGGGGATGACAAGAAACTCGGTAGGGACAAGATCGAATTGACTAGTAAGTTTCAAGAAGCGAGCGTAAAGCGATGATTCGGCCTCCGCTTGCTCAAAGGCTTCTCGGTGATGAAAATATGCATGCGCAAATATTCTGCCAAGGCGACGAGCAAGCGAAGAGAAGTGTCGATATGACGTAGGAGGTATGGAAAGACTAGTATCGCGAAAAGAACACATGGTTGATTTGAGTTTGAAGAAGGCGGCGTAACGGAGGACATCAGTAAAGATGCTATGAGACGTGATCATGACTCACCGAGATGGAAACGCTCGAGGTGAATTTAATAGTGCGGTTGCGCTGTCCAACGTATGAAGGATGTAATCAATCGCACAGCATTGCTGAGGATATACATAAGCAGTTAGAGAAACTATTTTTTTTTATGATCATCAAACGAACCTCCATAGCACCGTCATTACCGTGTGCGACACACAAATATAACCACTCTCCCGCCTTCATCTCGGGACAGGTGATACGAGTACATTCCTGCTGCAACATCGTGATGAGGGGATGGGATAGGTCTTGTGCGAGACGTCTGATGGGCAAACAAGTTAACGCATAAAACACTGAACGAGTGAGTAAGGAGAGGTACCGTAATTGTTCATAAATCCAGCAACCTCGATCGACTGCAACGTCGTTCTTGCGTTCAGGATCATCAGGCTTACGTTCGACTTGATCAGAAAGATCAGAAGACTTTTCTTCGGCATCCTTGAAAGCAGCTTTCCCCGGAAGAGACACTATGGAATCAACATCATGGACGTCAAGACGAATAAGAAGCGAAATGTATTCCTGAAGCTGGAACGCGCTATCGAGAGAAGACAAGGATGGGAGAGATTTGATAGGATAGAAGGAGGACACGCGTGAGCCGCGTAGCGGGCGCTGTACAGCTACAGCCATCGTCAGTAACAGTGAGCTCGGGGTTGTCGTCGCTATTGAGAGCGTTGAGCACAACATCCCACAGGGTTGACTAAATTTCGCGCGGAAAATGATCGTGGAAATAAACTTCCAAGTTAGTATATATGCCGGAAATTTTGTCGGATGTCCCGGACGGTCCGTCTTGTGCGTTGTACTTCTGGAAGGGATCGGAATTCCGTCGAACCCCTCCGAATTGATTTTTGCGGGGACGATCAGTTGCTCCAATTTGAAACAGCGTGATCATCATACATGGTAGGATGATGGGGACAGAGCGGACTGGATGTACAAGAATGGACGGACGGGACAGGCCGGAGAGAACTCAGATTCCGTAAGTTAGGTTAGCTTATTTACATATGAAATTTGTTCCAAATCTGTCGGTTTGTAGATTTAGTACGTACCTGATTGTTGTACCACATGATCATCGAGATCTTTTCTCCCGGTTGTATTGAAACGTCCAAGGCGTGGATATCTAAAGCTTGAATGGTGCCTCATCATCTATATATTTAGGGCGCTCCTTGCGAAGTTCTGCGATTGCCATTCCCCGTTCATCTCCACGATGTCCGACAATCATCTACACGAGAAGAACTCAGTCATCGACCTTGAGAAGGACTCTACGTCTAGGGATGGTGTCTCTGTGATCATCCCCGGAGACAAGCACGGATGGCTCTCTCACCCGTTAGCAAGATCTCTTCTCAGCTGGGGCGTGGAGGAACGAGGTGAGTCTTCCTCACAACCAACCATATACCTATCTGATCTTCGTTCATAGGCATCGTTCCAGTTCCCGAAGAGGAGCGGATGGATACCCAATACTATAAAATTTTCTTCGTCTGGTTCTCAATGAACTTCAACATCCTTTCGTAAATTCTCAGTGCATTTCCGCTGTCAGCTCGTTTCTTACAGACAAACTAGCTTCTCTACCGGAACGCTCGGACCAATCGTTTTCCAGCTTGGACTTCGCGATTCCTGTCTTGTTATCTTATTCTTTAATCTCCTGGCATGCGCGTTGCCCGCATATTTGTTCGTATACTTTCTTGAACATGGATACCGGGTCATCACTTGACTTCTCTTTCCACAGAAATACATGGGGACCTCGAACTGGCATGCGTCAGATGATTCAATCCAGATATAGCTTTGGGTAGTGTGCTTGTTTTCCTTATTTGTTATTGCCTGACTTTCTTTCCATCAAGCTATTTTGGTATCATTATACCCGCTGTCCTCAATCTGATCGGCCTGTGTGGCTTCAATATCCTTAATGGTATACTCGGCGGACAGGCACTAGCTAGTGTGTCTAGTAATATGAGCTGGGAGTGCGTATGGCATCTCGCAGCATCAATCATCTTACCTAACCCGTATCAGTGTCGGCATTGTCATTATCTTCGTGATTGCGCTCCTCGTACGTGCTCTTACGTGACTCTCGAAATCCTTTGTCTTCACAATGTTCACACCTCCAGATATCCTTTATGGGCTACCGAGTACTCAACTGGTAAACGGCATCATCTATCCATCAAAATTTTAGTCTTACAGCTTTCAGGTACGAACGTGTCGCGTGGTTCCCGGTTCTTATCGCATTCTTGGTCGCACTCGGCGTGGGTGGTAAAAACCTGTACAACGCTCAACCAGCGGCACCTGCAACCGCTCCTGGCATTTTGGGCTTCGCAGCTGTTCTTGCTGGTTTCGTTATCACTTACTCGGCAATGGCATCCGATTTTACAATGTATTATACGCCCACCGTTCCCCAGTAGGTTTCATTTCATGCCCTGTGGCGTTGCGCCTTCGCTTAGGTATAATTTTCCAGGTCCAAGATCTTTTGGTATGCATATCTGGGGTATATCGTGCCTATCGTACGTCAATCTTTATCGGTACCCCCAAAGCGTCTTCTGATCTATCTCCAGGTCCTTCTCGAGTGCCTTGGAGCTGCAGCAGTCCTTGCTTCATCAAACGTTCCTAGCTGGGCTGCAGGTTACGGAGAAGCCGAGGACATCGGTGGCCTGTTAGAAGCGATGCTCAGCCCGGTCGGTAACTTTGGGAAGTTCCTCACCGTTCTTCTCAGCCTGAGCGTCACCGGTAACATCGCGTGCACGCTTTACTCTATGTGTTTCAATTTCCAAGTGATGGTCCCGGCTATGTCAAGAGTCCCGAGATACGTCTTTTCGATCGTTGGCACCGTAATGTTGGTCTTCCCATTTGTATAGTCTGTCTTGTCACTGGCTGATCTCAAAATATTTTCCCCTGGACAACAGTGCATTGCCTTTATCGATCGTGGGCGCCCACAAATTCTATACGGCGTTGACCAATTTCCTTTCACTAATCGGATATTGGGCGAGTGCGTACGGCGCCATCCTCCTTGTCGAACACCACTACTTCCGCAAAGGTGACTTCAGCACCTATGACCATTCCATATGGAATGTTCCAGGGCGTCTACCTTGGGGAGCGGCTGCCATCACAGCTGTCATAATGTCTTTCGCCCTGATCATACCCTGCATGAATCAGCTGTGGTACTTGGGCCCCATTGGCAGGACCTCAGGCGACATCGGTTTCGAGGTTGCATTCCCTCTTGCAGGTCTACTTTACTTCCCCCTTCGCAAGCTAGAGCTCAAATACCAGAATACCCAATATTAAGCACCGCTCTGTCGAGATAGAGAGTATATATACGACGTGCTATGAAACGTGTACTGCCTTACTGTGTCTATACCTAATACCGCTTACCTTGAATCAGAACAGCAACAGGAATCTAGGGCCGCTCGTATCTGATATCTACTTTAGTTTACTCCTCCCGCATCTTATCGTATACACACGAAGCAATTGCAAATCGATGTCACCCACGAAGGGCCGATCCTGTGGTATATAGCCATGGAGAAACACATCGAATTCACATCTTCCGCCGTCGTAGATAGGTGCTTTGGAGTTTGAGTGGGAAGAAGAGTGGGGTAGTGTGCAGCAAATGTATTGATTCATGGAAGAATTATCGCGCATCCTTGAGAAACTGCTGCGGGGACTCATCACGATGCCTGCCGACGTGGCAAGAATAACACGCACGGGTCCCGGCATTGTATGCGTATGCACGCGTGTCAATCGATCAGCCTGTGCGATAGAGGCTGTTGCGGCGCAGCGGGAAGCTTTTACTGGAGCCGCTATCGGATCTGCGAGGACCAAGTTGAGTCGCATAAGCAATCTGGCATCAAGGTACTGGCTGTTCCACCGACGTAGTGGGATATGAACAGGAATCAAAAGTCACGCATGTGTGGCGCCCCGCGGCTGCATGGTAACGCGTAACGATCCGCCACCATTAATCGAAACCGGCTGCCAAGCCGTGGCAAAAAAACAGGTACGAACATAATGAAAAAGACCTCTGAAACCTTGTCGGCTCTGCCGGATCGTAGCTTGCTATTTCTTTCAGTGGACGGTTAGCATATCAAGGTCGCTTCGCAAACACAACTTTCAGGCTGCAAAAATCGTTGTCATTCTTGCTTTTTGCACAGGTAAGCTATTTTTTTTGAAGACTGCTTGCTCGTTTTACATGTTTAGCAAACGAGAATTACAAGCAGCGCCCGGTCCATACTACGGCTGCTACTCCCACACGTCGCAACACTCTATACTTGTCACTAGCGCATGTAGCCCTTGTCGCACTGTTGCTGCACCCACCATAATACGACCTTGATATCAGACTCCTGGTGTGTGTCGCAAGTATTGTAACGCAAAACTTGAAGGACTTCGATTCGAGCGCGATCAACATGGTACTGTCATCTTCAATATGCGGATGATGATGAGAAGGAGGGTATCCGTTTGGCAAAGTTTTCTTATGTATTCCGTGCATCTGTTGCGCCTGTGGCTGGTCCGAACAAGTTGAAACGTCGGAGCGAATCTGATGATCATGATCATGATGACAACAGCGTACACTGCAAACGCAATCGATTAGCAGATATCATGGAGCAGGTACGTGTATCGTTGACCTGTACTTATGTTGAAGTCTAATAGTATATTGAACTAGGACACGAATACTACTAGTTGACAAGGCTCGCTAGCACCATCTCATAATGTTCTCCTGGACTTCGATCGTCCAGATTTTGATTCTCCAGAAGCCAGACTTTCATCCTCCGCAGCCAGACTCTGATCCCGTGCAACACCAACCAGACCCACGTCTGGACCAACCACGACTGCCACTTGATCGCGAGCGTAGGCATACTTCACTCTGGGACTTGGACCTAGATGAACTGTCTAATATGGCACGCCTTTCGAAGCTCCAGCAGGATATGCTGTTTATATGTGCACTTCGGGAAGCTCCCTTAGATGACGACGTCGGACTCAAAGGCGAGCTAGGCTCTTGAGAGGCTCCGTAATCCCCTTTCCTACCCAGTACTGTTGATAATCCTGGTATTGACTTCGCATTCTCGATGTTCCTACTCGAACACTCTTCAGAAGCAGCCTATGAAGACATAGTACGAACTGCAGCTCATCGATGCTTTCCGGGATCTGATATACCCAGCCTCTATCAAATCAAACAAATCTTAGCCGAGCTTAGCGGAGTTGATTTTGTTGTTGATGGGCCATATGTGCATTAACACATGTGTTGCGTTCGTTGGACCATACGCAGTTCGCGATCTTTTCGCGGCTCTATCCGTTTTCTGCGTCATGCTGTGTTGTGCGTGTCTCCTTTTTTCCTTGCTCACCACCATGACGACCTCTGTTTCATTTCGCGGTGTTGTTGGTCTTCAGAACGGAAGCAGATATCAGAATGACAAAAAAGAATCACTGGCGTTATGACACTTTCATCGCGACTCCAGAACTGGGAGATGTTCGAATCAACGTGTTCACATTTGGTGCGAATACCGCGTCTGCGGAAGACGGAATCTATCTATCGGATGCACGGACCACTATTGGTCCTATCAATTGACAACGAAGGCAAATCCGCGCACTCTCTTTATCTCTTTGCTAATGATGTGCATGAATTTTCTGCCTCCTCGTCGCCTAGATCTCAAACAAAACTGCATTTGCACCATTCAACGAAACCTATCGGTAGAGAAAGGATTAGTGCGAAACGCGCGCGTACGCGTAATTGCACTGCATCACAGATTCGACCAAGTCCAACTACTCAATACATTCGGAAGCCACTGCATTCCCCGCATCAACTTTGCTTTCCATCCAAGTCGTTCATCGTGGGACAGTAAATCAAAGACAGTTTCCTCTGCGACTCGCATATGCAATCACATTAATGGTTGCCAAGGACTGACGCTAGCACGAACCGTGCTCGACTTGTGAACAGATCCTTTTGCTCACGGTTAATTATATGCAGCATTATCGAGAGTAAGAATACGAAGAGACACGTCGTGCTTATTTTCAGAGGCGAACGAAGAACAAGACTGCGAATATTGCATTTCCTGACTTGCTACTGGGCACCTACGCCTTCGTAACTTTATGAACACAGAATGAGGGCCGGCAGCCGACCGAAGGCGAGTCCTTGTACTTTTGTAACTCGAGAATCATTCCACTTCGAGCACTCGGCGACCTAAGTGAACCATGTTGCTTAATTACCGGCTTCGAATGGTCTGGACAGCGTAGTCTATTCTTTCCAGGCCAATCTGCAGGGAGATTACAGAAAGAATTGGATTAGCTGTAGAAGCACCTATCAGGCTGCATGAGACAAAAATACGACATTCTCATACCTGCAGTGTTCGACCATTTTTCTAGAAAAGAGCGCAAAGGCCGCAGTAGAGACGATTCTACGCTCGCGATGTTATCCGGATCTCGTATACCAGTCTGGGACACCGTCAATTTAATTTGTATCGATGGATAAAAAAACATACCTTATTGTCCTTGTCCCGTTGTAGTAGTACATAGTAAAATGATAGTACCTCTGCGATCCGAGAGGGCTCCAAGGACTTCTCAATGTCGTCAGCCACCTGGACCGTCGACAAGTAATCAGACGGCATTGTCGTGAACAGGATCGGTCCAAAGGATCTTATGAGCAGTGGTGACGCAAAGACGTTTTGTTCGCCCGACAATGCGGGGATCTGCAGTGCATCTAAAACGAATTCCTTGAGAAGACCAACAGCGGCTGCCCGCATCTGAGGAAGCTCCACGCCAGATGCTAGGGTTATCAAGATCTGTTGCTGAAACACAGATGGTAGTCGCGCAAGAATCAGTGCAATTAGCCGAAGACTAAAGTGCCTGATAAACGGATCAAGATGGGTGCTTGCCAAAGCAGGTAGAACTACGCATAGCGACGTAGCGAGGTCAGGTGGGAGGTCAGGCTGTGTGCGATCTTGCGTGACGCAACGAAAGATAAGGAAGAGAGATTCGTCCAGGGCGAAATTCATCTGAATTGAAGTCACGAGCATCGAGTGCAACTTGGAGTATAGATCTTTCGGTAAAGGATAGCTTTCTTTTTCGTGAGCGAGCATGATCAAGGAACTCATTGTCGGGACATCCTGTGGTGACAGGTTGATTACCCGAAGGGTAGTCTAAGAAAAAACGATTCAGAATATACCATTTGGCGGTTTCTCTGGCATACCAGTATGCTCCGAATGGCGTGCTCTCCCTCTTGCCACCCGGGTTCGATTGTAGAAGTCAGTGTAAGACGAGGATAGTGCATCTCGAAAGCTCTGGCACATAACGATGCCCTGATACATGACGCGCACGCTAAAACAGTCGTGTCGAGAAGTAGCGTGATGAGTTTCTGCAAGTTGATGAGTCAGCTAAGCTATCTGCAGCAAATGTTGTAGACAAACCCTTGCCTCCGCAGCATTTGCTTCGCTGCCTGTTTTGATTATCCATGTGTAGAACGCCTGCGACATGCGAGAGACCTCTTCAAGTAATGAACGACCGCTGTCCAGCGTGAAGTCACGTCCTAGCGAAGAAACCGCTGAAATAACGCCGGAAACCAAGGGTGAGACTTCGCTCAGCGCAGTTCTCTTTCCAAGAGTTAACCTAGGTAGAGCTATGAAGCCCCGAGACGTCAGTAATCGGACAACACCTACAATATACTCACATTTTGTAGACAACACGATAATGTTGATGAGACTCCGTACAGCATACTCCTCTTCGGCTTCGTCTTCGCGGGCTAGCTGGGTTAGTTGTTCCAGAGCTTCTTGAACGACAATGAGTACCTCCTTTGGACTGCTGTTTTCTGAAATTAGGCTAATGAGGTCAACGGCCTCTTCGTGGCGGCACCGAAGGAGATGAGGTAGGACGTCGAGGGGTTCCTGCAGGGAGTCCATTGAGCTCCAAAATATAATAGAACATGTCACTCACAAGAAAGACTAGACCCCCGTGGTATTGAAGAATACTGTCGTATACGGTCTTGAGAGATGGCTGGTATGTTTCATCGTCGACTGCGACTGTTATTATGGCGGAGATGCTTTGGCTGATTACCTTTGAATCGCATTAGACAAACATTCAAACTATGATGAGGTTGAATACCTCGTCGTCAAGATCAGGCGACAGCTGTAGCGCCTTGAGTAAGGCCTCCTTGGAGTTGAGGGCCATGATGCATTTCCCTACAAGCGATGTTGGTAAGCAGCTAGCCGAATACAGCTTGAAACATACCACGATCAGCAACAAGATAACACCAATTAAGACTTTCGAGATGGGATACCGGGCTGTAGTTTCCTCGATGGAGGTAGTAACTGCTGGCATAATTGAACATGAGACGAAGGGAACAAAGTGGGACACTTACGATGCTCACTGGCAGGCTCAAAATGTGATGACGGTGACCAATAAAAGTCTAACAAACGAAGAATATATTAATAACTTATAAGTACCCAATGTAATGCATGTAGTAATGAATGACGAAACAAAACAGCCTAGTGGCCGTTCCCGAGGCGACAATACCCCCGTTACATCACTATGTACACGGTAAGAAGTTAGTTGAACCTGTGGTTAAACTGGTCCTTTTGGCGCTCAGTATATATATAAATTTTGTGCGCCGTTCCGTTTTGAATAAAGACTGAGTACTGAGTTAGGACAAGATCCGTCGGTTAAGTATAAACAAGAATGAAATGCTAATGTTGAGTTGTCCGGCAGCCGCCGAGCGTTGGGCCTCAGGCTCATTGCGAGTTTAACCTGAGGTTCAAACTGTTTGGTCTATTCGGCCATAAGCGATTTATCCTGGGAACAACGCCAAACAAGGGCCGCACCCCATAGGTACTATCTGCGGAGGGCGTCCTTGAGTTATCCTTCGGCAGTCTCTCCATACACTCTCAGCACAATAATCGTTGGATCAACAGCCTCGTTTAGTCACCCCACTACGGCCGAAAGCAGCACATACTGGAAACAATATCGTTCTACAGTTCTGCCTTGTAAGTACTTTATACGTAGGGTGTCTTACAGATATCCTTGCACGGTTGTTCTGCTTATCCTCAGTGCAATAATCACTTCATCAACAGGCCCATTGCTCAACCTACTATGCCTGATGGAGAATTCTCCCACCTTGATGGTACGACGTGATCTAATAGATAAGCTCACAACTAATAGCTAGGATCTAATTTTTGCTAGTTTGGACACCTGCTGAGGCGAACAAATGGGTCTGCAACCTTTGTCAGGACAATAAGCCCCATGATCGGCGAGCAGTGCAGAAGCATGAGAGGACCTGGTCACATCAAGATGCAGTCAAATATCATTCGAGAAGGCAGCAGCATCACGGGAATGGTTCTATGGTACCTGAAGCTCAATCTAACTCCATCGTCGAGCTACGTTGTCTTCTCGATGACATGGCTAGCACTCCCAATTTTGAGCTGGGTGACTCAGCAGACAACATTGGCGACTACTCAGTCACGAAGGCAACGATCGTGCAAGGTTTAAGAGACTTTTTAGATGAAGATGACCTCTCAGATGATCAGGGAGCCGAAATATCAGAAGATGAAGAAGTTTTTACGGGGCAGACATGGCACGATGGTATGTTACTCTGGCTACATGGGATGCGGCTCACTTTGACATTTTGAGCAGATGACAACCAGGCTGGTGATGCCGCTATTGGAACTGGCAGTGATAGAAAGCGTTCTCGAAATCAAATCGTGAATGAGGAATGGTTTCCGTGGCCCGATAAGATTGTAAGGTCGTCTATCAACCTGCCAACTGTTGTTGATCCAGTGGTGTTCTATCAGACGTGCACACTTGATATTCTCATGCACCTTCCACGCTCTGTTTTTTCAGAACGACAGATTGATATTTTACTCTGGCTACTTCGGGTCAACAATGTAGTCGATGTACCTTCGGTGAAGTCTGTCAAACTCATCAAAGACACTATTCAACGATTATGCGGTATCCGTTCAATCCCTTATGAAGGTGCTCTTGGCCATAGGTACTATGTTAACTCGCTGCCTGACATTATTCGGCAGGTGTGTGTGTTGCTGAAATTTAATCAATATTTTATACTTAGTTGTGTTTGAAGGAAATGATGAATCCTCGTGTTCGGCCACTGTTACACTTCTACCCTGAAGATACCGGTGTGGAACTGAATGAAGCTCGACAAGCTAAATGTTGGCTTGAGGAACTTGACCCGGAGCTGCTTACGCCTGTCGTCAGACTGCACAACCAAGATTTCTTTGTTTTCGAGCCTGCATTACTATCGAGCGGCCAAGCCTGCATTCCATTTCGGTGGTTCATACGTGGCGGGAAGATGTACACTAAAGCTTGGTCATTGCGGCCTGTCACTCGTGAACTGGATTGCGGTTGGGTTGTAGAAGATTTTCATTCATTTGAAGTATCAGAAGATGATCTTCTTGTATCATTCCGAAACTGGGATTCGAGCGAAGCCACATCCGGTCTACCTCATGCATACTCGATATATGGTAGAGTCATTTTATCACTTTGACTATTACATCTCGCAAATATATGTTTAGGTGTAGAACGTGAACTTAATGGCAAATTGCAGCCATGGACATTAACCAATCCTTCTGAAGGCAATCAATGGCGTGTTCGGGCATCAGGTGCTCGCGTATATGCAATGCCTCTCTGGTTATACTGCGACGACACATCTGGAAACTTATCGAAGAAGTGGAACAAACATAATTCATTTCTTTTTACAGCTGCAGGATTGCCACGAGCAGAAGTCCACCGAGAGTACAACGTCCATTTTCTTTGTACATCGAATCTTGCCCCTCCACTTGAAATGTTGGATGGTATTGTAGACCAACTTGAGTGAGTAAGATTTGTCGTGAGCAGGCAAGTGGAAATAACGATGCTGGTAAAATTTAGGGAATCATGGAAGCAAGGCATCTGGGCCTGGGACTGTGTCCACGAGGAGTATGTTCTTGTCATCCCGTCCATCTTGGCCTTGCTCGGGGACAACCCCATGCAAAGTGAGATGGCCTGTCATATCGGGTCAATGGGAAAATATTTTTGCCGTATCTGTAAAGTGAAGGGGCACGATGCAAGTGTGGAGAGCAATCCTGCACGAGCAGCTGCTGCACGACCTGAAGATACCGACCATAGTGTTGGTGAGGTTAGTGGAAGTGAATCCGAAGCCTATACTACCGATGCTCCTCCAAAATCTACACGGAAACGAGCAAAGGAGACCATGGAGGAGATGGCGACACGGGTTAAGCAGTTTGTAAAGGTAATAACAAATCTGAGCGGTCTTGCATATATTTTCGTTTATGAAGTATGATATTAGATAGGAGAACCACGTCACAAGGATGAAACTATCGCTGAACTCAAGTCAATGTTCATTCATGCGTCAACAGTCGGGAATCAGACCCAGATCAAACAAAGGAAGACTTCTACGGGCATCAAGGACACCTTTCTGGACTCATTCTTGAATCGCCTAGCTGAATCATACTGCAAAATCCGGGGTGGCAATAAGGCAAAACAGGAAGCGCTTGATAGAGTTAAAGAGACACTGCCCGAAAATGTCATAAGTCCTGTGTGGCGAATCAAAGGTCTCTCAACCATTTTCACAGTGTAATATTATTAGGATTGACTTCAACAACATCTCAGGTATCGATCCTCACACCGACACACCTGTGGAAATCCTCCACACAGTCCTTCTTGGATTTGTCAAATACCTTTGGCGCGACGTTGTCTCTGTGAGAATCGGAAAAGACAAATTGAAGCGGGAACTTTTAGAAACTCGCCTATCATCTGTTGACGTCTCAGGTCTTGGACTCAGCCATCTCGCTGGTCACACCCTCGTTCAATATGCAGGGTCTCTTGTTGGTCGTGATTTTCGTGCTATCACACAAGTTGCACCATTCGTGCTTCATGACTTGGTACCCACAGAATGCTATGATACTTGGGTTGCGTTATCAAACCTAATACCACTCATCTGGCAGCCTGAAATCGAAAACTCCATGGAACATTTAGTATGTAGCATACTTTTCAGTCTGATTTGCTGATATTCATATTAGTATCTGATCATTATCATCTCAGCGCAATCTTACAACATCGATCAATAACTTTCTTGCGTGCACCGCCAGGTGGACTCCCCGATGGTTCAATAAGCCTAAATTTCATGTTCTATTACATGTCGTTGACCACATTCGACGATTTGGGCCAGCTGCTTTGTTTGCGACAGAGGCATTTGAGTCCTTCAATGCTGTCATTCGTGCGAAAAGTATTCATTCAAACCACCGCGCTCCTTCTCGGGATATCGCACGTTCTTTCGCCCATGGAAGTCGGATTCGTCATATTCTCTCGGGGGCACGAATACTCATGCATGATAATAATACAAATGACATTCACTCTGATTCTCCCGAACTTATCCAAGCCTCTAATCCCTCATCAGACAAGCCGCCAGATGCCATAAACGTCAAAGTTGTTGGAAAGGGTCCATTGTCACTTGTTCAACGGCCAAATATTATTACTGACTACCTTGGACTCGACACGCATGCTGACACTAAAAAATACGGTAAAGTTCAATTTTACACGAGTTCCAACTTTGAGAAATACAATACTAAGGGTCAGTATCTTTAGGTCAATGCCTTCGTAACAACCTGCCGCTCCAACCTTACTTGACTACCGAGACGGGGAAATACTTTCCGAATGCACTTCGATCGCTTCCAAACGACACTCTCAAAGGACATAATTTCCGTACTTGCAAGTCCATGGTGCTTTTCAATGGGGATGTTTGTAAGATAGGAGATTGGGTTCTCGTAGCGGATGGCACAGCAGAGCAGTCTCCAATTGTAGCGTGTATTCGAGAAATTATTCAGCGCCAAGGCTCGGATGCAGATAACCTTCTGCGTCCAGATGCAATTCTTCTGGAACGCGGAAGTGTTGGTGAACCGGCAGCATCCTACTCTATGCCCACAGTCAGGGCACATGGTGGTTTTTTGCTCTATCCTGTCGAGGTTGGTGGTTCATCTGTACGAGTCATCAGTCACTGAATTTCTGTTTCTATGAAAGCAAATTTTATGTGCAGCCAATCTGCAGCATCAATGCCGAGTACACAAATGCACGAGCTTGGCTTCCGATGTTGAATTTGTTTACGAAGAACGGGCGAAGACATCAAAAGCTAAGGCTGTGATACATCACATTGGGGACCCTGATGACCTTGTTCTCAACACCGCACGGATGCGAGACGCAAAGCACATGCAGGGCCTTCGGGTACCTATTCAGCCGCAAGATATGAACCTCGCAATCCTCGAGGGTGCTGCGAGGGAGATTCGGACACGCAATGACACCACTGGTGGAGCTTCCACGACATCTATTATAGCGGCAGCACATGGACCACGTGCTCAAGGCCGACAAGTTAATAGATCACTACAGCAACACCGGTCTGTATTACAAGTTCAGTAACCAGGAGCAGGTTTTCGCTTCTACATATCATCTGCTGCACCTACAAGTACCCAGGTGCATAATATTCTTTATCATATCTCCTTCTACATAATATCATCTGCTGTACGCGCCCCTCTTAGTTGATTACCAATACTTGTTGCTAATATGCAGTGTCACCGTTCGGTTGCAGGGCTCACTATGACCATTCAACATGATCCTTATTACAACAATGAAACTGAAATTATACCTCGAGGCCATCCTTGCTGCAGTACCGACTACCGCCAAACATTCTTATTACAACAACAAAACTGAAATTATACCTTCAGGCCATCCTTGCTGCAGCGCCGACTACCACCAAACACTCTTATTACGACAACAAAACTGAAATTATACCTTGAGGCCATCCTTGCTGCAGTGCCGACTACCACCAAACATCCTTATTATGACAACAAAACCGAAATTATACCTTGAGGCCATCCTTGCTGCAGCGCCGACTACCACCAAACATGATCCTTATTACAACAATTAAACCGAAAATATGCCTTGAGGCCATCATTAATACCGCATGGAACCCACTAATGTAAGCTGAGTTTTTATATAAATGTGTCGATGAGCATCTGATTTTATTAGTAGAGCACTTTCCAGCGACTCGCCTTCGAGTCAGTCATTCATTTTCACTGTCACTCATCCCAGTCTACAAATATGTCCTTCGACTTCTCTACTCCACCTACCGGTTCTCAGCCACGGGCGTTATCATCCTTCCATTTATCTGGTCCGCTCAATGATTCCCAGCCAGGAAGTCCTTCGGATTCGAGCTTGCTGATGAGCCCTTCTGCCTACCTACGCACTCCTGGATCCCCACCTTCAAGTTCACGCCAACCACAAATTGACCCAAATCTATTCGCAAACGAGTTATCCGCCCTCTTTGTGGACGCACTCGCCAACCAATTTGGCCTTGGCGATGCAGAACAGGACTTACGGAAAAACCTACATGGTTTTGCTAAGGTACGTCAACGGTTTGATTTTTCATCCACACGCTGACATTTTTTGCATTGCAGCTCGGTCATGGACTGAGCAAATCTGACCTTGCAACTAGAACTTATCTCCTTGGCAGTATATTCTGCATTCTCAAGGAACAGCGCATAATTGCTGCCTCTCACCAATCAACACAACAACTTCTCGCAGATTTACAAATCCGTCTTGAAACCACATTTTCACTTAGTCCTGAGCAACGAGTAAGTAATCTTCTTGCGCCATCATCTATCAAATATCTGAAGCATAAAGACAAACATACACATTGTGGCAGGTGATCTTATCTTTGATCCTAACAGGATCACGTTCATGACACTTCATTTTGATGTTGCGGTAAGTCCTGCCAGTGAGTTATTAGATAGCGCTGTATGCTTATTTTCGAATCCCACAGAATCATTTACATAAAGATCGTGAGGCCTTTAAACTCACAAACATCTATGGAAACCCAGCTAGGGAACGTTTCCTGACCATCTATACTAAGTGTCAGTGTTCTAGCGTCCGTAATTCATTTCGCGAGTTGGTGCGCACAAGTGGTTGATATTTGTTTCGGTTCTCAACTGATTGCCTTGTTGCAGCTACGTGACAGTGTCATTGGCGATGACACAAGCACACTATCAGACTTTATTTATGACTGTTCGAATCGTTTCCGTCGTGCAGGCGGGAACTCAGACCTTGGACATCCAGTCCGCGCCCGTTTGGCTATCTTAGTACGGTCTTTCTCCACTGTATGACTGCCAAATTTTCTCACCATTTCAAATTCCAGCGTCGTTTTGCATATGAAAACCCTCATTTGCTTGACCGGGCAGAGGAAGAAGATGAGAGTCTCTCAACACCGAGTGCAGAAGATGCTGAAGACTCTCCTATTGGAGAACCACTGAAGAAGAAGCGCAAGCGCGGCCAAGGCGGGCGCACCACCAAAGGCGAGGACTTCTAGTCCAAAGTTGAAATGTGGTTTGAGGCGCGACAGAAGCAGTGGGGAGATTCTTGGGGGACACCAGGCTGGACTGCGTATGTTTGCCTGACTGTCTGGCTGCACATCAAGCTGACCTAGCCTTAGATATATCAGCCATACCATCGAACTCGACACCCATCGCTACCAGAGGCCGGTCGTCCAAAATCCATTCATGATTGACATCATTGTTCCGGAGGCTTACGGGGCACACAGTGGGTCTTCTACCATTGGTGCTGCTGCCTTGAAGCAGAACGGCTTGGGAAGTATGGAGGACATTTTGAGGCTCATTTGAGCGAGCCAGCGGTTGTACATGGGCCCGACACCTTCATTAGAATTTTGACTTGGACATTCAATACCCTATAGCTAGTTTCTTTAATATTAGTCCTGTGTGATTGCAAAGCTATTAGCCTGACAGAAATGCCCTAAGTTGACAACTTGACGTCAGACGAGGAATAATATTCAGGCTCTTAAGATGACTTAACCAGTACTGCGCAAACCTAGGCATGAAGATCAACGCCAGATGGTGACCAGTACTGCGCAAATCTAGGCATGAAGATCAATGCCAGATGGTGACCAGTACTGTGCGAATCTGGGCATGAAGATCAACGCTAGATGGTGACCAGTATTGTGCAAACCTGGGCACGAAGATAAATGACATTCAATAATCAGTATTAAGCTGATCTGAGCGTGAGGACCAACTCTACTTAGTTCTGTTAAGCTAATCTTTATGAGCGAAGGCTCCTCTGTGATTTGCATTAATTCTATAACCAGTAAATTTCATAGTACATAGCACGTTGGCCCTCATGTTCTGGAACAACCGGTAATCAGGTTGCAATCACCCTCGTTCCCTGGATAAAAATAACATTGCAACCGGCGGCTAAAGTTGAGGATGTCCTCAGGTTCAAACTACATTGCCCGTGGGACAAACACTGTGATAAACCGAACTTGAGTGTCACAACAAACGTCGCACTTCAGATTCAATAGTACTGAGGCGCACGGGTCCTTTTCACACTGCGGTTGAGTCTGAAATTATCCTATTTACAACTATTGTAGGTTAACCCCAGGTGCATCCAACTGTCTTGCTGTGTACTAGTCCTCTACTTATATGCGATTCGATCAATCAAAGCTTGACTCCTTGCAATTGGGTTCGATTCTTGCATTTGCTGACTCGTGCCCTTTACTTTCGACAGAAACATTCGTTTCTCTTCTCATTAATCACTCTGACTGTTTTGTCGTACTTGTATATTTTATTCTCATTGAATCATTATCTCAGGATGTCCATTTTCTTGCGGAGGTCCCCGTGCTTGGCTTGCATATTTGCCTACCTCATTGTTTTATGACCCGTTGTATTCATGGCTCTCTGCATCGCCCGTGTGCTATGAAAACAACACGAATTGTTCGACTGCTCCCATCCTGCGTCATGCTTCCCAGCGCATTGGTCGTAAGCCATCTGATGCATAACTGAAGGCAAACATCATCCTGGAAATCTTGAAATGTCTTCTTGTTTCTCGTATGGTAACGAGATACTTGATGGTCTCATTGAACAAAAGTAGTATTGTCTTAGATAAATCTGGAGTGATCACTCTTTATCTGCCCTCCATGCGACGGGGCATTGACACACCAAACGCTGACAGCGTGCATAACTTGGTAGAATAAACATGGGATGAATATACAAAAACGGACAGGCAAAGTCGGGGATGGCATGTTCATGCAATGCGGCAGCGCAGTGAGAAGTGCCAGCCTCGAAGTGAAATATAACGTTGGTAAACATAAACTTCATTCCGAGAACTGGGCGATGTAAAGGATCTTTCTCAGTTTAAGACAGTAAAAGAACAATTGGCAAGAGCCATTGGAAGGGTGGGATACTAAAAGAACCAGACGAGCGAGAGTATTGCCATAGTGATCATAAACTGAATGAATGGAAAGGTAAGCTGCAGTGACTTCAAAAGTTTCATGAACCATGGAGACATGGATGCCGGTATCGCGCGTAGATGTTGAACCATATGCTTGGGGAGGCGACGAGGGCCAAAAGGCGGGAATTTCAGAGTGAGCGTGCGCTGGCGCATGAGGATCTTGCCCAAAACGATGAGGAGTACGACGCAGAAACTCAGTGAGCTGCCGACAAAGAATACTCCGCGTGAGAGCGTATAACGCAGCGAAGGCGGTTGAGATTCGTGCGTAGGGACCTCGATGTTGTCAGGGGAATCTAGTCGTGGCGCATTGAACCAAACTAACCCCGTTATCAAAGCCTGGAGTTGATAAATAAAACCATGCATCATCAGAGGATAGAACAATACTGCTGACGATGTGAACTCACTGAGAACAGTGTCCAGTTAAGGGAGACGACAAGCAACTCAAGAGCAACTTCGTCGGGACCCAATATTTCTTCCTCTTCCGATTCTGATATCGGTCCCTCGACCTTTTCCAAGTCTGAGAAATGCTGCTTTTCCATGTCGCAATGTTCATGAGAAATATTACACTTGGGAGTACTTCGAGTGAGGAAGTCTTCAGAACAATACGGCTGGAACAAACGGAAAATGGGCTTGCCTGTTATCCATTTCCACTAGGCGCGCAGATCGATATTACTAGTAAGAGAGGGTCACGAAAAACGTTCTCTGCGACGTAGATGGTTTTATGGCTGGAGAAAAGTACAGGGTACCAAACAACTTGCAATGCGACCTATATACTGCCAGAGAATGCTCAGTCCATCTGCCTTGCAATTGCTTATGGCATCTGAGACATTTGCCACTAGTAGAACTGATACACATAGTACTAGCTGCCAAGGGACACAGCAAACTCCACGCCAATGAAAATAATTCTCTGCTCTATCGGAACTTTCTTCACGGAGGTCCATGTCACCCTCCTTCAAGCTTCAAGTCCTGGATCGTTTTCTCATAGTAGAAAGCTTTCACAACGACGGTTTTGCTAACGACAGCGTCATTCAATGGCCACCTACGGAGTGCCAATCACGCTCTTGAACTCCAAAAATTCCAGTCCAGCTTCAAGGTGGATGGCTTCGTCGGGCATTTCTTCATAGCCGGCGGCCCCGGTATGACACGCCGATAAGAATTCGATGTTGGTATGTATGTTATCCATGATTTCGGGTACCGTGAAGGGTTTATCGATATCACTTATGACGAACCATATGTGAGCGCTTACGGTCTTGCATGAATTATCGAATGACAAGCCAGGTATACCCAAGTGTTGCATACCGTCGTTTGTTCTACAACGGCCACCTACTACACATCCATGTTTCGACAATGCCATCGTGTCCTACATCAAATACCAAAAGCGACTTCTGCCTCGACTATCTACTCATGATAAATACGGCCTCGTATTTCAGCATGCAGAGTGCGTAGCATTTATTTCTATTTTCCATTCTTCTCCTTCCCCTGCCGGTTCTCTAGCGAACCTCGCCACATTATTATTGAACATTATTTCAGTTCTACTGACACCTTTCCAGATTCGCACATCTCGTAGCCCCCGTCTACGAAGACCTCCAAGGACAATCAACTTCTCATTTAAGCTATAGAACAAAGACCTCTTTACGTGGTCTTGGCTAAGCACCATAAACCGGGGCCATTAAAATCCAAGAAGTGCGCCACTTACACCTTATTCAGCGTAAAAGGCAGTGTACACCTTTGTTCGAAGGTCGGCGGGATGCTGTGGACCAGCTGATCATAGATGTTGTCCTCAGACAATGCCGGCCAAGTAAAGGAATATATTACCCGAAGCTTCCACAAGGAACAGTCACGCGAGTCATGCGACACATCACCAAATCCATCTTCATGTGGATGCAGTTCCACTAGCCTCTGCTTATGGCATCAATAGGTGGACGTTGCGGTCACAGTTAGTGCTATACTTGTGTATACTTTTTTGAAGCCCGGCCAGGAGAAACACGTCATTCTTTTTTGATTATCGCTGGTCACAGAGACGATCGATGATACTTGTTATCCTATAATTCCTATTCACTGATTCCATTGTTGATCTCCAGGACGTTTCGTCGTCATCCCACTGATATTGTTCGTGGTCCCAGGGACTGCCAGCAAAGGAGGGTGGACAATTTCAAATCCGGTGCAAACCTTTAGGCTTCGCTTGGTTCTTTCGCCTATTCTCTCCGATGTATGATGTTCTCAAATCAAAATCATGGCCGAACCAATGAAAAATATGAAGGGCAATATGACGCAACCTCTTTTGGCTTTAGATAACAAACTTAGGCAAGAAGCCTATGCCCCGCTTTACCACGGTACGCGTATGAGAACAATCTTTTTTCGGCGGTATAATAATGGTAAAACCCAGACTCCTACCCATCGGCGGGTGTGTAAGAGAGCCCCCGACATCCGACACAGACCAAACACAACCAAGCGCTATTTCTCCGACGATTTACCGAAACTTTTGGGGCTACTTACACACCCAGCCGACTGGCAAAACTTGCAGGTGGCGCGATGTTTGCCTCTGTTGATTTCGCCTGTTATCACTCAATTCGGACTGACTTGTGTGAGTGACACGCTCAGTGTGACAATACCGAGTTTATGTAGTGTTATTTAATTTTTTGTCAATGCTATTTTCATTTGCTGCAATACGCATCAGTGATGGCTTCGCCCCCCCTAAACTACGACATACCATCTATAGCTACCATACGCACCGCGGTCCACGAACGTTTCGGCTTCGTACCTTGTAATTGGCAAGTGCAGTCTGCCCAAGCACAACTGAAGAAGAGAGATGTCGTCACTTTGTCACCTACAGGCTCTGGCAAGACACTCACATTCTGGATTCCTTTGTTATTCAACGATGGCGGCATCACCATCTTGATCACTCCGCTGACGATCCTCGGAGACAAAAATGTCATCGAGCTACAAGAAGTCAATATACCTGTTGTGAATCTGTCCGCTGCAACAGCAACAGACACAATATTCGAGGTGAGATATAATTTAAAGCTCGAATCTTATGACTTACCTTGTACATCAAACAGGAAATTGCCACCCGAAAGTTTCGGGTCATAATTGTTAGCCCCGAGAGAATACTGTCAGACCGCCGCTTCGATACCTTGTGGAAGACACCGCAATTCGTCAACAAACTCTTCAGCATCACCTTTGACGAGGCGCATTGCATTAGTCAATGGGGTGGTGACTTTCGCCCTTCCTATGCTGAGCTCGGTCGACTTCGTTGGCTAGTCCCTCCGCACGTCGTGTTTCATGTAGCATCTGCCACACTGCCGCGACACGTGCTACATGATGTTAAGTCCATCCTACACATGCAGGACCATCGAACAACAGAAGCACGACGCACCAATGACCGTCCGAACATCCACTTAATGGTTATCGAGATGCTGGACCCTTTAAACAGCATGCATGACCTAAAACGCGTCCTCAAGTTCAATGGTGACCCACCTCCTCCAAAATTCATGGTATTTTGCAATGAGCGCAAAGAGACAGAGCGATTATGCGAATTTGCACGGTCAGAAGCACCACCTACTGTGGCTAAAAAGCTGGTCTGGTTTCATTCAGGCATGAGTACTGATTTTCGAGCTGAGACGATTGAGAACCTTCGGAAGGGGGAGATATGGGGTATCTTCTGCACAGATGCGGCTGGTATGGTTAGTCATTACATTAAAATATATGTGTGAAGCTCATACCTTACAGGGCCTAGACCTTCGTGACATTGTGTTAGTAATCCAGTGGAAATACACCTCGTCACTTTGCACGCTTTGGCAACGCTTAGGCAGAGCAGCGCGAGATATTTCTACAGAGGCAACTGGGATTTATCTAGTTGAGCCACAGTACATTGATTATCAGAAAGAGAAGGCAAGAGAAAGAGCCAATGCACGCACCGCAAAACGAAAACAGGTCGACGATGGTGGTGGAGGTTCCCGAAAAAAGCACAAATCAACAAGTATCGCACAAGTGCCGAGTGTTGGGAATCGGACGGAAAGTGGCGAGGATGTGAGATCATATGCAAAGGACACTTTCAGTGATCGAATACCTTGCTTGATGTTAGCTGCAATTTCTTTGGACATCGAGTGTACTGCATTGTGTATTGATGTGACGCTGATAGATAATCCCGCATGTGCCAGGACATCAATCACTTTCTGCGGAACACCTGTCGAGTGGAAGAATATGCCGAGGAGACCCTGTAAGTAATTGCATCTTTCGTTTGAGCTCTGCAAAATTATACTGATGCACACGACAGTTTTCTGTACAGGTGTGAGTCCACGAGCTTGAGTGCAATGTGATAGAACTGACGATTATCTGCAGTGTTGTATTTCTGGCCTCTACTTGTACATGGGTCCGATGCTCGCGTGAGTCGTTCCTTTGTTCGTCGCTTGTATCTGACGTAGATTCATCTACACCATTGTCACCCCCAATCTCTCCAAGGTCACGCTCCGCATCTGCGAACACTTCGGTCATCACCATCTCATCAACCATGGCTTTCCCTGTGCTCCGTCGCTCATCAGATGCCTCGAGAAGTGAGTAGATTAATCTCCAAATAGTTGGTGCATGCCTTCTGATCTTTTCCGCGACTCGAGGCATAAATGAATGTTCTAACTGCTCCGTCGTTGCAGATTTGGCACGGAAATGCAATCCGTTCTCCTTCCGCACCAGGTCTTTGATCTCAGCGCCAAGCACTTCCCTCACGACTTCATATGCCCACAAAGATATTGATGTGCGAGTGTCAGGATACTGATAAAGGTGAGTGCAAATCTCCGAGCCTTGTTGCACTAAATTTTTCTTTGCTGAGTGGTGAATCTTGTCCGTGCTTTGGAGCAGTTGTTTTATGAAGTCTGAAATGGTCATCCTGTTGACCTCCAGGCACTGTAGTACATTGTTGAGCTTTTGTGATAGTTGGTAGTCCATCAGTTGAGGATTTGGGTGTCAGTATGTAGCATTATATTCCACAGCATGGGTATGTAGACGAGTACTTCTCAATTGACACGCCTTTCGAGCATGGCGAACGTCGACAATGAATTCTCACGAGCATTGACAAAAAATTAAATAACACTACATAAACTCGGTATTGTCACACTGAGCGTGTCACTCACACAAGTCAGTCCGAATTGAGTGATAACAGGCGAAATCAACAGAGGCAAACATCGCGCCACCTGCAAGTTTTGCCAGTCGGCTGGGTGTGTAAGTAGCCCCAAAAGTTTCGGTAAATCGTCGGAGAAATAGCGCTTGGTTGTGTTTGGTCTGTGTCGGATGTCGGGGGCTCTCTTACACACCCGCCGATGGGTAGGAGTCTGGGTAAAACCTAGAATTCTAATCATACACACTTCCTGTCATGAGACACGGTGGTATGGCGGGAAGAATGACTAAGTGCGTGTGCCAGGACACGTCGACTGTGCGACGACCCCAGATAGCGTGGGCTTGCAAAAAAATTTGGCCCGTTCCCTCTACATGTCCCAGAGCGATGTAAAGGTGATTGCTGATGCTTTTGCGATCCACGGCATATTTCATGTAATTATTGGTAATGTATCATAGGACCGATCTCCCAGTCATTCTCAACAAGCCTCCATATAGGTGGTTTCTTGCAGAACGTTCGAATTCACACCGTTAAACACGTCCCTCCCATCATCCATGTCCTCTTCAGAATCTACACGACTACTCGGAAACGGTGGCCATACTGGTCATAAAAGCCTTCCCTTTACTCGTCGCATTGTCGATTGCATGAAGGGCAAGGGCGAGCCATCATGGGAAGAATCGTTCAGGTTCTTTATTTTTGGGACATGGCTCAATATCCTACTCGTGTTTGTACCTCTAAGCTTCATCTCACACAACATGGACTGGGATGTTGGCCTAGTATTTCTATTTAGCTTTATGGCCATCGTGCCCTTGTCCAAGGTGACAACTACTTCTATCATCACGCTCTTGGAAGACTGACATCGTCGTGTTTAGCTGTTGGGCGAGGCAACAGATCAGTTGTCGGTTAAATTAGGAGAGACCATGTCAGGTCTCCTCAATGCATCGTTTGGGAATGCCGTAGAAATCATCATCGGCGTTACTGCTTTACTCAATGGCTTGTCCACCGCTCTGAAGTTGTTTGCAAGTGCTCACGATGATCCTAGGTCAATTACGAATTGTTCAGACATCCGTGAGTGTCATCATGCGGTTACTATTTGCGATAGAATGACGTTGGGTCAGATGATTGGATCGATCTTGTCAAACATATTGCTCGTCCTTGGTTGTTCGTTTCTGGCCGGTAAGGGATCGCCGCTTTTGAAGGAGAGTATGGGCTCACTCGGTACAGGCGGATTATACCATACAGAAGGACTTTTCAATGGTACCGGAGCTCAGGCGTGCGTCCTCTGTTTTTCTGTTCTTTGAATGGTTGGTTGAATTGCAATGCTTTTTTAGATCTGCCTCCGTAAGTTATCTGACTGATTCATCACCATGATGACTAACCAAGTATAGCTTATGACTCTGTCGTGCATCAGTACGAATATCGTCAACTCGAGAGTTTCGCTAATACTTCACAGCGCTTGTTGTTCCTGCGGCCTATGCAAGTACTACGGACCCTGGAATGAAGAATCATTGCAGTAATCCTGACGAGTGTCCCACTGCGGGTCTTCTCTTTATCTCCAGAGGAACTGCAATATTGCTCCTAGGGGTGTACTGTGCCTACATTTGGTTTCAGGCATGTTCTAATATCTTATTTCTTTAATGTACTCACCCGAGGGTTTAGTTAAAGTCTCATCCCGATCTCTTCATCGCGCCTTCTTCACAAAACAGTGATGTAACAGTGGCATTGTCGGAAACGGACGAAACAGAGCCTCGCATGGGAACGGCTGCTGCTGGCGTTGCGTGAATCTTGTTTCGTCATTCGTTACATTGGGTATTTATTCTCGTTTGTTAGACTTTTATTAGTCACTATTGTCATTGCATTCTGTGCTGAGCATCGTAAGTATCCCACTTTGTTCCCTTCGTCTCATGTTCAATTGTGCCAGTGGTTACCTCCATCGAGGAAACTACAGCCCGATATCCCATCTCGAAAGCCTTCATCGGTGTTATCTTGTTGCCGATTGTGGTATGTTTCAAGCTGTATCCGACTAGCTGCTTGCCAACATCGCTTGTAGGGCAATGCTGCAGACCATGTCACTGCAGTCTGGATGGCAACGAAGAATAAATACGAGCTGACCATCTCTATCTGCGTTGGTAGTTCGATTGTAAGTGTAGATCGTTCATTATGAGATTATGATTGTACTGATTATAGGACAGCAAATTGCTTGCCTCGTAGTGCCGCTTCTTGTGATCATCGGTTGGATGTATGATTATGCATTGCACCTCGCGAGGTGTTGTTCTCACTGTCCTTTTTGTTAGTGTCGATCAACCCCTGACGTTGCACTTCCACAACTTCGAGGTCTGTTTATTCAGAATATATTCCACGTCATCACCCAAGTTTCTAACCAATATTCAGACAATTGTCTTCTTTGTATCTGTCTGCCTGGTCAATCTATTGCTCATGTTAGTTTCCCTTTTACCACATGGCAATCTCCCTCTCGTCGAGACTCAGCTCACTTGTTTCAGGGACGGAAAAGCCAATTATCTGGAAGGTCTCATGCTCCTTACCCTCTACTCGGTCATTGGCCTCGCATGTAAGTTGCTTGTTGAGCCCTTTAATCACATTCTCATTACCATTAGTTTGGGTGGCCTGAAATACCATCGATGGCATAGAAGACATCGAATACACAAGTATTGGTACCGTCTAGTACCGCTGCCACACCTGGAAGGCTACGAGTATGTCTAATAACGATATAGACAGGATTTGAATCAGGATCTTGACGTTCGGTGCTATCTACACCTGTCTTGAGAGCCTCGAGGCACATGTGTAGTCATCGCCTGTAGTATGTGCCGCATATCCATGTTAGTCATGCATACAGTGACTCGTAAATTATTACTTACACATTAAAACATTAATGACCCTCGGTAAGCCTCCTCAGCGGGGGCACTGAATCCCCAATCGGAGGAATATCTTTAGTCTTGGCATTTGTGTTGACTGACATTCTGAGTCGAGCATACTTGCATTGCATAAAAAACGCTCGAAAATCGGCTCGCTATCAGTGAAGCGACCCGCCATGGGCCAGGCTTTCATATGGCACGATAAGTGCAGGTGCATACCATGATACAAATTAATAATAGTCCAGAACCAACACCGGCCCGGACCTGGCCATTAATACGAGTCTTCATGAGCTGATGTAGCTCGAGGAGACAAGAGCGACGACTCGCATTTGCACGCGGTAAGTTGTGCAGTGATTCTGTACATGTACAATGATAGACATGGCTTTAGTCTCCTCTGGACAGACCAAAATGAAAATGGACGTCTCCTGGTAGGTTCCATATTTACTGCCACTGGTCTGCTTCCTAGAGACAACACACTAGCTGATACTTTCGATGTCCCGTCACACATTTTTGATTGCGTACAACTGGAACGAGCAAAATCTGCTATGGCCAGTCAATAACCCTTCTCTAGAATGCAGACTGACATGGCTTGTCCGTAACCAGCCCCCTCACCAGGCCAGGTATCCGACACACGAGGGGCCACATTGGCGTAAATGGATGTCGAGGACATGTATTTTGTTCATGGGGCCTGAAAACTCGTATAGTAAGCTCAATTTCGACGTTTACATCGCTCCAAAAATTACTGTCACTGATCGGGGGATACCAAGTCAGAATCAGGCTCATTTGATCAGAGTCCATGCATTGTCTCGGTGGCTGCATCAGATTCCTTCGTACCTTAGGTAGGTTCCCTTGAAGTGGTATTAAGGTAGCCTTAACTGTTCGAAAAAAAAGTTGGAAAGAAGGCTTTGGAAGTTTCGGCAGTGTGATGTCCACACGTAGCAGCACCCAGTGTATGGTTGGAAGTAGTGATCGGGACAACATGATCGCTCGGTACCGAACAAGGAGAATTCTTCAATGGTCAAGCTAAAGTTCAAGATCAATTTTGAAGTCTGATCAAGAGTTGAACGTTGAACTCCACAAGCAGTGCGCGGCCTGGGAATGTGAAGTACATGCGGTACGTAATAAATTATCGTCATTAATATTATTTACAGTAATTAAATTCTGCTGGTTGCTCTGCTGCAGCCTACAGAAAACTAGAAGTTTTGGGCTTAGACCAAGTTAGATGGTGCTCTTCCACTTTCATGAATGGTTTCATCAACAAGTTTTACTAACACAAGTTGCTTTGGCTCTGCAGATAGTAGATTCTGGTTCAATCATTACTCGGGCTGACACGCCGCCACCCTCACGACCGCAGAACCGTAGCTTAACTAGTAAGTAAGTTTCTTAAAAATAATAGCAGCGTCTAAATAATATAGTTTACTTCGTCGATTTCAGGGAAACACGGCCTCGTCGGTCAACGTGTTAAGTACTTGCAATATATCAGAAGATGAAGGCGGACCGAACTGTGTCGGGCACGTAGGTGTGCTTCTAGCTTGCTATATCCTTTCTAGACGGTACTTCACCTCGGAGGTTCGTTATCTTCGGGCGTCTTTTACGCAGTACAAACACGCCCGACTCGGAATGTCGGTCAACACAAATATCAAGACTAAAAATATTCCTCCGATTGGGGATTCAGTGTTCCCGCCGAGGGGACCTACCGAGGGTCGTTGATGTTTCAATATGCAAGCAATAATTGCAAGCCATGCATGCATGGATACTCCAAGGACTTATATATGTGGCACCTACTGCAGGCGATGACTATATGTGTGCCTCGAGGCTCTCAAGACAGGTATGGACATCACTGAACGTCGAGATCCTGATTCAAGTCTTGTATCATATTTGCAGTCATCGAGGTATGGCCGCGGTACTAGATGGTACCAATACTTGTCTATTCTGTACCTTCCATGCATCCCAGACGTAGGCAGGGAAAAACCAAATGTCGAATTCCCTCGGGTTTCTTGCAGCCTACGCACATACACCGTCGGTATCAACTAAAAGTATTTTTCCGACGGGGTTTCGGTGACTGCAATGAGATCCCGAAGCCAAAGGGTTTATCTACGGGTATAAAACCTAGCAATTCTGCCTACTCTCCCTCACTTCAAGTCGCTCATCAGCTCTTTCTTGATCACTCGTCGCCCCAGATCACTTAGCCAAAGCTCGTTTTTCTGTCTTACACAATGTTTGTTCGTCTCTTGTCCATCACATCTCTCTTCCTTCTCGCAATCGCCAATCCCCTTGTTCACCGCGGAAGCAGCCAGTGTGACACGGGCAACATCCAGTGCTGTCAAGAGACTCAGACAGTGAGTTTGATAACACCAAGTATCCTTCATAAATCATGCTTAAAAATCCAACAATAGGTCGATGAGTACAATAAGAACGCGACGACACATGGAAAGATTCCCATTGACATTGACATCCTCGGTCGTGTTGGTCTTGGCTGCTCCCCAATCACTATTGTCGGCGCTGGTGCTGGCGCGACCTGTTCTCAGGAACCACTCTGCTGCAGCGATAATCAATACGTATGCATTCAGCTTTTGTCTTACATTTCAGACTTCTCAAAGTTACCTTTGCAGTACGGGCTTATCAACATCGGCTGCACGCCCATCAACATCTACATCGATTGAGTTTTGAAGGTGACGGAGGAATGCGGTTGGAATGCGGGAGATCATCGAGCGCAGCTATGGACAGTCGATGTTAGTTTGTTACAGTTTTCTTGAGGCTTAAAGATGTTTGGTATTAGCAATGTGATGTTTTTTGTGTCGAGTTAACTGACAGCCACTGCTCTGTCAAAACGAAGGACTGGTCTCTTGTCAGAACTTGTCTGATCATTTTCTATACGAGCTCTTTCGTCGAACAATCACATCTCATACTAGAGTTGGAAAAACCGAAGCCACGTCATGCAATGGGAACTGTCTCGACACATTCATTAAATTGCGAAAAATCAAAAACTCTACAGCCTCTTCATTTACAAGAAGACACTGTTTAAACTTTCCTTCTTGCATCAAGACTGCACCGTAGTACTACGGCTGTTTTGATATTTGACCCCTGACATGGTGTGTCTTGAACACCTTATGTGATTTCCATTTCCAAAATTTACATGCAAGATTCGCCCACACGCAACTACATTCAATAAATGCCAATTAGCTAGGGCACATACCCTCCCGAACCGTTGTTGATCACGACCGGATAGGAAGACAGCCTTATCTTACACATGAACGCATGACCCTTCACATTTGCATAATATTATGAATACAACGAATCTATGCATGATGCTTTCTCTCGATGAAGTCATACTATATGTACATACATATTTTAGTGTCGCAGGTGGAGCAAAAGGAAATAGGTGACGCAGAAACTGATCTACTAGCAGTCGCAAAATATATGTTGCCAATAATGACAATAATCGATGGTGTCTCAGACCACCCAAACTAATGGCAATGAGAATGTGATTAAAGGGTTCAATGGGCAACTTACACGCGAGGGCGATGACCAAGTAGAGGGTAAGGAGCATGAGACCTTCCAGATAATTGGCTTTTCCGTCCCTAAAATAAGTGATGTAAGTCTCGATGAGAGGGTAACTGCCATGTGTAAAGGCAACACTGACATGAGCAATAGATTGACCAGGAAGACAGATACAAAGAGCACGATTGTCTGAATATTGATTAGAAACTTGGGTGATGATGTGGAATATATTCTGAATATACAGACCTCGAAGTTGTGGAAGTACAATGTCAGGGGTTGGTTGACGCTGATAAAAAGGACAGTGAGAACAAAACCTCGCGAGGTGCAATGCATGATCGTACATCCAACCGATGATCACAAGAAGCGGCACTACGAGGCAAGCAATTTGCTGTCCCATAGTCAGTACAATCGTAATATTTTGATAAATGGTCTACACTTACAATCGAACTTCCAACACAGATAGAGATGGTCAGCTCATATTTGTTCTTCATTGCCATCCAGACTGAAGTGGCATGTTCTGCGGCATTTCCCTACAAACGATATTGGTAGGCAGTTAGTCGGATACAGCTAGAAACATACCACGATCGGCAACAAGATAACACCAATGAAGGCTTTCGGGATGGAATGGCGGGCTGCAGTTTCCTCAATGGAGGTAACCACTGGCACAATTGAACATGAGACGAAGGGAACAAAGTGGGACACTTACGATGCTCAGCACAGAATGCAATGACAATAGTGACTAATAAAAGTCTAACAAACGAGAATAAGCTCCCGATTGTAAAAAAAATGACAGAACAAGACTTACGCAACACCAGCAGCGGCCGTTCCCATGCGAGGCTCTGTTTCGTCCGTTTCCGACAATGCTACCGTTACATCACTGTTTTGTGAAGAAGGCGTGATGAAGAGATCGGGATGAGACTTTAACTAAACCCCCGAGTGAGTACATTACATAAAGAAATAAGGTATTAGAACATGCCTGAAACCAAATGTAGGCACAGTACACCCCTAGGAGCAATATGGCGGTTCCTCTGGAGATAAAGAGAAGACCCGCAGTGGGACACTCATCTGGATTACTGCAATAATTTTCCATTCCAGGGTCCGTAGTACTCGCATAGGCCGCAGGCACAACAAACGCTGTGAAATATTAGCGAAACTCTCGAGTTGAAGAGCATAATCATACTGATGCACAATAGAGTCATAAGCTACACTTGGTGTCAGTAATCATTAGATGAATCAGTCAGATAACTTACGGAGGCAGATCTAAAAAAGCATTGCAATTTAACCAACGATTCAAAAAACAGAAAAACAGAGGACGCACGCCTGAGCCCCGGTACTATTGAAGAGTCCTTCTGTATGGTATAATCCGCCTGTACCGAGTGAGCCCATACTCTCCTTCAAAAGCGGCGATCCCTTACCTGCCAGAAACGAACAACCAAGGACGAGCAATATGTTTGACAAGATCGATCCAATCATCTGACCCAACGTCATTCTATCTCTATCGCAAACAGTAACCGCATGATGACACTCACGGACGTCTGAACAATTCGTAATTGACCTATCATAGGATCATCGTGAGCACTTGCAGACAACTTGAGAGCGGTGGACAAACCATTGAGTAAAGCAGTAACGCCGATGATGATTTCTACGGCATTCCCAAACGATGCATTGAGGAGACCTGACATGGTCTCTCCTAATTTGACCGACAACTGATCTGTTGCTTCGCCCAACAGCTAAACACGACGATGTCAGTCTTCCAAGAGTGTTATGATAGAAGTAGTTGTTACCTTGGACAAGGGCACGATGGCCATAAAGCTAAATAGAAATACGAGGCCAACATCCCAGTCCATGCTGTGTGAGGTGAAGCTTAGAGGTACAAATACGAGTAGGATATTGAGCCATGTCCCAAAAATGAAGAACTTGAACGATTCTTCCCATGATGGCTCGCTCTCGCCTTTCATGAAATTGATAACGCGACTAGTGAAGGGGATGTTTCTATGACCTGTATGGCCACCATTTTCGAGTAGCGGTGCAGATTCCGAAGAGGACATGGTTGATTGGTAGGATGTGTTTGACTTTATGAATTTCGAACGTTCTGCCTGAGCCATTTATATGAAGCACCAACTGTGACCACAACGTCCAGGTATTGTTGATACCACAGGCGGAGGCTAGTGGAACTGCATTCACATCAAGATGAATTTGGTGATATGTCGAATCATTGTTCATTGTGGAAGCTTTTAGTCCTTTACTTAGCCGGCATTGCCTGAAGACAACATTTATAATCAGCTGGTCCACAGTTGACACATCCCGCTTACCTTCGGATAAAGGTGTAAACTGCCTTTTACTCTAAAGAAAACTCGTAAAGTATAAGCACCAAACTTGTTTGAATTTGAGACTCTGCTTCCGCAGCAGCAACAGTCGACTTTGCACGATAGAACTTGAATTGCTTGCGCTCTGCACGGCGTTTTACGATGATCTCTTCAGATGTGAGTCCGATTTTCGGACTAGTATAAGATAGTAACAGACCTTTGCCCTTCGTTTGACGTCTTAACAAGCATCTGGGCTCATTCTTGGAGAGGTCTCCCTTTCCAAAGAACCAGCATTTCCATAAGAGGGTGGCATCACCAGAGTTTGAGACCCAAGCTGAGCAGGTGAGAGACTCGAATAGCGTGGTGCAGCGCGGCCGAAGTCAGGAAAGGTCCAACTTGAAGAAGCGTGATGTTGACTGTGGAGATGTTGAGCCCATATTATTCTGGCCGAAACGAAGACTTGAAAGACACATCTGAACAAGAAGTCGGGTTTATGAGCGACATCACAGTAACTTGTCAAGGTTAGTAGGGTTATTTACGTCCAACTCAGCAGCCAAGGCTTCCTCAGCTTCAGGCTTAACTTCGACGTAGCTCACGCTTATTCTCCGTCGGGTTGGTCCTCTCGAATCTTGACGAAGCTTGATCATTATGCTGGACTGAGGCACAACCATCGACAATCCCTATGTTCTCATAGCCTCCGAAGAAGAACGGTGTTTGGCATACTTCCGATTACGGGCATCACTGGGATAAGATGGATGGGTACGTCGAGGGGTTCGGAGTATTGTTTCCGGGAGAAAGACGTTGGAGCCTCGCCTGATTTTACAGCAAACGTAGTAATTTTCGGGTCCGGTTGGGACCATGCCATTGGTCAACTTTTGGTCGATGTGGTGTGGCCTGGCCATGGCGCTTAAGTGAGAAGGTAAGCGCTCATCACAACATTTCCAAGCAAAGACTTCATGTGTTTATACCATATGCCGCAGTCACATTGGAGAACGTTTACGACCATTGACAACTGTTTTCGTCCTACACTGCCCAATGTTCATTGTCAGTACTAAAATTTACCGATATGCCCTTAACTGCACAAGAGAGAACCGCTTTGAAATATCTGCCCAAGCGTATCCAGGTAAATCAAGTTTTTGAATCTCCTGGGCCATCCCAAACGATGTCAACTGGCTTTTTCCAGCGCTCAACAGACGGAGCCCTGGAAGGCGTGGTGCATGATGTCCGCAAACTCTACCATTGGGTCGATAATTCCACCGATGTCGATGCGAACATGACTTTACTCCCCATCTTTTACGCTCATCTGGACCCAGCTGTGATACCCGATCAACCTCTGCCGACTGATGATGTACAGAAAGTCGTCATACTGGCCAAATTATCATTGATGAGTATCGTACAAACGTGTGCTAGCGTGCGTGGAGTTCTCAGCGAAAGTCTCGCGGACAAGATGATTACAGATGCACTGGTGCGACGTTGGGACACTCTTTTTCCATGGCTACAGTTCATGTATCGGCATTTTCTACCTTTCCCGCCTCGGAGGGTTCCAGAAGGTTTCGACATCTGCGATGTGGAGGTAGTCTCCATCACAACTCGTGCCCTCTCGCAAATGGCAATCTCCGTCGCAGGACAGCACCTGATCCAGTCAAACATGTCTATTCAACAGTTCATTGCAAAGCTATGGCTTTATATCGGGAAATTGAGGGATGAGGATTTGCTCCGGCATGACGCATCTTTTCGGCATGACGGGAGGGAGGGCGTCAATGATGAGATGACGGGACACGTGAGGAGGATTATGGTCGGAATCCTTACAGCATGCATGCCTGTGGCGCTTCCGGCACCATTTGCTGTGCCTACTCTGCATAACCTGCTCGACGCAATGGGTGGATACGAACCATTCGTAGCGTCGGCACTACGATATATTCGGTGGTTCGGGAGGAAGATCGGTGACATGAACAATCGCACGACTCCAAATTATGGGTTTGTGACCGCGATGCTAGGATTTGTCGATGCTTTATCAATTTTAATCCGCTTTCTTTCCTTGGTCAGCATCATGGACGCTACGTGCCAAGAAGAGCTCATCTTGCACCGCGCACCTTCGGATGTTGTGACAGCTTTACTTCAAACATGGCCGGTTCTCACTGGTGTGAGGGTCAAGTCTTCGACGGAAACCTCGACTGAAAAAAGATGCACTATGATCCTGGAGGATACTTTCGATTATATAGATGTGATCCTGCGTCAATCAGAGGCGTGCATTCCGGCTCTATGTCAGGTCCTCGATGCTGGATTTATCCAGCTGGTGCTGCAAGCTGGGTTCCGCTGCCCGCAGATGGCCTCTGGTGTCCTCAAGCTCATTCCGCGATTTCTGATGTACCATAAAGTATTACACCACTTCCAAAAAGTAATGGAACAAACTGCCAATAACATGGCTCGTTTTGGACCTCAAGCGAAGAAAGACGATGAAGTGCAACAGACATGGATTTTAGTCCAGCAAGCGGCCCGCCAGATACTCAATGTCTGCAGGAAAACCAGTCCATTGCCTTTTTACGAACAAAAGTGTGCGAATTTACAGGTACGTTTGAGGGCTAGTTTGATTCAGTACGCCATAGGCTTATGACATCTCCAGTGTCCGTATGACAACAATAGACCACCGCACTATCGGTGCTGTGGGTGTTTCGTCGCGCGATATTGTTCCCGGGGTTGCCAGAGAACAGATTGGAAAAGCAGACATCGTACTGCATGCCCTGTCCTCCATTCGGCTGGTGGTCTGTCTCTCAATTACACATATGACATGTACTAACCGACTTTTCAAAGGTTTTGACGGGTCCAAATGCATTCGTGGTAGCCTTCCTCTCATCATGCTTGTGGAAACGTTCAACTATTCGCTATACGCTGACCGAATACAAGAAGCCATGGAACAAGCACGAAAGGACTACCCAGAGGATATTGAACGTTTAGTTTTGGAAACAGATCTTTCAGCTTACCCGGTCACTTTCTCTGCACGACCAGTTGAACAATATGCTGATATATTCGACCCCCGATTTGATCCCGCCATGCTCAAGGAGCTAAGGGGATTACCTGGAAAGCATCTCCTGATGGCCCTCAAACTCAGAGCAGGCCGAGAGGAATGCATAGTACTCAGTCCGAGGGTGGGTCTTACACTAGCTTTCCAGTGGCCGGCTGCCAGGGAAGAAGAAGCAGGTAACGATGACTATGCTTGGATAGGGACAGCAAGATACTCAATTGCTCGTGTTTTTAGTATTGTCTGCTGTTCAAGAAGCGCTGGTTTCACGCCTCGCAGTAGGCCCAGGTAACGTAATCAAAAGGGGAGATGGCTTCAAAGTGGTAGAATACAGGCAGCCACCGATCACCCAGCCCATTTAATGGATAATTTGGTTCGTCTCATACCTTTACTGGCTTGATTGAGAATAAGATATGCATAAAACATACACACCCATAGTATTTGCTCGTTGACTTTTGCTCGGCAGTGGTGACCCGATGGCATTGTTCAAACGACGTTCGGAGGCTAGTGCCCGCTTCCCGTATGTAAAACAGTCGCAATAGTGTATACAACGCGGTATGATATTGTACAGTAACTTTTACCGATCAGTAGCTCCTGAAACTAACTGCGGCGCGCAATATTGAAAGTGGCGATACCACCTCATCATAATCATGTAACTCGAGAGATAATTGGGTCATCACAAGGTCATCAATGCATCAAATTCCAATTCAGCACCACCGAATTATCGCCAGATGCAGCACCCCAAGCACCAGAGAAGCTTCGAGACCATCAAACATCGTATCTAGAACGGCAAGAAGTCCTATTATGCCGAGGAGGACCGGGCGGGAGGGCCACATAGATACTGCCGACAATGTCTGCAATAGCCTTGTTAACACGATGTCCAAAGGTGCTTTACTCGAACGTACCTTCGCAGCAAGGATGCAGGCTTTCAGTGTGGTAACCCACGCGATTTTCGGTGATCGCCAGCGTAAGAAAGTAAGATTCTCTACGATCAAGTTCGCCACGTCAGCCCGACGATCGGGACGTGGAGAAGGAAGACGAAGCATGGGACTTTTCCTATCCAATGCCTTGGCAACTTCTTCCTGCTCGTGTTCTGTAGGCGTCAGGGAAGCATCAGGGGGTGTTTGTTCGTTCTGAACGGTTTCAGATTCATCAGTTTTTCGTCGCAGTGGGATGAGAGACTTGTTGGAAGGAGGGATGAATGGCGCCACAGGATCAAACTGAAAGCATGGACTATTAACAAAAAGATCAAGCGCGAGAGGTTATTCGGCTTACTCGTCCTTCTCGGATAGCGCTCACTATGCGCTCGCACGAGGGTCTCGAAGAGGGGTTGATGCTCAAGAGGCCTTCGAGCAATATCAGGAACGAACGCGGGAGACGGCGGGACTCGAAAGATGTTGCAAGTGCAGACGTTGATCGGAATCTGAGAGCTGGTCTATAACTAGATCACAAGCGGTTCAGAGTCAACCGCACCCAGTATAGCCCAAAATTTCCTGCTCTAGTTTGTCCATCTTGTCGGCTTCATCGTATGCGGTGGCTTCTCCTTCTGTTGCGTAGCGGAAGGGCAACTTGAAGAAAAGCATCTTGTGCAGGATCATCCCAAGAGACCACATGTCAGATTTCGAGTCAATTTGTCGGAGAACTCCTGTAAGAGGTGATGGAAGGGACTCTGGCGAAGCGTATTCGAGACTGTTTGATTGAGCAGGCTGATGTTAAGCAACAGCAACCGGATACTCACGTTCCCGTATTACCTGATCGAACACCACTCGACCGTACCATATCTCGGGAGGTTCCAAAATCCGATAACATTGCTCGAGGGCTGCACATAGCAATCTTAACATTAGCACTACAACCAAACAAAACTCACTTACATGAGTCTTCCTTCATCCCAAGTCAGTAGCACGTTACCAGGTTTGAGGTCCAAATGAAGAATGGATTTATCATGCTTCAGGTACCAAGCATCATCGGTACGTCAACGTTGGAACATCGATCAGAACGCACCAAGAAGGCTAATCCGTGTGTCACATCCGCAAACAAACTTCGCGCTTCCTCTGCACTGAGAAGATGGACAGCTTTCCATGAGGGATGATTCCTGCGGCTATGGATTTGGTCCTCCATCTCTCGGCGTAATCGCTCGCGTTCCTCTGGTGGGGCACGCTTCATCGTACGAAATGCACGGATGCGTGCAGATGGAGTCGGATCGTCAGGAGCAGGCGATGAGGAGGATTGCATGTGCGGAAGTCCAATTGAACGTCCCAGGCGAAGGGCAATGAAATCATCCAAACTAATAGCCGAATTTCAATAATGATAGTCATATCTTTATACTCGAGGGCGTTACCTTCCACCTTCAGCCCATTGCATGAGAACGCTGCGCAGTCATGGTAAATCAATTATCATCGGTTGGCGTTTCCGTACTTACTGTAGGGTGGGCACTTTCGGACCAAAAGCAGAGAACTGATAAGTTTCTAGCCATGCGTGATGATACGTTACTATATTACGATGGTGTAGAGACTCGAGAAGGCGAATCTTGATAGCACATTAATGTCAGCGTGCATGATATGTCAACATATCGTCACAGTTACGAACCTCTCGCAGTATGTTGAGCAGATAAGAGTGGGACTCTCCTATCGCGATTTTCTTAACAGCAAAATGTCCTAAGATGTTCGTTCAGCACGTCAAACCATTAACTATTGCATGCAAAATACTAACCAAGTGGTTCCCCATCAAGAACATGCTGCCCACGGGACTTGAGAAATAGTCATATAAAGGTGCAGTGCAATTCAGCAGACCTGGCAGAGATATACACTTCCATTTGCCCCCATTCCTAATCGATACTCTTCCTGGAAAAAAGCCTTAAAGTAACCTTCTGCCATAGTTTCTGGAGGGAAAGCACCATGTCGGCTCCCACTGCCACTCGTCAAAGGGGGGCTAGACGGCCTTGAGGACGTCTGATTTGCGGCAGCAAGAAGCTGGAAGTAATTTGACGCTCGGGAATGTGATCCAAAATCGGACCGAATATTGTCAGAAGAGTCATTTCTATCGAATCCATTGGGAAGAGGACGATGGCAGTAGGGACACGATGACGAGCCTGAAAAATCTAGTGGGCCAGAGGTCTTGGTTATAGACAGAGCATGAGATGTTGGATTATACAACACGATCTGATTAGAGGCCTGGAAGATTGGCTGCCATTCGGGTTCCAGAGGAGCTAACGCGACAACCGGCTGGTTCGGAGAGGGTGGCTGACTTTCGTCAAACATGGTACACCGTTGAGGCTAGCAAGTAGTTGAACAGCTGTGGTTCTGGATGGTCGTCCCGGTAAAAAAGTTGCGTTTGCTAACAGACACCACTCCAGCACCAGTACTAGTTAAGCGATGATGTCGGATTCCTTCATGTCGTCTTAGTCAGCATATTATTGAGTTTTGAAATTTGAAATTCGAAGGCTGGGCTCTTCACATCGCGCAATTCTTGTACATGGCCAACATTCTCTTATTTCGTGGCCACACCATTGCTTGCCTTCGGCGTATGAGCTCATGCGCATTATAATCGTTTCACCAACAACGCCATTGTCGACCAAGGTCATTTACAATTTGACTTTAAAACAGACAACAATTCCTTCCACTCAACCACCCCATCCAGAGCATCATGTACGGTCTCTATAGTGAGTTAATAGTAATTTAGGTCTTGTTTGTCAGTGTGCTCAGTCTCATAACACAGGTATTTGAAGAGAGTAGCGCTCCCGAAGCTATTGAACTCAAGGGAGGTCGAAAAGTTTTGCACCAAGCAAACGCGCTCGCAAGCAGAAATCGACTACCGGCTTCGGACGGTGACCAAAGCTGCGTGAGAGGAACAGGCTGTATTACCTGCTACACTTGGTTGTGAAGAATCACGATGCCCCCTCCACATAAGCCCTGGCCCGCCTCTACTATATCGAAGTCGGGATTACTAGGATTCCTTCGATTCACAGTAGCCGACGTAGGTGTTGGCGAAGATTGGAATCATTTAAACAAGCGAAGGTAGCGCGCGAGGAAGGAAACCCCACTGCTGTGCTAGCAAAAGCGCGCCGAAAGGCTGTCATAGGCGAACGATCGACCCTAACTCTCGCGTAGCCGGCTCGTTGTATCCAGGACAGCCGCCAAGAGTATCATCTGATGGAGACCCAGGCTCGAGATCTTCTACGCTCTGCGTCTTGTCTGCAAAGTTAACCAGCCCGAGACCATACCGACCCACGGACGGACGAGCAAGAATGTCTGCTGACTCGGAGCACGCCTTGCCGGCGAGAATTGAATAAGCCTGTCTTCCATTGTGACCAGCAGGTCTTGTAGCCTGTCTGCCTTGACGCCATACTAGTGAAATATCTAGCCCCGTCTTGACCAGGCCTCCACCTGACTTCTGTGAGAGGAAATGCGAGGCAAGGCAATTGCAGTCTGGCGTTTGCGAAACGAGGAAAACTGAGGTTCTCAAGAAGGCCATATAGTTTCGAAGCCGCCTCTACAGCCACAATATTGATTCTCAATGTGGAGACCAAATTCTGCATATCATCTTCCGATAAAGATGGCACTGGCAGTGTACACGACAGAGCCTTGAGGAAATGTCAGCTGGCAGACAACTGTTGAAGTTGTATGGTTGTCCCACGCAATCCAGGGCCGTGATATCGCCTGAATGGGCTATGATCTCGTAGAAGTCGTCTGAGTGGGTTCTATCTTTTATTACAGGAAGGTGGACATCGAAGAACTAAACAGCGCTCCTTTCAGATATTGTATAAGGGATGGTTGCAGTGATGAGACATGGTGGTATTAGTTAGCGCAGTTTTGGCAAGGGGCAGTATTGCAGCTAAAACTTGAATCTTGAGCAATGGACCAGGCGGTACTGATGTTATTCATGATGAAGTGTGTTCGGTGGCGTCACTAGCAAGATGCATAGGATCTGTGCCAAATCTGTGCATGGTTATCAATATTCTAGTCATCGTCCAAAAAAGGAAGTCGAGCCCATAAAGAAAAATAATTGCCATTACCGAATTCGAGCCAGACCCGAACAACGTTTTTCCGTTGATAAATTCGCCGCTTGTTCCCGCCTAATTGCCTGTGGTCGCTTGGTGGTCGCCGTATCTTGTCGTCTTCGTTTGCTGTCATTCTTTGATTTTTTAACAGTCATTTGAAGCTCAGGATGCAAGTCGAGCTGGAAGCGCGTCAACAACAGGGAGGACAGCCTCAGTCCCAGAGTCAATCCCAATCACAATCCCAATCGCTATCTCAAACTCTGTCTGGATCCACCGTGTCAGGTTCACAGTCGCAGACTGCGTCGGGCACTGCTTCCTCGTTTCTATCCATCCCCCAATCAGCTCCTGCAGGGCTTCTTACCATCACTCAGCCGCCCCAGCAGTCGACTTCTTATTTCAAGATTGCTCAGAACCAGTTCATCACGTTTGGATGGAATTTCAGCTACATCTTAGCCACCCCCACTCACCTGACCGTTTCCGCTGTCTGCGAGAACGGAAACACGTACCCCGTTGGTCCAACGAATGGCATTATTCCCGGAACTGCCACTAGCGTTGTTTGGGACCCATACACCTACCAAACCTCCCATCCCAACCTGCCGCTCGCTCAGGCAAAATACACTCTCGAAATTTGGGCAGACGGAGGGCCTGATGCTGTACGCGAGCCAGGTGTGCTCACGCCCAATAGCGCGCTGCAATTTGCGCTGTATACGCCACAGGCTTATACTCCTATCACCAGCGGTAAGCGACGTCTACACGACGGCTGTATTTTTACTGACTCGTTCGAAAAGGCTGGTCTTGTGCAGGTTGTTCTAGCGCTGTGTCGCAGCACATTGCCCACCCCACATTCATTGCCCTCATCGCTACCTTAATGGTGATGTTCATCTCTGGCTCGGCTCTCTTGCGGCGAATATAGGACATGTTGTCAATGCATGTTCAGCAGCTCGTTGCATTCCAGTTTCTTGTTTTTTTTTCATGTTTAAGAGACACTGTCAGTTACATCATCAGCCTCGCGTTCATCAGTCGATACGGACCTTTGATTACAGAAACTTTTGGCATTATGGACAACTTTTGTTATTTTTAACTCATATGAGTATATCAGTTCGTAATACACCTTTGATTTGTTTTGTGGGTTGCACAGACTGATTTCTACGTCATTGCGTTAACCTTTGATCGCCGATCGCAACCGTATTTTATCTTGCAGCAGCCAGGTAAAAATAATATCACTTATAACCACTGATTGGCTGCACATTGGCGGCGGGTGGCAGCGGGTGGCGACCAACTGTCTGTCTATATTTCGACTTTGTTCCCACTGAAACGATCGGCAAACATCACATGACCTTTGTACTGTTACTAATGTTACCTGCCTCTTGCCACCGGCCTGTCATGTTGTCGCCACATCAGCCTCGTGGCACGTCCAACTTGACTCGGAAGGCCACCTGTTTCCTACCAAGTTCGATTACGAGCTTAGGCGATCGGTTGCGTTGATCCCAAAGCCTAGCCGTATTTTTGATTCCTATCATTGCAGATTGATCCCAGCGTTTTAATCAACATCATTCAGCCCCACGGGAAGTCATCCAGCTAAGAATCGACCCCTGGATTTTGACACTGGGCTGTAACATATGACGTATGTGGTTACTTCGCAACCATCCTGAATCGATACTTATCATCATGATTACTTGTCAACTGTCACTCAACATTCGTCAATGGGCTGAAACGTGTTGCACTTTGGGACTCTCTTGTGGGCACCACGGTGATGACACCAGAACCTGTTGTTATAACATCGGTAAGAATATGATAGTCGCGGGAAGCGAAACTTAAGTTCACGTTCATTTCATCCATTGTCGTAGTCAAGGCTCTCGATACTATGAAGCAACGTGGAATCGGTATCCAAGGCTGCCATCAGTCATTTAGTACTTCTTACTTCCCAGCCTGGGGTCATCCTTCCTGAGGAGGTAGGGGGGCACAAGCGTATATATAGTCAATCTATACCAACAGGACAGCTACGAATTTATTAACTATCGGGCTCTGATCTTGTGGACCCGTTATCTATCCCCGCCAGCGTTTCTGGCCTTTCCTCTGCTCTTCGCTCCATGAACATAGCAGCATAAGGGCGTACTGGTTGGCGCACTACGTTTCAGATAAACCGATTAACCACGCAGGTAAGAGGCTTTCTCACTGACCCGTGTTCACGTCGAGGCAATGCGAGTCGCCGTTGTTGACATCAACTGCATGCAACAGATCGACTCTCCCAGGAACCGTCATTCACAATGGTTATACCTACATCACCGAGCGCGAGGGTGCCAGTGAGCGCGGATTCAAAAACAGAAACGATGGCAAAGGCAGCGCAGAAGGGATTCTTTTCCAGCTTCTTTTCGTGGTCACCCAAGAGGTCCGCAAAATGTGCGATAGAGCGACCCAGCGCAACACAGGGTAAGGATCATAAATATATATCTTGCGTGAAGTAAAAACATTGATTATTTGCATCATTTAGCACTCTCGCATGCTCCCAGCGAGCCACCTGCACCCACACATGATCTATCACGGGTACAATCCGTTCCACAGATATTGACGCCGAATCTATCGCGAGTACAATCTGCTCCGCAGGCCTTCACGCCGAATTTTCCTCAGAGAAAAGTTAACACTGTCCCTGAAATTCCTCGATTCAAGTCCATCAAAGACAATCTACGAGAACTTGGACTCACGACTCCTGTTGTCCTTACGCAACCTCAAGTTGCGGGCAGTGAAGCAGTGCTATCACAATTAGACAAGGTAGCATCTCCTCGGGCGGACATGTTCTTCCAACACTCGTTATCACACAACACGAGTCCCACCTCGTCTAAGCCAAGGCACGAATCGTCTCGAGGGAACGCACTTGTGGCGTCAGATCATGCTATTAACATCGAGTTGCCAGTTCTAAATATCACCTCCGCCAATGTGCACTTCGCTCCATTACCTCCCTCAGCAACGGCTCAGGCTAATCATGCGGATCTAGTCGAGAAGATCGCTACTCCCGTATCTACTGCTCCTGATGAAGCTCCGATATTTGTCCAAGGTGGCAGTAGCACTTCAAATAGAGAGCCACCTATTCCATCGTCCCCATCGGTAGCAAGTCGCCCTTCTATTTCACAGTCAAACCAGAGTCACACCCCTTCATCTACTCGTCCGAAAAGGCCTCGTACAGCCCCTGGCGGCTCAAGTGAGCTGAGCAAGCAAACTTCTGTCGCCCCCGGGCGCCCTCAGCGTCATGCAACCAAGGAGCCAGCTTCCATCTTCCCCGTAGACGAGGGATTCTTTGGTCGTCCAAAGCTACCCCCACCACTCAAGGTCATTCCGAAGAAGGTCAAAAGGCATCAACGAACGCAAACTCTCGTTCCTTCTCCCTCACCTACAACCATGACCCACGAACAATCTCTTACGCGAGCGGCATCCGCACGTTCCCACAAAACACATCAGACGCCAGCTCGGCTGGCGTCTGTCAGTGAGCCGGCAGCATTGTTCCCCATACCCAACGTTTTGACGTCTGACAAATCTGTGCTCATCAATCGGAGAACCTCTCTCACACATAGCAGCAGATCAGTCCCCAGTTCACCTCCGTTCCCGTTAGACGATGAGCTTGAACTTCCACCACCATCACCCTTGCACACGCAAGCGCCTGACGAGTGCTCGTTATCACGAATCAACACACGAACAACGGTTGCTTCACATCAGACTCAGTTACCAGCCACCCCAGCCCCCAAATTACCCTCTGAAAAATGGGCGTGGAATCCTCCTTCAAGCTGGCTGGGTCCTTCTTCGGCTGTTTCCTCCGAAAGCGGGGATAGTTCGCACAGTAGCAAGAAGGCGTTCTCGATAATTCGCTTGCGCAGACCGAAGAGTTCATCTCGGTCTGTTGCTTCGATATCCAAGTCTCTCTACACACATAGAAACACCTCATCGCCGACCCTCACAGTGTCCGCAACAAAATTTGGAAAGGGGCGTATGCCTCCGATGGTACAAGACAAGAATGACAGCACCGGTGTCATTGTCAAAATGCAGAGTCACGAAGGTGACTGGGAGGCGGCGGCATTCCAGGATGTCATTCCTCGCCTGAGGGAAATGAAGAATTCCGCTCTATCAAATTAGAAAGAGGGTCAAAGTAAGATGAAATAATATTCCCGCATGATAGTTTTGTCAATATCGACACTGTACCAGTACCCATGTGTTCCATACCCCCGCATTGATTACTTCGTTTACACATTGTCTTTACGATTGACGGATACGACATGAGGAAGAGATGAGCATTTTGTTCTCCAGGAAACGATGTTAAAATCTCGATTTGTTGAATTGCGTATATGGTCTGAGATAAGAAAAACAAAGTTCTGGCTGTTCGTTGTTTGCAAATTCGGGAGCGAATTACTATACCGTTGCACAGCTTTACGCGGGGGTTTTGTGGTTTGCACATGCCTGGTTTGAACTGCTGTCCATAAAATACATCCCTGGTTCTGCTCTTCGAGACAGGCAGAAAAGCGGTACATTATCGCAAAGGGGGACTGTCAGGCGCAGTCATTTGTATACAAGTGTGTTCGGTGGCGTCACGATGAGTCGGCGAAAACCGTGCCGTAAGCGATAATCTTCTGGGGCCTAGATTTTGTGGAAATGACAAGTTGATCGTACCGTCGATCGTTATCATCCGCAGAAGGGGCTGTGGACCTCTTGACGTTGGAGTCAGACGTCGCAAAGGTGACAATATTTTGTACACCGGAGTCGGAAACTCCGCCGTGAATGTGCACATCCGCAGTTCAGAATGTTCAAGTTCGTATGAGAGTCAAAGTAAATTTCTTGCTGTGCGGACAGTGCGATTAATACATTCTGGAAAAGGATGCGTGTGATTTGTCGGAGGTCTGCAGACTTGAAAAATTATATGCACCTATATGATCAGCTGGTGGAAACTGTTGCTCATGTTACAAATTGCAATGTAACGCAGCGACCAACATTCTTATTCAGCCGAGAGACGTACCGTGGATGTTTGAATGAATGTCTGTTCATCGACCTTTCGGCTACCAAGGTGGCAAGTTCCACAAGATGACACGATTTCGCCGGTGGTTTGAAGAGGAAAAAAAGAATCGCTACGTATTGATGTCGAACAATGATCATTTGTCCACTGGATATAACCCAAGGACAGTGATAACGCTCCTTCACCAGAGGCAGGCTGGCCAGTGGCCATTCAATTAAATGGATATAGATGCTTCTAAGATACAGCTGCATTGCTCAATTCGAACTTGTGGGTGTGTGCGTGCGAACTGCGGAAATAATATTAATTATGCTGTGTTAAAATTCACTTACGTAACATTTGTTGGGACCTACAGCAGAGACCCCGAACTCTCCCGAACTATCACATTCTTGACAACCATACACGCGCTTTGTGTTGTCCTCGTCTTGTGGACTAGTCACCGCTGGAATTACGATGCGCTAGAGTCTGCTTGTGAATGCTTCTAAAACCGAGAAAAATTCAGTTCAACCGCAGCACACTTCTTCATCCGCGATCCGAGGATGTATCATGTGGCATGAGAGGCCGAACCTTATGCTTGGACCGTCTGCAAACCATTTTCAAGCATATATCCTATGGTCATCAAGACCCTGGTCCTGTTTGTATGTGCGTTGTTAACTTGTCATATGTGTGTGTACGTGCTGAATTCTGTAATAGGCAGTCTTTGTATTTCCTGATGATGATCAATGATGGTTTCTGACTACCGTGACTCGCCACTCGACTGAGTACTGAAGCCTCATAATGTAAATGAAGTACACATTGCTGCCCTACTCAGGGGTGTACATATTCCAGATTGTTGCCCGTGCAACCACGTTCCCCGTCCAGCCTGCAGTGAAGCGATGCACTCCTCCGCTTCGACCTTACGTATCGCCATTATTGGGCTGAGCGCGTCAGCCTGCCAACGAATAGTGCCTTCCGCCCCACATGCTGATTCTGGGGTCTGCCGCCCTGTTCGACCTTTTCCTCATTTTTCTAGTGCCCGTATTTTCGTCGGCACTGAAAGTCACAGCCCCCGGACGCCATGTACCTTTTGGGCACTATTTCGTATCATTCTCAGCTTCCGCCGCTTCATGCTCCAAATCCACTACGTGTGCTGTTTTTGGATGTGTGGGTTGCACTGCATTTATTGACCTTTTACCGATCCTCGAAGCTCGTATTTCGTAACATCTCGTGGCCCCGTCAAAATGCTCTCTGTGGCGGTGGCTATTGGCATCCTTTAAATCACGGACTGCTTGCTTTTCCCATATTTCTTCAAACTCATCTCTTCCACCCCCATGTCCTCTCCCAATTCATCGTGAGCGACCATAGCCTCTGTATCTCAAACCCCTCAAAGCGCTATATCAATGTATAGCTACCCTCCCCACAGTGATCAGGAGGACGCCTTCACCGATTTCGGTGGCGCACATGATTATCACGGAATCCCACAAGACGCGTATAATCAGATTCCATCAGATACTGGACTCGTTGGCGACTACATGTACGATCCCCAGCACCATGCGCCACAAATGTATGACAACCTTGCAGGTGGAGTGCCGCCGAATCTACCAGTGAGTTACCAGCTAGAAGCGATGAGTGTCATCGCTTATGATGATTTCTAGTATCCACAGGATTATTTCCATCAGCTCCCGTTCCATGAGATGAATGACACTGGATACCTGTACCAGACGCCATTCGATCCCGTGCTGTCGGCTCCTGTGGCACAGGAGCTCATCAGGGACAATCGCGTAGAACCGCCCTTCCCAGAACCCCAGTCTTACTTGACCACGATATTGCCCCCCGCCCCACCTACGGAGCTCACAAGCCTGATGACGTCAAGTTTACGAAGCAGTCCGCGATACAGCCCGATGGTAGCGTCGGATGTTAGCGGTCCCTCGACGTTAAGTCCATTGAATACAAGCGGTGTGACCGTTCACAGCCACTCCCGAGCAACACCCCTAAACAGGGCGTCTCAGAGCCCAGGCTTCCACGGCCCGGATTCCATGACAGGAACAGGTTCCAGGCAGTCCCCAATCTCCCCATCGCAAAAACGTCCATTGGAATCTTCAGCGGATGATATGCTGGTGTGTAATATTTTTGATTTTTGGTGGGGATATCATTAACAGTATCGTGCAGCACGGACGGAGGGTCACACCGCGCATTACCGGCGCCTCTAACGTCCACTCTTTGCCGTCGTCTGGAGGGACTAGTAGTACAACTACGTCATCGATCTCATCAAGTGTTCCTGGTCGAGGTTCGACAGTCCCCCAAGAGTTGTACAATGTAGGGACCACACACGCTTTTCATTTCACCACCGGAAGTGGAATGCCAGTCGTTTTCAACGTCGCAGAGGGAGCTGGCATCCCTTTGGAACTGTTGCTACATCGGCAGACAACCCACCTCCAGGCACGTGATGACCGGATCTCGGACATGTCTGGGGATACAATCTCTATTCGCATTGAGGTAAAGGATCCGTCTTGTTGAAGTACTCGCCAAGCATTGCTTACGAAAATTTGATGTGATCTATCAGTGGCCTGGATACCCATCTTTTACGAAGCAAATTGCTTCCAAAGACTGGAAGAAAACAAGGTCGCCGAACACACGCGAAAGACTGGCGGTCAAAGTTGCGGGCGCTGTTTACTCTTTCTTCAAGGTCAGCCTGTTAAGAGTATCATGTTTGAAGTTTACTCACCCCTAAACAGGAGCATGCGAAAACTGAATGCGATCCCCCGAATTCGAGATGGCGTATCGGTCCCAATGGAATCCGCATCGAGCATCTCGCTCTCGTCTCACTACACCGCGTGTCACAGGGGAGTTGGCAGCCCAAATTGTGTCTCCTTCGTGACGATGCTTAGCAGCGATATATCCCTTCGTTTGACATGTATGCCGTTTCACCCTGCGGCTATCTTTGATTCTCACAGCTGTCACCAAGCATTTTTTTGTTACTTAGCATCCTGCTTCATATCAGGCATCGAGCATATACCACTAAGCATATCATCGAGCATTACATTTATTTTTTGTTTTCTCACCTTCAATCACATTCAGGCATTGCATTCGGGTGCTTACACACTCGACATCAAGTTTTTATTGCAAATTATGGATCTGGAAGTGGCATTGTTTTTATATATATTTTTAATCTGCATGGCTCTTTGTTGTTCCGTTGGTTTATCCTAGATGGCTACTGATGATGTACATATACAAATCGTAGCTCAAATGACTCATCCCAGTTTTTGTTTTTGTTCGCCATCATGACTCGGGGGAGTTTCAGGAACACCGCGGGGGTAGAAAAATGTGGGAAAAAAAGTATCTCATAGCTCCGATTGGACTCCGATCTGCGATAAGCACTGGTCCCAATATACAAATAGAATATTGAAATATTGAAAGGTGACCCCTTTCAATTTTCCAAGTTCAAGCCTAAAGTTCAGCGTGCGCTCAGCTCTGCAACTTGTACCATAACCCATAGATACTACTTTTTCTCTAAAAACGCCGCTGCATCTATCTCAACATTAGAACACCACATTAACGATGGCTAATAGCGCTCAGACACAACCTGGAGGAGCCCAGCCCGTCGGCTCATGCTTTCCCAAACTCACTTTCATCCTGGACCAAGGAAAACAGTTCGGGCCTCGCGTTGGTAGGCTGTGCCTGACACGACCATCCGATACTCCATCCAACCATCTCATCGACATCCCAACACCTAATTTTCTCATCGGAACATCTCGTGGTGTAATTCCACACTTCTCAAGGGACCATGTCCATTCTGCAAATGGTATCAGCTGGATCAACGTCTCTTTTGAGTCATTGTGAGTTGTCATCTCCCTGTTATCCCCGTATGGTGAATAACGCTTCGGATCTGCGACTTCAAGCCTCGAGCAAACACCCCCAGTACCCACTTATCAAGCGGGATCGCAGCCACTACATGATTTCTTTGGATTCGACAGCTCGAAACACATAGTTTCGCTTTCGCTTCGTGATCCTTTGGATGCTCGAGAGATGCCACCAAATGGAAATTCACATGTTTCAGCTTCATGCATGCGTGGCGTGAGGAAGGTGATTATTCGTTTATGAAGGTAGAGTCTCCTCTATCAAGGCTTTTCATTTTCATTTTTAGGTCACGCCCGCGGACTGGCGATCGTATGTTCTGACGATGCAGCCTGATATCGCATTTGCTCTCAGTGACACGCCTTTTACTGCTGTCCCGCACTCGCAGAAACGCATGACGAAAAGCATCGAGCGCAGTGCGGCTTGGCTCGCAGATCTGTTGCGTCCTGTTGAACACACGATGGATGACTCATCCACAGAGTCAACTCCTACTGCTTTGAATGTCTTCGTGCATATGGCTGGTGGTACTTCGACCTCCGCAAGGAGAGCCTTTTCGCACAGTTTCATGGAGACTCTTCATGGGCTGGAAGCAGACGCCGTGAAACCACTGTTGTGCTTGGATGAAGGAGTAGCTGGATATGCATTTGACCTAGCCGCCCTTCATGTCAGACCAGCTCCTTCGTCGACCCACAACGACAAGGGCGGAGGCATCGAAATCGCAGAGAGCTCTTTGATTCTACAGAACTCGGAATTATTAGCTCAAGCGCCAACGCCTAACGCGGCTCATACACCCACATCGATCTCGTCCAGCATGATCGAACCTATTTCCCTCCTCTCCCTAACCCCCACACTGGATGAGCTTCTCCGTGCATCGTTAGATCCCCTCCCAATCGCAAAGCCACGCCTTGTCACGGATGTCCGATCCCCTCACGAAATCCTGCGTTTGATCAAAGATGTTGGAGTTGATGTATTCGATGCGGGATGGGCTGTAAAAGCAGCTGATATCGGAGTGGCTCTCGATCTTATTTTCCCGGTGCCCTGCAGTCATGACAGTGATCCAGACCATCGCAAACGCGATGTTGGTCACAACCTGTACGATGCGAAGTATGCTTACGACTTCGTCAGGTTGTCAGACGCCTTCCTCGCTGGCTGCGATAGAACATCTTCGTCTAAAACTCCCGTTTGCCCCTGTGCTGCATGCTCTCCAGTTGCCATCACGTCTCCTATCTACCATAGCAAAGTTGACGTTCAGTCGCACCAGGCGCATCTAGACGAGGGCACGAGCCGGGAACAATTTTCACCTCCTTTCACACGAGCCTACCTGCACCACCTCTTACATACCCACGAGATGTCTGCACACACACTCCTTGTCGCACATAACGTCGCCGTCCTTGATGCCCTGCTTACTGGAGTGCGAACGATTCTTTCGGGTCATGTTGATCAACATGAAGTAGCAACCATTTTTGCCCGAGAGGTCACAAGGTTTGAAGAGGTTTACGATGGGGATATGTCGGTGTTCCATACTGCTCGGGAAAACTGGAAGGACGTGAAGTACGCACGAGGTAAAGGAAGATTGGCACGGGAGGCACAGAAAGGCAAGGAAGTTCGATAGGTACATTCTAATGAGGTACAGTAAGTGTTGATGTAATGACGTCTGTTACATACATTCCCGTTATCATAATGCATACATGTTCCTACTTGATGGCAGATAGCAGATGGCCGTTTCTAGGATGACATAATCGTTAGACATGTTCAACCTTGTCGTCCATCTGCATTGATTGTCATCCTGCATGAGCACAAAAGGGTACTTCGCGTTTCCTCCTCCGATATCAGGCACGTCAAGACCATACCCCACATTTATACCTCAGTCCCCCAATACCAAAGAGACATTCGTTGACAAAAGCACACCTGGGAAAGGGGACGAGACGCGTAGCGAGAAACCGCCGCACGATGAAGAACGTATCAATCGACTTCACAAGGAGCGGGAGCTCATAGAGATGAGCGAAATAGAGTGGGTTCGAGGCGGCGGAGTTCTGCGCGACGCACAAGGGCGCCGCGATAAAGCCCGCACTGAACGTATTCGCGCGGAGCTCAAGCTGCAAGAAGAAGAAAAGACAAAAATGGGCAGATGGAGGGATTACGATGAGCGGTGGAAAGCGCTGGCCGCGTCGGATGAAGCTCTCTCATTCGCAGATATCCCATGGCCGCTTCGGACAGCGCCTTCGTCCAGAGATACCGATGCTTTCACGTTACCTGCGATTTCGGAGTTTTTGTTCGAGTCTCTTTCTGTGCGGAGTAATGCTGTTACGAAGAAGAGTAGGATCCGCGGCTCCATATTGCGGTGGCATCCTGACAAGAGCTCGTTGGTCGTTGGCAGGGTTGTGGCTGAGGACGTGGATGCTGTTCGAGAAGGCATTCATGCGGTGTTTCACTGCCTCAAGCGTCTACAGGATGACGAAAGAGATAATAATAATACCGTGTAACAAATTCATGCCCTACTGGAACGAAACCGAGGCTCATCGTAGCACACGTACTTGCATCTCAGCTAGTCTCCCAGTAAGTAGTCATATACCTTGGTAGGAGCCCGAGTCGACAATGACATTTCATAATGAGCTGGCTGTTGCGTACTATTAAATCCCAAGTTGTGTCGTTTCGGACTAAATACTTATCCATATTCAAGAGCATTCGGATCGACTCGGAGCAAGTACTACAGCACCGTGACGGGCCCGGGGTACAGCAAGCTTAGTTCCCTATGATTATGACTCTAGCTGATTATTTCCTCTGCTCAAGCTACTGCAATATACATATATATCAGTAGTACAATCGCACGGTACAGCGGACGGTGCACCATACAGAGATATAACAATAAACATGCACTATCGCAACATAGCGGATCTATACTACTACTAGTACGAGTAGTTGTGGCCACGTTCCAAAGCGCGTCGCTAATCTGGATTGAGGCATGGAGCAGCGGACGAACATCAAGTGACCCCTCGATCGATCACGCTGGTGTTATTTCAGTTATCAAAAGACGACGGAATTGACCAAGATATACATTCAAAAGGCAATATAGAATCTTACTACTCATTCGTTAATCGTCGTACAGCAACCATGGGATGTACCAAGTGCCACGGTTATAATAAAACCAGATGCAGTGCCCCACGTCATGAGTATTTCATCCAAGAGTAACAGTACCGTGGCTTTCTGCAGCCTCTCGTGCCGCTTGCGCCCAATCCTTCTCGCATACACCGACCTCGACTCTCAAAACAGTCTTGTTGAAGTTTATAATAGTCATTCCATGAGGTTGGCGGACGCGGGATTCCCAGAGAGCTGGGATCCGCTCATGAAGAAGAAAGCTGCGTAGGTCGTCTACACGACCTCCAAATATTGTGACCAGGATCGAGGCACTAACAGAACGCTCAGAAGGATGCTTGGAAATGAATGATATAATGTCATACTCCGCGCTACCAAAGATCTTGTGGAAGAAGCTGAGCGAGAACTCCTTGTTTACTGCACGCGCCACTGCACGACGCTTGCCGAGAATGCTAGAGCAATCTTTAGTGGTGATAATATCGTTACCGTCCCTGTCCTTGCCGGTCGCTGCCGCGAGTAACTCCTCAATGAAAGGTACGTGTTTTATCGATTGGTCTGGTTGAAGAGCAGCGTCGAGACCTGAAGACAAATCATTTCACACATCTTACAAGAACAAGCGCAGAAAATCACTCACGTAAGAGAGAGGCGTCGTGTTCAATACCATTGTGCAGGTCGATTTCTTCTAGATCAAAGGTATCCTCGCAAAAGTTTCTTTTAAGCATGCGAGCGAGAAAGTGCAGCACGAAAGAAGAGAAGGTAGGACTGAAGTTGTAGGTTGCCTGAATATGGTTGTTGAGCTCGACAAACGAGACGCCACGGCCGCTGCGTGAGATGATGCCTAGGTTTTAAATACCGTCACACCAATGAGATTCATCACGTAAATTTAGAGAATAACTCACCATGGTTGGCCATCGCATTGAATGCGGGGCACGAGCAGCGGGAGTCGGTCAACTGGGGAGGTATGAATTCTGGCCAGTGCCCTCCATAGCCTGGGTGGCCCTCGGGGGTGACGTCACCTATGGGGTACTTCCTCCTCACGAGGTTGGAGACCGTGAGGAGCACATCCCAAGCCATGATCCCAGCATCGAAGAGACAATGGGACAAGCCAGAGAAGAAGCCCATATTATTCCTGTGCGGATAGGTGTAGTTGGAGACGGAAGCTTGTGCTAAGCTTGAGTAAATATACGAGATACAGGCAATGTTTGGTGTCATTGTATTGACAGTGACAAGGCTTCAAGTTTGCTTTGATCGGAAGGCTCTGTATCACCGCATGCATTACATTTGGAGTAACTGCAGGCTCGGGAGTCGCATTAATATTCTCCAAGAGGAAGGAACTTGAATTCAAGCTGAAGGGAAAGAGTCGTTTCTTCCTTCTATATCCGTGAGCAGGCTATGTAGGCCACCTACCAATAGGCACCATCAAGCTTCTGCCAAGATGCATCCAAAGTCCGGGCTTTGCAATTGCTCCCACTAAGAGAAAACAGGAAATCACATACGAAGAGAATGGTTCGATCGTGTTTGAGAAACTTCATTTCCTGGAAGACGGAGGCACCTGCATAGCTACTACCAGAGCTCGCCAGTTGTCGACAGGATCGTGACTGTCAACAATGAGGATACTAGTCAGGAATAAATTAACATGTGAGTAGCATTTCAGGCTGAAAGGAATAGTAATACCGTTCGCGTAACGAATGCTAAAGGCCTCGGTACCATCCGAATGCAGTGACACCGTTACGAAGCTTGAAGCTTGAAGCTTGAAGCTTGAAGTGTGCTCGTGAACAGACACATAGCTATACAGTGTAGCACAGTATATCCTACAGAGATATGATGTGGGCACTCTGTAATTAAGCTATTTGCAAAACCGAGAACACAGTGGAAACGCAAGTTATGTCAATGAGTGACTAGTGACAAGTTGAAAAGTTGATGCGGCGAGTCGATCGGCTTCCCGAACGCGGAATTATTACGTGTTGCGCGTTGAACGTTGAATATTTTGAAGTAAGGCCAGGCTGGCGTCGGTCGAAGCATATGCACACCTCTCCGAAGACGAATTTGTGTTGTGAAATGAAGCTTGTGATTGCGTACAACTTCAAGGATTCAAATGGATATACTGATGTATAGACGCCCGAAGCTACTACTGCTTAGGATACAACGTTGAGGGATTAGGACACGATGATGGCAGCAAAACAAAATACGTGAAGTGTCTGGCATGCATTTTAAACAGAGTAATCTTGAGCTTGGACACTCCAGGTTTACCTGAAGAGGATTCTGTTCATATACATAGGGAAACAAACATTAAAGCACATGAAGCCAGGTCTGCAATTGTACAGGGAATACCAATTTCTTGCATCGTTCAAAGCTTGCCATAACACATTGTCCCCTCATGGTTCTCCCTATCCTCCCACTCCTCATAATCCTCCCCATCGTGGGCTGAAAGCGCGCTCCAGCCTCGTCGTAATCATTGTCACTGGCTTCCTATATCCCCTGGATGCGGTTATATGCATCATGATACCCTGTTACTCACAATCAGTTCAAGGACACGCGTAAGATAGGAACACATGCACCGTCTGACGGCACAATGCAAAAAGTTAGACTTGGATATTCACCAGGAAAGATAGCATCACATACCGTGCGAGGGTGAAACGTGACTTGGTTGGGTTGAGCCATCGCGGAGAAATTCATTCTGGTGGCATGGACGTCAAAAAATAGCAAACATTTCAATAGATGACATGACACACCCTATGGGAATAGGACATTGCTGAAGCACCGCCAGCATTTAAGTCACAAGCTGCCACATTGACAGGGTAAGACTTTGTCAAAGAATCAGCGTCGTAAGCAGGCGGACACGCACTGCCTGAGAGCGGGACGCAGCCAGAGCACCATCAGTGTCGGGTAAGCAGCCCAAAGACGAGGACACGCACGAACTGAGAGTGGGACGCGGTCAGAGCACCATCAGCGTCGGGTAAGCAGCCCAAAGACGAGAACACGCACGAACTGAGAGCGGGACGCGGGCAGAGCACCATCAGCGTCGGGTAAGCAGCCCAAAAGACGAGATCACGCACGCTCTGAGAGCGGGACGCGGCCAGAGCACCATCAGCGTCGGGTAAGCAGCCCAAAAGACGATGACACGCACGAACTGAGAGCGGGACGCGGCCAGAGCACCATCAGCGTCGGGTAAGCAGCCCAAAAGACGAGGACACGCACTTCCTGAGAGCGGGACGCGGCCAGAACACCATCAGCGTCGAGTAAGCAGCCCAAAAAACGAGGACACGCACTCTCTGAGAGCGGGGCGCGGTCAGAGCACCATCAGAGTCGGGTAAGCAGCCCAAAAAACGAGGACACGCACCAACTGAGAGCGGGACGCAGCCAGAGCACCATCAGCGTCGGGTAAGCAGCCCAAAAGACGATGACACGCACGAACTGAGAGCGGGACGCGGCCAGAGCACCATCAGCATCGGGTAAGCAGCCCAAAGACGAGAACACGCACTCTCTGAGAGCGGGACGCGGGCAGAGCACCATCAGCGTCGGGTAAGCAGCCCAAAAGACGAGGACACGCACCAACTGAGAGCGGGACACGGCCAGAGCACCATCAACGTCGGGTAAGCAGCCCAAAGACGAGAACACGCACGAACTGAGAGCGGGACGCGGCCAGAGTACCATCAGCGTCGGGTAAGCAGCCCAAAAGACGAGGACACGCACCAACTGAGAGCGAGACACGGCCTGATCACCATCAGCGTACAGGTTAGTGTTAGGGTTGTTGCGCTTTCAGTTCAAGGACTGTTGGCGAAGTCTCATAATGACATACCGTTTGCTGGACATGAAAGTTACGAATAAGGTGCATCTCTGCTTCACTTCCAGGGATGTAGTCAATGCAGGATTGTGTTTTCCGCTTTGCACTGTTTCTGCGGGAGATCTGAAATCGTCGTTTGCATACTCGACTTTCGGTTGTTAGGCGCTGTCAGCCCCCAAAAAAGAACACAAATATACTCACCAATTGATCGAGCAACCAGCCTGGCGTTGAAATAAATGCTCCACACCAATGCGATTGACAGCGCCGCAAAAATGACATTGGTATTCAGCTTCAGGCCGTGTCTCTTGTTCAAGGATGACCCTCATGACGATCGTCGTGCCTGCTTCGATTCTTGGCCATCCATGGCTTGTAAGTCGGGTCACTTTCTTGTCGTCGTCAATGCACAAATCGTATTGTTCTTGCTCCATATACCGTCTCTGAATTTGAGCTTGGTTCGAGTTGTGTTTGAATAGAAGCTGCAGCTGCTCATTGAATCGCTGAAGAGAATTGGACTAGTAAGCTCCCTCAAGATGAATGTGATAGCGAGGCTTACCTCAAACGAGTCGCAGACGTCCATCGGTATTGTATGTGAGCGGTCTGTGGCGTCTACAAGTTTGACAAAGCCAAGTGTGACAATCGGCCCCACAGAGGACTGCCCAGTGAAGACCATGCTCGCAATTCCCATCAATATTTCGTGTTGCTTCTCCAAAGTTTTCCGCACTTCGTTGATGTCGTGTTGATTTTGCATTTGAGATGAAAACTAGTAGTAAATCGGGATGGTGAGTGCATGCAAACAATCTTGAGATAATAGAACACAACCAAATAATTCTCCAGATAACGGTCGATTTCCATGGAGCATCCGGCGATAGCTTGAGTGACGGATGCATATTCGAGACGACAATTTTCCAACCTTGTCAGCTGGGCAGACGTTTCTTCCAGGATCCTAAGCACACTCAATACAGGATTACTTCAAGAACATATCAAGAAGGTATATACCCAATTATGGCTTTCCTCCGGTGCTGTTCAAAGGGATCCTGGGGGGTCGGGGCGTTGTACAGATATAAGCTTAGTTGTTGAAGTCGTGAGGTCAGGCGATCTAAGTCCGCCCTATTCTGAGTACGTCTCTGTGATGGTCTTTGAATCAAGAAACGTCCTAGTAATAAAATAAGCTCTCACATCTATGACTTGAAGGATTGTCAACAATCCACTAATAGCAGCTTGGATCGGAGAACCGACAACTGGAATTGCACATGCAACGCCCTGGGCGAAAGGACCAACTGTCTGAACGACGTCAGAAATTGTGCGGGCAACGGAATTGCCATGGGAGGGTGTCACGGTGGAGGAGGAAATGTTGATGGAGAATCCGAGGCTTGGATCCCCCGCCGGAGAACCAGGGTGCACTACTACCAGTAGTGATGAATTCGAATGGAGAGTGGATGAAGACACGGGAAACTCACTGGGAATATCTGCAGAAATGGAGTCATGGCCTTCATGGTAAGTTGTCGAGCTGCACTGTGTGCGTCTGTTTTTTGTGGGGCGCTTCGACCGAACTGCGCATACTTTGCTGAGATGATAGTTGGTAAGAGGTCAAGGGAATATAAGACGTAGGGGATCGAAGGTGTCCTTAAGAGCTGTGTAGAACACAGCCAAATCGTGCATGTAGAAACCTCGTGTATGCTGTATACTTATGTACATAGAGTTCTGGAATGACTTGCTGCGAGCACGCGTGGATCAGATATCAGACCCTTGAGCTTGAAACATTGAAATATTGTAGCTCCAACGATCGCGAACCACCAGTAATAGTGGCGGTGAACTTGAACACTATGGGTAAATTCGTCACGGCTCCACTTGGTTGCCGGTCCGACGACCTCATTTGGAATGAATCGAGTGCGCCTACGACGTTCTCCTCGTACACCCAAGCTTCTGGTTCTTACATAAATGCGTCTCGCCCCTACCCTTGTCACTTGTCACTCGTGATTTCAGATCGGGTTTGCAGACGACAGTCGCACGTGGGAGGTCTGTTGTGCCGTCATCTGTCTAGGGCAAGCTCTTTGGGTCTCCCGCGAGCGTTTACCCTATGTGTAATCAATATCGTGCCGGTTCGTACCTAATCTCATATTGATTGTGGACAACTTTGCAACGTTCAACATGCTCACTGAGATCTGAGATCGCGTGTGAGGGTATTTTCTCAAAACAGTAATTCTCGTTGTTCTCTGGGGTCAAACAGTAATCATCCCCTCTGCCTGTCCTCAGATGAATACAACTTATCAGCGCTTCAGATGGGACTCATGTATGAAGTGAGCTGCTGCGGAATTTTTACTACTCAGTCTAAAGTTGTCTCTTTCACTCGCTAATCTCCCGTTTGTATCGTTCGTCCTGTGTTCGGCCATCCTTCTGACTAGACAAAGTAGTTATTTTGTCTAGACCTACTCGTTGTTTCTAAATCTAAATAAAACCTCAAATTTGATCCTGCTCGACACCACAGATATTATGCACCACTGCCGGTTGATACGTTTACGCGTTCGTTCCTGCACAACAATTGTACTTGTACCGAACGCAACGGACAAGGTGTACAAACATCTACATGAGTGAAGGAAGATCGGGGTGGTACAATTGAGACGTTAATTACAGGCAAGCAAGCGGTTGCAAACATACCTCGTGCAGAAGTTCAGAATGTCAGCGGAAAATCTGATCACCGAACTCAAAGTGCCAGGTTTTACCAACACCGCGAAGATCCCCAATGGATCATCCAGTCAGCGTTGACGTCAAATACAAGACACATTCCGAGGACCTCCCATGCAGTGCTGAGTGTCCAAGTTTCGGTAACAATCTGTGTCGCTGATAAACCGATAGGTCCCGAAGAGGACAAGCACCTCCCTGATGAGCCTGATCATCCACCCATAATTCTTACCACTCGAAATGTCACCACTTGATCCCGTCGCTCTGTAGCAATTCAGTAAGTTCGACGGGAATTGGCAGGCATCGGTGCAGATTACACGCACATCTGTCATCGTGACTCCCCGAAGACTCGCTTCACGCAATCAACCAGAAGCAACGAGAACACAGTATGTGAGGAAACATACATGACATAATGTTGCTGTTCATGAGAGATGGTTTGTTAGCTGAGTGCGGACTCGGAATCCACACAAACATACAGGAAGACTCTAATGCGTCGAAGCTCGATACAGCTTTTTAACACAAATAAGTTATGTAGAGAACTTACTTGGGATCGGAGGCGATGGTGGTGTGAGAGATTAACATGATAATATCCATGAGATGGTCGGTCAATGCGCCGAGTGAGCTGCACCCACCGATGAGGTCCTTGATTGGGCACCCGTTGAGTATTCACCTGTTATACCTGCCTTGCGAGCCATGTTCAGAATTTGCAATTGTTCGGCTCAAGCTCGACAGCTTATTCAACCGCGAAGATCGAGCATGAAGGGGGGCGTTTTGTCTTTGAGGAATTTGCCTGAAAGCTGGAGGCACTTGCGTTTAAATTCAAGGGGCCAACTGCGGAGCTCGTCAGTCGTTGACAGGTTTGTGACTGAGGATGTGTTTGAGTCTTCAAGCTATTCACGCAATCTCAAGCGTCTGCACAATCTCTTCGAACACGAGGAACGTGCACATTTACTAGTCTCAGATCAGACGCAATGCAACGGCTGATCTCTGTTGTCAATTGTGAGTGAAGCAGCCAAGAACATTAATGTATATTCAAAGGTGATGAACTCATCATATTCATTGTTAAGGGTACTAGGTGTCGCGATCAAATAAGTGAGAGCAGATAAGGTCGGTAATGTTAGACGAGTTCCCAACGTCACGTTCAAGTATGTGGCTTCGGGGAGGATTTTCGAACAGAAGCCTCAAGACATTCTACAGCCTCCCGTGCGGCCTCTGCCCAATCCTGCTCGCACACACCAAGCTCAATCCCTAGTATGGTCTTGTTTAATTGCATCAGAGTTATTCCATGATGTTGGCGGATGTGCGACTCCCAGCCCTCTGGGAGTCGTTCTTCATGGAGGAAGCTATGGAGGTCGTCTACACGGCCTCCAAAGACAGTGACTAGGGTCGCGGCACTAACGGAACGTTCAAAAGTGCGCTTCAATATGAATGATGCAACAACGTACTTCGTGCTCCCGAAGATCTTGTGGAAAAAGCTGAGAGAGAACTCCTTGTTTACTGCGCGTGCAACTGCACGCCGCTTGCCGAGTATCCTGGAGAGATCTTTGGTAGTGATGACAGTGTTATCTTCTTTGTCCCTGCCGGTAGCCGCCGCAAGTAATTCTTCAATGAAAGGTACATGCTTTATTGATTGCGCCTGTTCGAGAGCAGAATCGAGGCCTAAAGACGGATCATTGAGACATACACAGACAAGCATATCAAATCACTCACGCACGAGGGATCCGTCGTGTTCAATACCATTATGTAGGTCAAGTTCTTCCAAATCAAATAAGTCCTCGCTGTAGTTTTTCTTGAGCATACGAGCGGCAAAGCGCGGCACAAATGAGCAGAAGGTAGGACTGAAGTTGTATGTCGCCCGGATATGATGGCCAACCTCGACAAACGAGATGTCGCGGCCACTGCGTGGGATGATACCTGGGTTTTAATATTGTCAACACCAATACTACCACCTAGGCTTAAGCACCGAGACTGGCAGGATCACTCACCATGGTTGGCCATCGCATTGAGTGCAGGGCAAGAGCAGCGGGAGTCGGTCTCCTTGGGAGGCCTATACTCGGGCCAGTACTTCCCATAGCCTGGGTGGCCCTGGGGGGTGACATGCCCAATGCGATGCTTCCTCCTCACAAGATTGGAGAGCGTAAGGAGTATATCCCAAAATAAGATCCCGACATCGAGGGAAAGACGGGACACGATGGAGAAGGGGCCCATTATAGCTATGTCGAAGGTGTTAAGTCGGGGATAGGAAGAGAGATGGATAGGTACGGTTCAAAGGAGCTTAAGTATTCAAGGGATGCGAATAACGTCAGGGATAGTGTCATAGGACTGACGGAAAAGGTTATGTATCTCGGTAACGCTTGGCCTGTGGAATCCCATGTCCCCCAAGTATAGGCCGAGACTCGTGTAGGAGGGCTCAACATTAGTGGCGGACAAAAGGAGATTTATCGTATGGTTAAGCCAGACCATAGAGGAACTCAAAGAAAGAGTTGTCTAACAGACATCGCTTTCAAGTCCGAATGTGGCTTAGGCTTCATCGAGCTTCTCCGGTCCAACGTTTGGATGTCATAGTTCGTGGCGGTTCCGAAGAGGATGAAATTTGTAATTTTGGGCGTTTGATAGCTTGAATATTGACGCAGCCTTCCGACTCGGAGCGCCTGTTTGTCCAATCCCGAAAACCACAGGGGTCCCCAGCATGTTTTAGGAACCTGGAAACACCTGAGTTCGAATGACAGTGACAGGTGGTCTTCTCACCAAGCCAAGTAGTCCGGTACTGATACCGTTGGACAATAGCTGTCACAGTAAGTCCTTTTTTGTCGAAATCAAATTTAAGTTGACGTTGAGCGTCTCGAGTGAGTCCGGACTCGACGAGTAACTGATGCGATGTCATCAACTAGCGACAAGGTCAATTCTATAAAGGATACGTTCGGGAGTTTCACCCGTAGAATTCGATCGAAGGAAATTCAAGGAATCAAATTTTGAATTCAAATTCGAGTCACGTGATGTCGGTGCTTAATCTAGACGTTCTCTTGGTTCCTTTCGATAGCGAACATGACAGTAGCAGCAAGATGCACGCTAGGGCTTGCTTCCACTTCATACAAGCTCCCTTTCATGACTTCAGCAATGAGATATAAAGGGCACCGTAATGCCCGCTGTTTCTCATCCACGTGTCGACGAGCAGCCCACTTGCGCGATCACTATGCAACCCTTGGAGTCTCAATCACAGCGACGAAGGCTCAAATAAAGGCATGAGTCATTCTCTTGAATTCTTATATGTCCCTCACAAACTCATGATAGACACATTTCTACCAAGTGAGTCGTCCTTATTGGTAGCAAAGGATGCCTACTGATGAAGCTCGCCAACTCTTAGCTTAGCAAGAAATATCATCCCGATGTCAGTCAGGACAGTACGGCACGAGGAAAATTTCACGCAGTGAGTGAAGCTTACGCAGTGCTCGGGGATGATCGGAAACGGTACGTCTCAAAGTGCCCACCTGATGTACTGATCTGATAACTCGATGGCAGGCGAGAGTACGATCGTAGTATCCGCCACGCATCACCGTCACAACCATCCTCACACCACCCGCAAGCTACTACAACACGTCCCTCCAATCGATCAGGGTCGCGCAATGCATGGCAGAATAATGCACGTCAGCATCAGCACCGTGACCCCAAGTCCAGCCATGCGCATGACCCAAACGCAGCTCATGACCACCCATGGGAGCATGCTCGAGCAGGCAAATATACCTACTATCAACCTCCCCCCGGCGCCCATTCGCGCACGTCCTATACGTGGTCGCACACAAATCCATTTTCCAGCCCACACGTCCAACGAGCAACCGGTCGCATGTCTGCATATCCTTCATCAGGAACGGGCCCGTCTGATGGTAGCAATGGAAATATGGCTAAAGAAACACCACGACCGAAAAGAACGCAAACGGACGAGGACACAGTTGCAGCGGAGAGTGTTATAGGGCGTGTGTTTGCGGTGTCTGGACTTTTAACTTTCATGTTAGTGATAGCCCAGTTTGCGGGTGCGCCGTGGGGCAGTGCGCATGCATGAATCAATCAAATTTGCGATCAGTTTGTCGAAACGCATAGAAACTTAGTTGGAAGCCTAATACTACAACAGTACTTTCCTGATACATACATTGACTGTCTGTCTACGCCACGTCCCTCCCGTAGGTATCTACCATCCATCAGCACAGGTATTAGCAGATTATGATGTAGGGTCTTCTATACATCCCTGTGATGCACTACTGTCACTCTCGTTGTTCTCTTGCAGTGCTAGTGCCCTGGTACACCCAATTCTTGACCCGATCCACATATATTACCGCGAATGCCGCAGAGACTGCCACAACGATTACTTTCAGTTGGAATTCGCTTAACCGAACTTCACCGTCGGTCTCATTTTCTTCTGGTCCGTCATGAGAAGGCATGGCTTTCTGGGGAGAGGACGAAGCTGCCTGAGCTTGCAACTTCGCCTTCTCCCTTTCCTTCAACTCCCTATCTCGCGTGAGCTTGTTCATTGCCGACCAGTATCCAGCAGGCGGACGATAAAACATCGATGAGCCTGACTTGACTGGGTCCCAGAAAGTGGGATCAACCGGCCGGGGTTCAGACGAGGCAAGTTCCCCCGCCCGTTGATGTCGGAGTCCCGTTATAAGAGCAGAATGCAGCTGCTCGTGTTGATCGTATTTCCGTCTACGATGATGTTCAGAACCAGTATACTATAGTTGGTCAAGTGAAACATAAACAAGCGCACCGAGTCTTTTGCTTTCCAAGCACAGCATAAGCCTCGGTAACCTTTCTGAAAATTTCGGGGGAAGTTGGATCTTGAGAGACGTCAGGATGGTGTTGCCTGCTCAGCTACACGCGCGTCACCTCAACGGTATGCATCGACTATGACCAAACCACACCTCGTAGTACCTTTTCTGCGGTGCCGTATCAGCCACTAGAATGAACCTCGGACTAAGATGGAAAACTGACTTTAATTTGGTCCTGCGAAGCATCTCTCCATAACCCAAGTGCGGTATAGTGGACCCAACGATTCGTCTTGCCTTTTGAACTTTGAGCGGGCTGAGGTGATACGGGGTCTCTATGCGAATGTATCCACGATGAAAAACCAAGTGCGAGACTGCGAATCCATGACGGTGTGCCATCATCGTGTTTTGGACTTTCGGTAGCATAGTAGTGTTTGGGATGCAGTAGTACGATGTTCTTGTTCCGTGAAGACCATGATGAGAGATTGAGAAACGGAAGAGAGGATGGAGACCCTCTGGATCTCATCGATTGATGGCTGCAGTTGAACTCGTTGACGCTCAAGTTGGATGGGACCGGTCATTTAACGAGATTATCCATTACTTTGTATGCTCATGCGCTCATGGTTGAATATTCCGGCTATCTTCATTCTACCACCGCATATATATAGGACATGTCCTACTAGTTCTTATACGATGGGATCTATAGATATTATTCATTCTACTAGTAGCTAGTGACACAGTACGTGCTAGGCGACGGCCAGGTCATTACATAAGCTGAATTCTGATTTGATTCCGGCTGTCTCCGCCCGTTGCGACTCTTGCAAGCTTGCTGTCCCGTCTTTTGGTTCGCCCGTCTCAACGTCCCACAACCTCACCATTACTGTCCCATCATCCCTTCCACTTCTGCTGTTTGGAGACGATGCTATAGTGGACATTCTGGCTTTATCCCCATCTTGCCAGTAACCTCAGACGAACATGTGATGATGCGTGGTCCAACAGGCAGGTGCACGACACCGTTCACCTTGCCAGCATGAACTCGCATCGTCTAGTTTTTGTGGTTGCTGCGACCTCTTCTATCTTAATAGACATTGTCGGCGGTCGGGGCAACAAGTCCAACAACAGTGGACTATGTATGCGCGAGAAGTCTGGCGAGAACTTCGCATTGGAACGGGTTATCTGGCGATTGCTGGTGAGTCGACGACCCTGCCTCGTGACATTATTATCAACGTGAGTGTGCTAACGAGATAACTTGCTTACAAGAATCTAGTCCTTACTCATAGGACAACCGCAGGACTACGTGTGCCGACATTCTTGGAGATTTGTAGGAGATCCTTGCCAGGATCCTCTAGTCAACCAATGCTCAACATCGCCTGGTAGATCGGCCCGAAGTATTACTCATGAAAGCCACCGACTTCAACGCGAATTCACGGAGATACACTCCAATCACCGACGGGTGGTCGATGGTACGTCCTGTTGACATCCCGTTGTTTATAATTATCTAAATAATCTTCGATTAGTGATCTGTGCCGGTCTTCTTTCGGAAAGCTCTCGCAGACTACTCGATCTCCGCATGTTTCCCGTTCGTCGGCGCGCACGTTTGAGCGAGAGCAGTTGGAGGCACTGGAAAAGCATCTTGTTGCGTGGAAGGCGGGCCTAGCGAGTGTGCTGGAGGTTGTTATTAGTGCACAAAAGCGCGGTAACGGTTCGACTGTGGGTGAAGTCGTGCAGCAGGTCACCCAGACAGGTGGCAGCGTTCAGATTGACGCCGCGTAGCCTACATCAGAGTTCCTCTGGTCAGCAAATCAAGGTTATGGTTATTGACTGCAATTCGTGGGCAAGCCGGTGAAGTTAATTGTCGTTCATCTGAACATGACTTCGGCTTTGATGTCGAACGTTCAAAACTCTGCCTACTAAGACGAGAAGACACTATCAACGCCCGGGGACGTTGATTATAGCAATATTGCGCAGCCAACATCAAGCGACTCCTGTATGTATATATCCCTGTTCCCATCAGTCATTCAATCACTTGTCACTACTGCTTGCTTGAGAGTGCTGCTACGCGCTATGCACAGCGTACAGATTCGCTATGTGTGTGTACTCGCTTGAACGAATATCATATATTCCACTCACTGACAAGACGTATATAACAGACTAATGTGCATCGAACTGCCTCAAGATTTGCACCGGACCAAGGTAAGTACTTGATCTGATGGTAACGCGGCCATTGACATGCGGTGTCAGCAAGGTGCCTGCAACTACAGTATGCAAAACAGACCCAAATAACAGGTCTCTTTATCACCTTCCACCCGTATCTCTCCCTTCCCTCGATTGCTCACTTTGCGCAGTGTTTCTCTGTCCAGTCCGTTTGCACAGTCCAGTATCCTATATCGATCAAGGTCATGCCACATGAAGAGGCCGAGTCGAGCACATCAATGAGACGGGGAGAAGTGCCATCGCACTCATCGATATATCGGACGAGCGCGAAATATTTACCACCATATGGTGCACAGCACCGCCAGGATGCACTTTGGGAAGGTGAGCAGCCACCTGGTGATACCCACCAGCTGACTCGATTAGAAGCAGGCGGGAATGAAGCGCTTCCTCCGATGTGGCAACAGTATAAGACGACCTCGGATAGTGCAACAGAATATGAAGATAACCTGCTCACGATAGTCTCGTGGAACCGACCTTTACCAGGGGTGCGACTAGGTGAGGGATGAAATTGCGACAAGGAACGACGAACTCACCATCGAACATAGATGATCCTGGAGATCTCGTTGTGCCTGGATGGGAATGGCACATCTCACCACTCGGTCGGTCCTACTTCGTCGACCACAATACTCGGACCACGTCGTGGAAGAAACCAAAACCAGAACGTCCGACAGGAAGCTTGATGCCGGAATGCGTCATCAATGGTCACTCCAAATGCATATGGAGCCTTGCCTACTTGGGTACCAGTGGCAATATAATGAGCACGTCTGATGATAGTTCGATTCGTCAGTGGAAAAGAGACGGAGAACTGATGGGAAAACCTTTGAATAGCGATGGGGGAGAAATAGGTTCGATGGTAGTATCTCCGGACGAAACGATGGTTGTTTGTGGAAGTGTAGATGGCAGACTGCGGCTGTGGAATATAGAGGAGGGCAGCATGATCGGCGACCCGTGGGAGGGGCATAATGCTGCAGTAGTGTGCCTCGATTGGCCTCCCAATTCCCTGGAGATAGCAAGTGGATCACAAGACAGCACCATACGACGCTGGAATCCAAATACTGGTCGACAAATAGCACCACCCATAGAAACCAGCCACGGATGGGTCAGAGCCGTCAAATACGCTCCACAAGGCGACAAATTCATGAGCGGTGGGAACGGTCCGATCTGCATATGGTCAAAGGACTCCGGCAAGCTGCTCATCAAGATCAAGGGGCATGAAGGCTGGGTGTCGTCATTGTGTTGGTCCCAGGACGGCGCATATATCTTCTCTGCGTCGGGTGATACCACCATCCGAAAATGGCGGGCGATTGATGGGCAGGAACTCATCGTTCTTCGGGGTCACACCAACTCTGTCAAATCCCTCTGTCTTACTCCCAATGAACGCTATATTGTTAGCGCATCATATGACTTATCCATTCGCATCTGGGATCTCAAGACCAATCAGGCAGTCGGAGATCCACTCTTCCATGATGACAGAGTCTTTGCTGCTGCCATGTCTCGCGATGGAAAATACATTGCCAGTGCTGGACCAGATAAAAAAATCTATGTGTGGAACCTGGAGGCGGCGCTCAAAAACGTTGTGGTGTGTATGCGCTTTGTTGTCCAATTTCCCTTTTCAACGGTTCTGATCATCTAGGGCGCAGATGATGGGAATGCAAAGCTCAAGGCAAGTTTTCTCTGCTTCTCTTTCACACTGCATCTCACTTTTTATCAGGGACGCCCAACCCAACCGAGAGTTGTGCGCCCACCAATCGTAAGGAACCTCATCTTTTCTCGTATGTTTCGCTAGATTCTTAATGTCTATCTGCACTTCAAACAATAGGCAAATGCCAAAGGCTCGGCGAAATACGTTAGTAGAATTTTTCGTTCTTCAGCTCTTGCTAATCCGACTTTGATACAGGGCAATGATTTCTTCGTCAATGATTCAGATCGCGCAGCTCCGCCTGCGAGTTCATCTTTCCTTCATTGGCGTAGTTTGATTGGTTCCCTCCGGTTCAGTACCCAACCTACAGATGCGCCCCCACCGTCATCTCGCAAGTCCTGGAATTGGAATTTCAACTTATTTTCCATAGGAAATTCCAGCCATACCGTTGAAGTAGCTCCTGGCCGCAAAAAAGATGTGTGTGGCTTGCAATCATGATCTGTATTCTTTGATATCATTGAAAACACGATTGTAGAGATACGCCATTGCCCCTCCCAGCAAGGCAGAAGTGGAGGCAGCTATGCGACGTGCGAACGGAAACCAAACCAACAGTTCAATGCAAACTGGTCAACCTGCAGCGGGGGCACAACCATCTCAAGCACTGGCAGGGGCACAAGGGTCTCAAGCACGACCAACAGAAACACACCAGTCAACCGGTGGGAGGGGAGAAGTTTCCTATGAAGTTACCTGCTGCGGGTTTTACTTCGGTCGTCGTTCCACTTCGCGTCAGTCATGAAATCATCTAGAAATCATGTTACTCGAACGTTTCTCTTCCCTTTCATCTGTGTTTACGCATCAGACATTTTAGATATAGCTCGTCCCGTCTCATGTACATGCGCAACGACATTGATATATTTCTCTTAATAGGGAACGCATGATGGAAGCAAGCACGAGGTTGTGCCAGTGTCTGTATAGCTCCCGCGTAGAATATCCGAAAGCCACAGGAGAATTCACGGAGATACACTCCAATCACTGATGGGTGGTCGATGGTACGTCCTCTTCACATCTTGTCGTTTATAACGATCTAAATAATCTTCGAATAGTGATTTGTATCGGTCTTCTTTCAGGAAAGTTCTCGCAGACCACTCAATCTCTACACGTTTACCGCTTGTCAGCGGGCATGTTTGAGCGAGAGCAATTGGGGGCACTGGAACCCGTCTTTTTACGTGGAAAGCGGGCCTAGCGAGCGTGCTGGAGGTTGTTGTTAGTGCACAAAAGCGCGGCAACGGTTCGGGTGTGGGTGAAGTCGTGCAGCAGGTCATGCAGGCAGGTGAGAGCGTTCAGGTTGATGCCGCGTAGCCAACATCAGAGTTCCTCTGGTCAGTGAACCAAGGTCACGGTTGTTGACTGCAATTTGCGGGAAAGCTGGTGAAGCTCGTTGTTATCCATCTGAACATGACTTCGGTTTTGATGTCGAACGTTCACAACTCTCTGCTTATTAAGACGAGAAGACTGGTTTGAACACTATCAACGCCCGGGGACGTTGATCATAGCAATATTGCGCAGGCAACATCAAGAGACTCCTGTGTATGTACATATCCCTGATCCCGTCAGTCATGCAACCACTTGTCACTACTGGTGGCGCTTTTCTTGGTAGTGCTGCTACGCGTATGCACAACGTACAGATTCGATGTACCCGCTCAAACGAATTCTACTCGCTGACAAGACGTATATAACAGACCAATGTGCATCGAATTGCCTCAAGATTTGCACCGGACCAACGTAAGTAATTGATCCGATGGTAACACAGCCATTGACATGCGGTGTCAGCAAGGCGCCTGCAACTACAACATGCAAGACTGACCATTACCTTCAATCTGTATCTCTCCCACCCCTCGATTACCGACTTTGCGCAGTGTTTCACTGTCCAGTCTGTCTGTACAACGTGACATCCTTTATCGATCAAGGTCATGCCACACGAGGAGGCCGAGTCGAGCACGTCAGCGAGACAGGGAGAAGTGCCATTGCACTCACCGAAATATTGGACGAGCGCGAGATATTTACCACCATATGGTGCCCAGCACCGCCAGGACGCACTTTGGGAAGGTGAGCAACTACCTTGTGATACCTACCAGCTTATTCAACTAAAATTAGGCGGGAATGAAGCGCTTCCTCCTATGTGGCATCAGTATAAGACGTCGGATGGTGACACACTATATCAAAATGACACGCTCGTAATAGTCTCGTGGAACCAACCTTTACCAGGGGTGCGACTAGGTGAGGGATGAAATTGCGACAAGGAGCGACGAACTCACCATTGAACATAGATTATCCTGGAGATCTCGCTGTCCCCGGATGCGAATGGCACATCTCACCACTTGGTCGGTCCTACTTCGTCGACCACAATACTCAGACCACGTCGTGGAAGAAACCAGAACCAGAACGTCCGGCAGGAAGCTTGATGCCGGAGTGTGTCATTGAGGGTCACTCCAAATGCATATGGAGCCTTGCCTACTTGGGTACCAGTGGCAATCTAATGAGCACTTCTGAGGATAGTTCGATTCGTCAGTGGAAAAGAGATGGAGAACTGGTGGGAAAACCTTTGAATAGCGATGGAGGAGGGATAAGTTCGTTGGTAGTATCCCCAGATGAAACAATGGTCATTTGTGGAAACGCAGATGGCAGACTGCAGCTGTGGAATATAGAGGAGGGCAGCATGATTGGCGACCCGTGGGAGGGGCATGATGATATAGTGAGGTGCCTCGATTGGTCTCGCAATTCCCTGGAGATAGCAAGTGGATCGCAAGACGGCACGATACAACGCTGGAACCCGGATACTGGTCAACAAATAGCACCACCCATAGAGACCAGTCACGGATGGGTCAGAGCCGTCAAATACTCTCCACAAGGCAACAAGTTCATGAGCGGTGGGAACGGTCCGATCTGTGTATGGTCAGAGGACGGGAAGGTGCTTGTCGAAATCAAGGGACATGAAGGTATGGTGACGTCATTGTGTTGGTCGTTGGACGGCGCACACATATTCTCCGGCTCGGGTGATCATACGATCCGAAAATGGCGGGCGATTGATGGACAGGAACTCGTCGTTTTTCGGGGTCACGCCCACTACGTCAGATCCCTCTGTCTTACTCCCAATGAACGCTATATTGTTAGCGCATCATATGACTACTCCATTCGTATCTGGGATCTCAAGACCAATCAAGCAGTTGGAGATCCACTCTTGCATGATGACCGACTCTTGGCTGTTGTCATGTCCCGCGATGGAAAATACATTGCCAGTGCTGGACTAGACAAAAAAATCTATGTATGGAACCTGGAGGCGGCGCTCAAAAACGTTGTGGTGCGTATGTGCTTTGTTGTCCAGTTTTACTTTCTAACGGTTTTTGGCTATCTAGGCAGATGATGGGAATGCAAAGCTCAAGGCAAGTCTTCTCTGCTTCTCTTTCACGCTACATCTAACCTTTTATCAGGGACGTCCAACCCAACCGAGAGTCGTGCGGCAACCAATCGTAAGGAACCTCATCTTTTCTCGTATGTTCCGCTAGATTCTTAATGTCCATCTCCACTTCAAACAATAGGCCATTAACAAAGGCTCGGTGAAATACGTTAGTAGAATCTTTCGTTCTTCAGCTCTTGTTAATCCGACTCTGATACAGGGCAATGATTTCTTCGGCAACGATGCAAATCGCGCAGCTCCGCCTGCAAGTCCATCTTTCCTTCATTGGCGCAGTTTATTTGGTTCCCTCCGGTTCAGCACCCAACCTGCAGATGTGCCCCCACCATCACCTCGCAAGTCCCGGAATTGGAATTTCAACTTATTTTCCGTAGGAAATTTCAGTCACACCGTTGAAGTAGCTCCTGGCCGCAAAAAAGATGTGAGTGTGGCTCGGAATCATGATCTGCATTCTCTGATATAATTAAAAACACGATTGTAGAGATACGCCATTGCCCCTCCCAGCAAGGCAGAAGTGGAGGCAGCTATGCGACGTGCGAACGGAAACCAAACCAACAGTTCAATGCAAACTGGTCAACCTGCAGCGGGGGCACAACCATCTCAAGCACTAGCAGGGGCACAAGGGTCTCAAGCACGACCAACAGAAACACACCAGTCAACCGGTGGGAAGGGAGATGTTTCCTACGAAGTGACCTGCTGCGGATTTTACTTTGGTCGTCGTTCCACTTCGCATCAGTCATGAAATCGTTTAGAAACTCTGGTACTCGAACGATTCTCTTCCCTAGACCTTTCATCTGTGTTTACACATCGAGCATCGTAGATTCCGTCCCATGTACATGCGCAACAACATTGATATATTTTTTCTCTTGATAAGGGATGCGTGATTGCAGCAAGCCTGAGGTTGGCTGTGTAGCTCCCGTGGAGAATATCCGAAAGGCACAGGAGATCAAATACAAACAGTGTGCGAAAGGATACTAATACCGTAGTTTGCACCGGCGCCATTGAATTTCGCTGGTCTATTGGGATATGATGGCGAAGAGCTGCAATGTTGACAGAAAAAGGCACAGCAGAGGGCTCGGGCCTGTACTCATCATTGGAGGCTGGCCGAGAACCAGTAGCATGTGCTAGTGGATGGGCACGAAATGGCGATGTCTGAGTCCAGCATTCGAAAAGCGAATTCGGAAGCGTCAAGCCTGCTGCCAGTGAGCGTGCAAAGCTCAGTGCCGAAGTCGATACCTTAGATATATCCCCTTTGTACAAGTATCTATCAGTAATTCACCCCCAACGTTAAGGAGTTCTCCGCTGTTGCTAGTTGGTCGCCATTTCGGACTCGTAATCCACCAAAGTGACTCTTGACAGATGACATATTTTCGCCTAGCAGTAGAAAAGTCCGTCACCTATAAGCTCTGCCATCGGTTGAAACTTATAAAGTACGAAATACACTTACTGGGATATGCAGGCGAGGACTTGGTTGGCAACTTGAAGACGGGCACGACACCCCATCTACCGTCCGCAAACACAAATTCCTGCGCAAATCCGATACTTGGATCGAAGTCGAACCTACACCCACACCCACGCCCTCTCTGGTCTATCTTCATGCACAAACCTGAGGGTTCAAGTACTCCTTGGCAAACTCTTCGTTCACCTGCTCCTCTTTTCCAAATGTCCCGATAGGCAGGTACTGAGCGAAAAAAAGTATGTTGCCTAACAAGAAATTACTGTTAGTGGCGTGCCATTCAGTCTATGGTGTATCGCCCAGTTCAGCTGCTGTGGTTAGACTGGGATGAGAAATCCGAACCAACGATGACAATGATGAAGGAACATTATGGAAGGCGCATGGAAAGGTTACACTCTTCGTAGCATGCAGCGTCCGCATCCACGTCAGATCACGCCCCACCTTTTCCTTCCTCGCGCGCTGCCTTCATTTGTTCAAATGATTCCAATCTTCGCCAACACCTACGTCGGCTGCTGTGAGCCAAGGAAATCTGATTTCGAGAGAGTAGAGGGCGGGCAAGGGCTTTGGTGGAAAACGGGGCGTCGGCATTCTCCATAACCGTAAGTGTTCCTCGGCGCAGCGAGAAACACAGCCTATTCCTTTCGCGCAGCTTTGGTCACTGTCTGAAGCCGGTGGTCAATTTTCGCTTAGTACAACCTCCCTTGAACTCACTAGCTCCAGGAGCACCACTCTCTTCAGATACCTACGTTGTGAGATTGAGTGCGACCTATATCAGTGTCGACTCACTGTAGAGACCGTACAAGATGCTCGGGATGGGGCGGTCGAGTAGAAGGTTGACTTTTCATTCCAGGCATGATAATTGAATGCTCTGGCGCCGGCTCATCTGAGACAAGTTGGATCGCTGTTTGTTTCAAGGCCAAATTGTAAATGTCCTTGGTCAACAATGGCGCTGTGAAACGACTATACTGCGCACGAGCTCACGCGCTGGCGGCTGAAGGCAAGCAATGGCGTGACCACAGGTTTTTTCGAAATGAAGGAATGGTGGTCACATCATCATTCATGATTTTGACAAGCGAACAATGATCTGCTTACTAAGACGGGAGTTTGGGCACAACAGAAGCAGAACCACCGTGCGGTCCACCATATGGTCTTTGCAATTGCGACTCGGAAGTGGCACCGCATTAATACTGAAATAAGCTTTTCAGAGAAGCTACGTTCGCGCTCACATGTAGATGGAACGTGCATACATGATACCAATCACATAATCAATCCCTCTCCCATGGCCCATCAGTGTCTGAACCGTGACTTGCACACTCAGCACCAGACCAGTGTGCCCTTTCTACACATAGTACGCCTCCGTCCCTCCTCCTATGCTCTTTCTTCAGGTTCTACACGAGAACACGGCCTCGGGCAAATCGGCTTCGCTTCATGGAACCTAATGGTTCGATGAGAACGTGACACTGGTGGGGATGGGCTGCCTGGCTTGTGGTGTCATGACTCATGACAAGATGGTTCTGAACCAGAGTCCGGATACTAGCTGTATGAACGTCCAGCTCGGGGATGTTGATCACAGAAAACATCAAGCAATCCTTGTACATGTCCCTGTTCCCATCAGTTATATAATTACCCATCAGTCCTGACGGTGCTTTGCTCGGGAGCTGCTACGCGCTATGCACAGCGTACGTACAGATTCGATATGTGTACGCACCTGCTCAAACAAATATCATATTATTCCACTCGCTGACGAAATGTACATAACAGATCAATGTACATCAAACTGTCTCAAAATTTGGACCGGACCGAGATCAGTACTTGATCCGATGGTGACACAGCCATGCGATGCCTGCAACTACAGCATGCACGACTGACCCAAATAGCGGTCTCTTCACTACCTTCAACCTGTATCTCTCCCTCCCCTCGATTACTGACTTTGCGCAGTGTTTCTCTGTCCAGTCCGTTTGTACAGTCCAGTATCCTATATCGATCAAGGCCATGTCACACGAAGAGGCCGAGTCGAGCATGTCAACAAGACGGGGAGAAGCGCCATTACACACACCGATATATTGGACGAGCACAAATTATTTGCCACCATATGGTGCACAGCACCGCCAGGATGCACTTTGGGAAGGTGAGCAGCTACCTTGTGATACCCAACAGCTGACTCAATTAGAAGCAGGCGGGAATGAAGCGCTTCCTCCTATGTGGCAACAGTATAAGACGACCTCGGATGGTGCAACACAATATCAAGATGACACGCTCGCAATTTGCTCGTGGAACCGACCTTTGCCAGGAATGCGACTAGGTGAGGGATGAAATTTAAATTGCGAGAAGGAGCGACGAACTCACTGTTGAACATAGATCATCCTGGAGTTCTCGCTGTTCCTGGATGGGAATGGCATATCTCACCACTTGGTCGGTCCTACTTCGTCAACCACAATACTCGGACCACGTCGTTGAAGAAACCAAAGCCGGAATGTCCAGCAGGAAGCTTGATGCCGGAGTATATCATCGAGGGTCACTCTCGATGCATATGGAGCCTTGCCTACTTGGGTACCAGTGGCAATATAATGAGCACGTCCTGGGATAGTTCGATGCGTCAGTGTAAAAGAGACGGAGAGCCAGTGGGACAACCTTTGAATAGCGACGGGGGAGGGATACTTTCGATGGTAGCATCCCCGGATGAAACAATGGTTGTTTGTGGAAGTATAGATGGCAGACTGCGGCTGTGGAATATACAAGAGGGTAGAATGATCGACGATCCGTGGGAGGGGCATAAGGCTGCAGTGAGGTGCCTTGATTGGTCTCGTAATTCGCTGGAGATAGCAAGTGGATCGCAAGACGGCACCATACGACGCTGGAACCAGAATACTGGTCGACAAATAGCGCCACCCATAGAAACCGGTCATGTATGGGTCAGAGTCGTCAAATACTCTCCGCAAGGCGACAAGTTCATGAGCGGTGGGAAAGGTCCGATCTGCATATGGTCAAGGGACGGAAAGCTGCTTGTCGAGATCAAGGGACATGACAGGACGGTGACGTCATTGTGTTGGTCCAAGGACGGCGCACACATCTTCTCCGCATCAGCTGATGACACCATCCGAAAATGGCGGGCTATTGATGGACATGAACTTGTCGTTTTTCGGGGTCATACCAACACCGTCCAATCCCTCTGTCTTACTCCCAATGAAAACTATATTGTTAGCGGATCAAGCGACTGCTCCATTCGCATCTGGGATCTCAAGACCAAGCAGGCAGTCGGAGATCCTCTCTTCCATGATGACGAACTCAGGGCTGTTGCCATGTCCCGCGATGGAAAATACATTGCCAGTGCTGGACTAGACAAAAACATCCATGTATGGAACCTGGAGGCAGCGCTCAAAAACGTTGTGGTATGTATGCGCTTTGTCGTCTAATTTTCCTTCCTAACGATTTTGACCATCTAGGGCGCAGATGATGGGAGTGCAGAGCTCAAGGCAAGTCTTTTCTGCTTCTCTTTCACACTCCATCTCACTTTTTATCAGCAACGTTCAGCTCAACCGAGGGTTGTGCGCCCACCAATCGTGAGCAACCCCACCTTTTCTCATGTCTCGTTAGGCCTTTGACCTCCGTATTGCGTCTAATCAGCAGGCTAAAAAAACTGGACTGGCAAGATATGTCAGTGTACTTTCTTGTTCTTGACCTTTCTCGCCTGACACCAAGACACAGGGCAATGATTTCTTTGGCGACGAATCAGACCACGCGTCTCATCGTGCAGCTCCTCCCGCAAGCCCATCGTCCTTTATTCGTTGGCGTCGTTTGCTTGGTTCCATACATTTTGGCACACGACCTGCAAATGCATCTCGACCAATCGAACGACAGTCCCGACACTGGAATTTCAACTTCAAGTTGTTTTCTAGAGCACATTCCACGCGCACAGTCGATGTCCCTCTTGCTCAAGATGAAAATGTGAGTGGCTCGCCTTTCCTCATCTTCCCTCGCATTAAAACACATTGCAGAGAATCGGTATTGTCCCTGAGTCTGATGCAGAAGCGGCCGCAGCTATGCAACGTACGAACAGCAACCAGGCCGATAGTTCAATGCAATCAGGTCAACCAGCAGGAGCGCAAGCATCTCAAGTACAACCAATCCAAACGAAAGCACAAGGCTCAACTGGCGGAGCGGAAGACTTTGTGTATGAAGGAGTGAACTGCTGTGGATTTTTCTTCGGTCTACGTCGTCCTGCTTCGCATCAGTCATGAAGGATGGAAGACGTGTGGCACACTCACTCAGTTCAGCTCTCTTTCCCCCGCACCTGTTTTCGACTCCTCTCATAATCAATATTCGCTGCCATGACTGTCACCCACGCACTCGGATCCATCTATCTTCGTGCACCTCCTTTGCCTTGCGCTGCTTTTCTCGGGTCCATACCACGTGTTGACAACACCACTGGGGAAGTCGGCCCCATTGTCTGGAATGCAGCTTTTGGTGGTGCAATGGTCTTCTGGGTGGGGAGCTTGATGTTTGCTGGAAAGGCGACCCGTTGAAATGTCGAAGTTGAAATCCGCGCAGCATTGAGTACGTACTGCCCAAATTGTGCACAGATTGTATTTCCATCGATATGAGTCTACTGACTACACGAAACTTACAAATCCGTCTCTGTACGAGGGCGTCTTGTCCGATTTTCACTAGAGTCGATTGTTGGGACTTGTCTCGAGAGCTCTTAGGACCGATGAGTCACTAAACGATTTATAGATCTGCCTGGCAGAACCATTCCTGCCAGTCGAACAAATCGAGAGACTCGTAGGGACGATACACTCCTGCCAGGCTGCCTATCTTCATGCACAAACCTGAGGGTTCAAGTACTCCTTGGCAAACTCTTCGTTCATCTGATCCTCTTCTCCAAATTTCCTGACAGGCAGGTACTGAGCGAAAAAAAAGTATGTTGCCTAACAAGAAATTACTGTTAGTGGCGTGCCATTCAGTCTATGGTGTATCACCCAGTTCAGCTGCTGTGATTACACTGGGATGAGAAATCCGAACCAACGATGACAATGATGAAGTGACACTATGAAAGGCGTATGGAAAGGTTACACTCTTCGTAACCTGCAGCGTCCACATCCACGTCAGATCACGCCCCACCTTTCCCTTCCTCGCGCGCTGCCTTTGTTTGTTCAAATGATTCCAATCTTCGCCAACGTCGGCTGCAGTGAGCCAAGGCAATACTAGTAATCCCGACTTCGAGAGAGTAGAGGCGGGCAAGGGCTTAGGTGGAAAACGGGGCGTCCGCATTCTCCACAACCGTAAGTGTTCCTCGGCACAGCGAGCAACGCAACCTGTTCCTTTCGCGCAGCTTTGGTCACTGTCTGAAGCCGGTGGACCGTTTAGCCAAAGGGACCTTTGAAGCCTTTTCACGGCGACTCCTGGGCTCAGTCAGTCAAAGATATGATAAACTAAGTCATTCAGAACTAACCGGCGGTTTGGTGGTTGTCCTTGTGACGCTAAAGTTCGCCATGGCACAAGCTCATCAATATTACAGTGGCTGCACACGAACTTCTCTCGTGACATGCTGGATTAAGCCCTGTTGTCCTTGTCAGCCTCGCACACAGAAGATTCGAAGACATACTAGTAGACTGATGAATTTGACCATCGCTAGTGCATAATCTTGAGGATCAAACGACACAATTTGCTCAAGCCATCGATAACAGAAAGGTAGCTTGATTTGGAACTGGATACGAGTTACTACTGACATTCTGGCACTAGTACTGATCTGTCGCGGTCGTCTTCTTTTGCCATATTTGGGTGGTGCTGCGACATGGTGCCCGCGACGCCTGCGATGACTGCGACGCCCGCAACAAGGTGCTGCAACACCGTGACTTACTTGCTGGAAATGAACTCGAGCTGTGTAACACATGGTCCTTCAGCATCATAGTATTGCAGACTTGCGTATTGGAATACATACTTCAGTTAGTGATGCCGCAGCTCGACTCGGACCGGTTCGGGCTCGGCTTTTGTCAGTTTGTCAGCAGTTCGGCTCTCCTGGTGAGTTAAGCAGGCTATGCTGTCATATTTATGCATAACCATGGCTAACTACAGGTATTTTGGTTATGCATGGCTGTTGCTAATCCCCAGACCCATGTATTTTATGCATAATGGTGCCTGCACCTCATTGATCCTTCCCACAATATTTCCACACCTCATAGCTTCGCATTTTTGGCCACCTGCCGTGGGAATTACCCCACAACACCCAAAACATTACCCAATATGTTATACCCCACAATTTCAATTTTTCCCACACCCTCCCCACTTCACTGCAGCTTCACCACCACACCACAACAGATCCCCCTTTATATACAAGTAGTTTAGTATATATGTGTACAATATAATATAATAGACTGCTTTTTTTGTTTGTTTGTGTCACTGCTCCTCCTCCAGGAGCAATTCAACATAGGGTAGGGTACAGAACACTTTCGCATTTTTGCCCCTTTGGTGGGGAAGTGTTCTATTATATTCAGAACATGTTTAGGAGTATATATGAAGATATTCCCATCTTTATTTGACCCCCTGAAGTGCCCTACATCAATAGATATAGCACATATGCAAGAAAACACAGAATATGTTCCCATTTAATTATTTCTGGGTGGACAGACTTGGAAAAATGATTCCCAGAATCTATTAAACAATAGTAACAATGTATCAGAAGCCCAGGACCATAGGACAAGACCTTTTTGTGTGGTGCATCCCCCCTCTCCTGGTGGTTCACCTCCTGTGAAAATTTTTCCTGAAGGACCGGACCTCAATTGAGGTGAGGGCTCTATTTCTATGTACACTTGGAGTAGATACATCATATAGCTGGCCCAGGACACACATAGGATCTTGCTACAGGAACAAAAACATAGAAAATCCCACTTTTGATACTTTTGATGTTTTTGAGTGCCTTACTCTTGCATAAATGACCAGTTCTGCTCATATATAATCAGTAGTACATTCCCACATATGTTCTATGCCAAGGATCAGCCCCACATAGGGCGCAAATGTGATATCTGATGTACAGGGGGTATTTCTACTAATAAGAATCCTACATAGTAATCAAGCCTGTGATAAATAATCAGAGACCTGTAATACCTCTCTTATATGTCCCTGATAATGAATCTGAAGTTTTAGAAAGATCCATGAAGGACTGACTGAATGACAAGTAAAATGACATATGTGTGAAAAGTGACAATTGACATCTTTGTACACAAAATCACATTTATATATGGTACAGGTCAGATATTTCATTGAAAATATGTAGGATACATGGTAGACTACTAAAGAACCTATACTACATACTGCCCTGAGGTTGGAGGGTGGTGGAAGGGATGTGGTGTATATCTGAGTTGACTCAGTATTAAAGTCCTACTACTACCCAACTGACCATTTTCGATGTTTTGGGTCTTTGAACTTTCCCACACTCAATTTCTTATCTATTTCACTTCCTCAACACTCAATTCTTGATAGATTATTTTGTAAATGTAGACATATGATACTGAATATATTTGAAATCTACTCCAGGTGTCTGATTATTAAATTTCGATGTTTTGAAAGTATAGGCTCCTTATCAGTAGAAATAGCAAGCATCCACACTAGCTAAATCTTCAGCCTATTTTGAGCTGATCTGTGTCATATAAAGCAAGTATATATGCTATGCTAATGATATATGATCAGGCTGGATTATTTATGCAAGAGTAAGGCACTCAAAAACATCAAAAGTATCAAAAGTGGGATTTTCTATGTTTTTGTTCCTGTAGCAAGATCCTATGTGTGTCCTGGGCCAGCTATATGATGTATCTACTCCAAGTGTACATAGAAATAGAGCCCTCACCTCAATTGAGGTCCGGTCCTTCAGGAAAAATTTTCACAGGAGGTGAACCACCAGGAGAGGGGGGATGCACCACACAAAAAGGTCTTGTCCTATGGTCCTGGGCTTCTGATACATTGTTACTATTGTTTAATAGATTCTGGGAATCATTTTTCCAAGTCTGTCCACCCAGAAATAATTAAATGGGAACATATTCTGTGTTTTCTTGCATATGTGCTATATCTATTGATGTAGGGCACTTCAGGGGGTCAAATAAAGATGGGAATATCTTCATATATACTCCTAAACATGTTCTGAATATAATAGAACACTTCCCCACCAAAGGGGCAAAAATGCGAAAGTGTTCTGTACCCTACCCTATGTTGAATTGCTCCTGGAGGAGGAGCAGTGACACAAACAAACAAAAAAAGCAGTCTATTATATTATATTGTACACATATATACTAAACTACTTGTATATAAAGGGGGATCTGTTGTGGTGTGGTGGTGAAGCTGCAGTGAAGTGGGGAGGGTGTGGGAAAAATTGAAATTGTGGGGTATAACATATTGGGTAATGTTTTGGGTGTTGTGGGGTAATTCCCACGGCAGGTGGCCAAAAATGCGAAGCTATGAGGTGTGGAAATATTGTGGGAAGGATCAATGAGGTGCAGGCACCATTATGCATAAAATACATGGGTCTGGGGATTAGCAACAGCCATGCATAACCAAAATACCTGTAGTTAGCCATGGTTATGCATCACCCTGCCATGAACAGGTGAGTTAAGCTACCTATATCCAGCTCGGTTCAGCTGGATAGCCACACAAGCCGGCTCAAGCCAACGTTTGTTTTCATTACCAATAATCTCATTGCTGACGGTGTTTGGATTCACTTCTTCTCATTCCCTACGCAGTGCACGCGCGTACCCCATCATTCAACCATCTGTTGTTGAATATATTGTATTTGTCCTTACCTATCACAGGCTTCACAGCATGAGTAAAGTCCCAGCTCGAGTTGACGGAAGATTTAGGCTGGGTAACATTCTGGGATCTGGGTCATATGGTACGTAGTTACATGACATTGATATTCAACGCATAGTCTCGCTAAGCCTACTTACTAGCTGTTGTATACCGCGCACAGAACTTCCTCAATGATGATGTAGTTGCCATCAAACTTGAGCCCCTCACCTCTTGCCCATCTTCTGTGGAGCGCGAATACAAAATTCTGAAACGACTTGGAAATGGAGTTGGGATCCCCCGTGTCATTTGGTTCGGTAGGGAGTCGACATATCACGCTTTGGCTCTCGAACTCCTTGGCCCATCATTGCATGATATCTTCAAGGCACGCAACCGAAAATTCAGCCTTCACACTGTTGTGAATATAGGAGACCAGCTGGTACATCACTTTGAGTGGGACATTGCAGATGCTAATATATTTCTCAGCTTTCACGCCTCGAGTACATTCACGGTGATATCAAACCCCAGAACATTTTAGTGGGTCTTGGCGAGTCAACGCAAACTCTCTTTGTTGTCGATTTTGGTATCGCAAAGATGTACTGGAATGCTGCAACCGAAACACATATACCATTTCGCCGGGGCCAACCTCTCACAGGCACTCCTGCCTTCGCTTCAATCAACAACCACTTGGGCTTGGAGCCTGGTCGTCGTGATGACCTCGAGTCGTTTTCATATACATCAGTAAAACCACCGATTCCTTTTCTAGCCTTATGTTCCTTAATGTGCTTTCAAATTTCGTCGCGACGAGTCTAAATCAGCTTACTCCTTGCTTTTTGTACTTTGTTTCCTTACTACTGAAAGCAAAACAAGACGAACAAGTGAAAATTGAGTGACAATGAAATTAAGAATAATAAGGAGTACAGTGTAGATATATTTTAAGAGGCTATGATGCAATTTCGAAAGAGTGATGGTCGGCGTATTTGTTGATGTAGAATCTGCGGAACGAATCATATGTCTGATAATGCTGGAGGTTGGGGGGAATGAATCGACTGCCGTAGACGGGAATAAGGTGAGCAGCGCGGTATATCGAGTCAACATGGATGATGGCAATATGGGGAGCGTTGTTGGCATGGTGAGCGGGCTGCACCATCCACATACCGGTGTCGTCGTCAGGCAACTCTCCGAGAGTGTCGAACCACCGCACAACTGCACATGGATATGTTTCAGCCCTGTAAGTGAAAGAGAAAAATGTCAGTACTCGGGCAACATCCATCCCCCTCATTCCCTCAAGGTCTGGATTTGTATTGACGAAGATGCAGTCATAGCGTGGGTGCTCCTTTCTCCATGCTGGACATGCACGGATGTGCTCGCGGCGCATGCCGCCAATGCCACTGAGATCGCTGGGGGCAAAAAACCTCGAACACGCCGAATTAAAGACACTGATTCGTTCGTCGTATTGTGGACAATCCGCGGGAGGAATTTGCAATGGATCACGAGGGTCGTTCGGATTGAGTTGCGCAAAAAGGAAGCGGGACAACATGTTTGGGAGCTGGGGAATTGACAACTCCAACGCTAATGCAGACACCGTGCGGGCGCGGTTATGTTCTAGTGCACAGTGTGACATTAGTTAGCAAAGATAAACAAGGATTACAACGAGAGGACTTACGAGGAGTCTTCGCCAATTCCACATGTGCTTGGATAACGGTTGGGCCAGTGTCTATTTCAACATCCCCAACATCCTCGTCTTCCCGCACATTCACCTCAGGCTCGGTGTCCTCTCGCAAAGGATTTCCAGGCTCATCGTTTGCAATTCGGATCTGTTCTGTTGTAGAGTTAGTTGTAGCACATCGAATGTAGTATTGTTAAACTCACCTAATGCGTTGATAGCTGCCGAAAGACACGTCCCATCGAGCATCCCGCGGGTTGTGAAGTCAGTTCGTGCTGCCGCTAGTTTGTCGAGGCGCTGGTTAGTGACCAGCATCTGACCAAGTGCCTTGTACCGACTTGAGCGCCGCCAAGGTTCTTTGACTGCTTTGATGTGTTTTGACTCGGTAATTGAGGAACATAGACCGTTTGGCGCACCGAAAAGGCGAACGAGGTGAATGTAGTGCTGGAGGGAGTGTTGACGGGGAAGTGAGAACGTTTCAACGACTTCGGTAGTCTTGAAAATTTCTCGGTACCGGTGGAAACGGTCCAGAGCGTCCTGGATTTTGTCGAGCGTCTTCTCCATGATAATGTTTTGGCGGACGAGGTAACAAAACTCAAGGAATGCGCGGAATGTTTGAACTACCTCTATGGGCACATGTCCCTCGATAGCGGGTAAATATACCTAAAATATCTCTTGTAAAATAACAAATTTAAAATAGAAAAAAACACTTACCTTCATTAATGCCTTGGAGTCATCGCCCGTCCACTGCTTGAATCCGCGTCCTTGAGGGAAGCGTCGAAGTCCAGCAAATGATGGGGTGGCCGCAATTCTAAGTCCAAGTTAGATAGTAGCTGTATGTAATATTGACGTGAATCACATACCTTCGATCAATGTCGTCCATCATACGCTTGGCCGCCGTTTTTCCGTGCGTCTGATGCAAGTACTTCTCGACCCAATCTACAATGTGATCTTTGAATGTACCTTTTATCAACTGATGCAAAAGGTCAGGGGCGATGAGTTCGTGAATGTCCACTCGAGGGAAATCATTCGTGAAAGGCTAAAAGGTATTGTTAATATATTGAAATGAATCAGAAAGTTTGAACTTACGACGAGATCACCAACAATGCCATACTCATCCCATAAGTCACCCAGGGTTGCTTCTTCGACGAGTGCTTCTGTGTGTTCACGGCAGCGCTCACTCGCTGGTTCGTCTAAATTGGTGCGTGGTCCTAGACATCTGTTCAATCATTAGCATAGGTAATCAGTTGAGAGGCGTCATGACACCTACCTAGCACACCAGCCTCGAACAATACAGGCCAATAATACCTGTTCCTCGTAATCGGCAATGTAAGGTCCTAGACCATAGACGACACGCCGGAAATGACCATCACCAAAGCGCACGACTTCGGGCTTGGTCATGCCAGGCCGAAGCCTCTCAAGAATTTTGGCGAGGGACGACTGGAATAATTGGCGCTGAAACTTGCGGAACTTCGGATCAGACGCATGTTCTTTTGTTGCTGTTGAAAGGATTAGTCAGCGATATGGAAGAAAGACACAAAAATAAGGATAACAGGAAGAGCAAGGTGAGAATGCGGTGTAGAGACTCGCGCCTCTCGATGCCGGATATGCGGCCTTCTTACCCATTTAATTCCCTATCTGTATCAGCTCACATCCTAAGGACCAGTCATTCGCGCTCTTGCGCGCGCGCCCTACGTACGCGCCTCACTCGCACATCGCACACGCACGCGCGCCCTTCGCGTGCGCGCTCCATAGGCCTTCGCGCTCCTACCGTCCGTCCCTCTGTCCTTTGTCCTTGCTGATTCACTGGTGCGTTATTTTTATCTCTCTCATTGAATTAACGAACCTTCGGTCCGACCTCCGTGCTTACATACAGAGAGCCTATTTAAACTTAGAATATATTTAGAAGTTGATATGGTTACTCGGTTCGGGAGCGCGCTCGGAAGCGCGCCGCATAGCGTAATCTCCCTTCTTAAATAGAGGGAGGATTCCTTCGGTTCTGGTACTTACTTTCCCCTTATCTTGATATACTGCAAAGTGTAGAGTTCTCCCTCCAATACTAGAAATCTGATTATACTCCTCCACTGTTGACACCTGTGCCCTTGCTACTCTCTTAAGGACTCCTCTCCTTCATCGTTCAAGCGCGCGCCCGCTTACGCGCGTACCCTCCGCATCTCTCGCTCACGCGCGCATCTCGCGCGCCTTCGCATCGCCTACGCGCGCCTTCGCGCGCGTTACTTTCCCGCGTCTACCAGCGCCCGTCTAGTTGACATAGTTTCCCTCCACCTTATTCGCGAGGAACTTCTCTCAGTAGCTGTCCTTTGGGTCGAGTTGTATTCTCGTATCCAGGTCTTGCTGTAGAGCCCCCTTTCTTTTAGTGTTTTCACCCACAGTCAAGATTCCTCACCTTCAACTGGAGCCCACCGCGAGGGACACTTCTGAGACAACCGGTCGGGTACTCAGACCCAACAGTCGTCGCAGAGCTAGAGAAGAAGCCATCGCCGCATTCGACAGAGCAATTGAATCAATTCTACCAGGACCCTTATTCTTTCAACCTGCGCGCGGTCGCTCGCGCAACATCTCAGAACCGCCACGACCAGATCTAGCGCTCTTAGCGCGCGCGCCTAGACAGCCGATATCGCCAGTCACGCCATCACCGGAAGAATCTGTCAAAGAAGAGTCGTCCGACGACTTTGAAGCAATAGATAACCCAAGAAGCCAAGTTCCCGGAGCGTTCCTCCATACGCCCAACCAACCTCCTTTTATTTCTTCTGACCTATCAGCGCTAAGCGCGCTGACCGAACTGACCGATTCTAGCAAAACCCCGCTTAACGCATTAGCATTCCCCGTGCGCGAGAACGCGCCTCCTACAGTGGGAATTCCGAAAATCAAGCAAGAAGTGTTCGAAACCCCGCGCGCGCCGCCTTCAATTCCAGGCGGTATCGTTATAGCAAACCTTCCCTTCGCATACGCGCGCCAAGTGCCAATCAGTCAGAAGACCTCCGCGCCTACAACATCCCAAACGCCTATTATGTCCACCACAAGAACCAGAATGCCCGTCCGTGGGACAACGGACGCGCCTAAATTTGATGGCACCGCGGACGACCTCGCTGACTTTATAGACCTATATGAGCAGCTCGCTGATGAAGTAGGTCTAAATGGACTCGACCGCATCAAAGGCATCATCCGCTACCTTGAGCGCGATGATCGCGAATTATGGGGCGGAATGCCTGAGGCGCAAGTAAGCGATTACGACGCTTTTTTAGACGAGGTCAAAGTAATGTATCCCGGATGGGATGGCAAAAGGCGCTACGCACTTACGGACCTACAAGCCATCGCGCACGAGTATGCTAACAAACCGATGCCTTCTTACCAGGAACTGAGCAGTTACCTGCGCGCATTCAAGAAGATCATGCAACCGCTTTTGGCGGAGGACAGAATCGGGAAAGCCGAGCGCGACCGCACATTCATGGAAGGTATTCCTAAGGACACTCAGGCGCAAATCCGCACGCGCCTCATGATCAAGTTCCCGGACCACTACCCGCAAGATCCATATCCGTTCATGAACGTTTTCGCAGCTGGACAGTTTGTACTACCAGCGAACGCGCCCGCACCAAGCGCAACGGCTAGCGCGCCTAAGGCGGCATCATTCACTAACCTGGTCACAGCTAACACGTCAATGGAATCGCCCGCGCAAGGAACGGTAACCAAGCGCGAATATAAGCGCGAGGCGTCCGCATTCAACGACTGCTCCTTTTGTGGCAGTCTTGAACATTATTATGCTCGTTGCACGGAGAGACAAAGGTACATCGACGCGGGCAAATGTAAGGTTAACGAAGAGACGCGCAAGCTTGTTTTGCCAAATGGCGAGTGGATTCCAGGTCGAGGACTACTCAAGGAACGACTAGACCGACACCACGCGAGCCGCGCTACCTCAGATACGACCGCTAGCGCAAGCACCACAGCAGGGCTGTTCTATCGCGCGTCTGAGGAGATCGACGCGGTAATTGAAGTAGGGTCATCCGCGTTTGTGCACACAGTCGCGCGAACAGAACTTGATGGAGACGATGACACGGTGGACCTCATGACCGAGGCGCTAGCCTACGTAGCCGCGA